CCGTGGCCCGTGGGACGTAACAATCAACAAACCTTCGGAGCCACTGTCAGCTAGCCATAGGCTCCGATCATTCATATGGTCTGATTTCGTGGGATCAGAAGCCGGCGGTTGGTCACCCACCCAGTCTATGTAGGTGCATCTACCCTATACGAGTATATGAGTCATATGCAGATCCAGCATGTGCAACAGAACACGGAGATCACCGCGAAAAAAAAAAACTTCACATCCCCAAGACTCTTGCAAGTCGTCTCCATTAAACATGATGCCCGGCACATAATATGGCAGTTATAGTGCACCTCATGTCGCCAACCGTGGCTCATCAACCGCGACCTATCCTGCAGAACATACACCTCAAGGCAGACGCCATACTCACGTCCCCCCCATTCCCGATCCATGCCATCGACTGCCATCGATGCATCAGTACCAGGATATGAATCTGGCAGCCGAGCCTGCGATTGCGCGTGGTCCCCCTCGTAACGCTCTAGGAACAACCAACTTGAAGAACTTCAACTTGCTGCGATAATAGTCAATATTATTATTGGCCGTCGTCAAAAAAAATCGAAAGAGGCCAACGCACCCAAATTGTAAGTTATGGAAGACTTATGGTCGCACTGCGTTTCCTTCCACTGAAGAATGTGCAGAGCTCACTGGGAAGTAAAAATGTCAAGCAGGAGCATCCATGCCTGCACTGGCACAAATTACAAGATCGACACTTGTAGGGTTCAGCACAAGCAGCAAGCAGTCAATGAAGCTAACTACCCGCCAGCTGTCGACCCCCATTCAGCGGAGGCCAGTACTCATGCACACTGCACCGCACAGGGTCACAAGTTTGGTTTGAGTTCTATGCTGCACGTGTTTTTCAATGACCGCGGCCAGCCCGCGGTGTCATTAGTGAAGCATGAAAGGCTATGCCAGGTCAGCGTCAAGACAACTTGAAGATGCAAGTATTCCGAACACAGCATCTTGAAACGTCTAGATCACAGCTACAGAATTAACATTCGAAATGAACTCATGTACTTTGGGCGGACCTTTGACCACCTTCGAATTGCAAATTTCCACTTTCGAACACGACCCAGGTGACCTTATCAAAAGAAGCTGGTCGCTGCGGGGAACATTTTTATGGATCCGAGCTGCAGACGATGTTCGGTATGGACCAGGGAGATATGAAGGTCCATGGGGGATCTGGGGATCATATATCAACATGCGATAATTGGGAATGACGGGCTGGGGCCCCGCAGCGGAGTCATTTGTGGCCCCATTGGATGGTGGGGCGGGATTTATGCCTAGAACCAAGAATGGCGCTGCCAGTGGAGGGTAACGATGCATAGATTATATACAAGCATTCAAGTTTGCGCGTAGTGTCCTAATATACATGCAAAAATGCTGATCGCAGCAGAGCTCAATATGACGCAGATGAGGAAATCAGTGCCGATTTTTCCACTAGCATTACCGTTTAGCAAACCACAGATATTAGTACTTCGAGCTCATGCACATAGCTACGTTGACATCTCACTGATTGAGACATGTACAAACTCAGTGAGCTCATAGCAGATGCTGTGTGTGCTGGGCGCCTAGCGGCCTTCACCATCACACTGAAAGTCATGTTCGCTTTAAGTACCTGTTCTCCTCGGGGAGACCATATAAAAAACGGCCTTTCCTTCTTGAGCCATCGTGATTACTGGCGGATCAAGGAAGCAACCGTGCGTGGAGTCCGCTTCACGTAGCAAAAAGTTACGACAAGTTGCCACAGGCATATCACCAAGAATGGCAGCAAACTGATATTGGAAATTTCCCGGATCATTCCAAGGAGGCCAGTGCATTTATCAGTTTCAAGTTTCAGACGGCGTGCGGCGTGCGAAGATCGGGACAATCGCCGAGTTCTCCAGCAGCGCGAAGTATTAGCAAGACAAGGAATGGCTACGGCCAATGAGTGCGGGGGAAATGGAACAGCTGAGACAAAACTGTGTGGTCGTTGGGCGAGAAGATCCGTTTGTAGTGCCTTTGCGACGAGCTGGGATCTAGATTGATCTACATACATTTGTCAACCATTCTTTACCTCATCGACACAGGATTTAACGGTTTGAAATTGGAGGCTTCGAGGGTTGAGGTCGGCAGGTACACACCTATATAAAGGTTTCACGTGAGAATTCAGGTCGTTGAACCCGGATTAACGTTGAGTCGTTCGAGATCTGACAACGTTGTGGTCTCGAACCGAGGAACAGTTCGGCTGTGCCCAGTTGCCTGAGCTTCGACGAAGACCGTGACTAATATACATAATAAGAGTTTAGGATTATTTGTTGATCAAGGTGCTCACTACATAGTACTTTTCCACCAATAAATGTGTCGATGCCATTGACGTTGATTTGACTTAAAATGGTGGAGTGGGGGCTTCGATGGAGGAGGCAGCATGCAGAGTTTTCTTGTGTTTGCGGGGTATTTGAGCAATGGTGTCTGATTTGGGCCACTTCACTTCAACGACTCCTGTAAGATCCGGGACTCGAAGGGCAAGCACCGGGATCTATCAGAAGCTTTCAAATGTTAGTAATTGGGATCAAACCATAGATATAATGATAAGGAAGGGATAAGGTTGACTCGGAGCGCTGAGGGAATGCGATGGGGCCCCAAATTAGATATGCCCTTTGATCAAAAGGAGGATCGTCAACGTCAACGTCATGTTGGAGTGCGTGTGATAGACGGAAGAGAAAAAAAATGTTGGCACATCATGAGACATAGCTATACAGTACGTACTTCGAAGCCCGCAATTCGGGCACAGCCAGGTGCGTTGACTAGTAGACTTCTGATCCGGGCGAGATTGAGCAATATGTAATGCATCCCTCGAGGCTATGCTATATAGGTGAAGCAGCAGGAGCAGAGAAGGTTAAGTTTGGATGTATCACAGGACCGGTCACCGCATGAACTTTGCAACGACGTACAAAATATTTAACGCGTCAATATTGTGTAATATTAATATTTAATTCGATATCCTATAAATCAATGAACTCATGCTGATCAGTGATGTCCGACGATGACGGAGACTCTGGCCTAGTGTCTCCACTTACAAACTCCGATCCTTTTATGGAATCAGTGGTTGAGCCAGACCATGACATGTCGATACGAGGAACGATTATCGTAGAGATAATTCCGAGTAAGATTCAATCCAATCCAGCTACGAGGGTGGTTGGAGATTCATCGGCCGCAAGTGGGTCCCAAGAAGCACGAACAGAAGCTCTTTGCGGAGATAAAATCATTCTTTCCACCGATATTCGGATCATGGCCATCATGCGTCATGGTTGACCACCTCGCGCTGAGCTTGATTGTACAGCTTTACAGTACAGCCCCGTCACTGGTCGGCTTTGGTGCGGTATCGTACCCCCCTTCAACTGATATCTAATAGTCTGGGTAACTTACTCAGTACAGCTAGTCTCGGTTCAGATTCAAGATTCCTTGCAGTAAGTTTTGACTGGGTTCGATGAATATTAGCAACTTACCTGGATGTTTTAAGTGTCCTCGCAGTCATCTATTGGATCGCCTTCTTCCGAACTATAACAATTGCTATATGCCACCCCCCTTTGCGTGTGGTTGTTCGCGCTCGAGATATTCGGGTAACGAACTTGCAGCAATAGTCGCACCTACCTGTTGTGGACGCCTTCTCTGACCCTCGAAGCCGTCTTATGGCATGCACCCGTATCCTCCAAAGATACTAAGTGCAGTTCGGTACAGTACTTGGTCGTTTTGATGCCTGGTCACACTTACTTGTTATGGACAACTTCTCTAGTCGAATCGATTGGAATAATATCATAGCAAGTTCAGATTGCATATACTCGTGTCCACGCTTGGCTGCATCCCTGATATATTGGAGTGATAGTATTAAGTTGCAAATCGTGAGGAACTTGCCGGTGTGCATTGTGTCACTTTGTAAGTAATCCCGAAAATTTCACCTTTCCCTGCCTTTAAAGACGGACATTTAATGACTGCAGGGCACACATTATCTCCTCCCCATCCCCCGGATGAATTTCCCCAATACCTGGAACCGGTAGGTCATATAGCACGAATTATTGCTTGCTCTCATCGCCCTGTTGTTCAGCACACCCACGCCAGATCAACTTGTGGCCAACCAGGATGTCCACGACGATGACCTGTATCGCACTTTCTCAAACCCACCCGGCAGTCTCTTTTGCGCCACCGACATGGTAGGATGTATTCCTCTATCGCACTGATCGTTCTGAAGTTGGCTCCTTTTAAAGCGCTCAATGGCATATTTAAACACGGCAGCAGCGGATCATCAGATATCGAGCACCAAGTTAGTTTGCTCCTTCTCTTCCTTACAGGGGAATAACACCGTGACTAGTCATCCTACTCCACCCACTGTTGGCTCGTGGACATCAAGCAACTCATCGAGTAGTACTGATCACAACCACGGCAACTTCACAGAGGGTCGATATTCAACACAATCCATTTCTGCTTCCACTTATCAGACCTTAGACATGCCACCATCGCAAAGTGCCTACCCCTACTCTATCACCGCCAATGTGCTTTCATCTGTCCCGGATTATGATCCCTGGCATAACCCACCAACCCTTCACAGCATCCAGCACTACAACCCAGAATTAAGAGGTGCCAGCATCAGGCACTCTTATTCTCCTGTATTGAGAAGCGACGACTCGTCGCCGTCAACATCCCAAAAGTTTGTTCTTCGTTACCATTCATAAATAGCTGTTTTCTCATAATCGCCGTCATGCATGAAGGGTCTATCCAAATGACCACCCTTCGCGGTCCACCACTTCCTCACAACATACCGCAAATCATGATACACCTTTCGTCTTTGACCCTACTATCCCATCACGTCAATGGCAGAATCCTACCGTCCCTCGTCCAGGGCCTCCGAGCTTGCCGTTCATGCCTATGATACCTCCGCCATTGGCTGCGGAGTCTCCACGATTTAGATTTGTAACACAGCCCCGTGCAACGTCACCGATCAACCACTCCGATTCCTTCCCACGTCACAGTCACCCCTCATTCCCCCTCCTGTCCTGCCGATGGCTAGATGACGACACTGTGACACCCTGCGGATTTACTGGGACACTGGATGTGTTAAAGGCACACTGTACAACCAGTCATTTTACTGGGTCAAGATTTGTGCAGATCGAATGCCAGTGGGAAGGTTGCAGCTATTACAAGCGTTTTGACCCCACCATTCGTGTCATGCGACGCGACTGCATTTGGCGTCATACTTGTGAGGTGCATTTGGGGTTGAAGAGGGGTACCTAGGCTTCCACGTCTCTTTGTCATTCCTTGCGTTGCACCACCACCGCTAGCCGCACCATGTTTTCTCTGATATGTTAGATCTGCTACTAGTATCGTCACCCGCTCCTTGCTCTTATCGATTCATGATGGTCTCGCGTTTCACAGCTTTTTACCGGTCCATTATTATTTTTTTTCTCTGGTCGACCTTATAGTCATTCGTTCCTGTTTGCCTCGATTCTTTTAATATTAGACCTGTCGGTGTGAGACATGGAGGATATTTGATGCCCGCTCGGTCTACATTTAGTAACCTTTCGTTCGTATTTGCAAACACGAGCGAGACATGGAAACCATCACACGTTATGGGACGTTATAGAATCTTCGCCCGACATAGCTAGGACCTGTGCCTTATTTTTAGTGTCGAGACTTGATATGTTAAATTCTCCGTGGACCTTTCCTATCTTTGTGTATCAGAAGACAATTGTTTGGCACCGAAGAATATGCAGTACGTATCTCTGTTCCCGGGAAAAAAATGTTGTGGACTGCATCGACGTATTACTCGCAGCAGATGTTCGTGGGCATGTATCTGGCGGCTGAACCCACCAATACGCATGGCCTTTCTCCCTACACCCCCCGGTCAATATTATTGAGAACCCGTCATTCAGAAAAATCGAGAGTGTCGTGTGGCTGAATTGCAAGTCTCGATTGAAACTTGCCTTCGCACTTCGCCCGTCAACTAGCCAGATGTGCTCCGACCCGGTGCATATACACGCCCTAAACAGGTGAAGTATATATCGCACACTTGATTAATCCCATTGAGAAGGCTCATTTTCAGCGCGTGCATAAATTTAAACATCCGCGGAAAGTCAGCGTGTGTACCATACGTGTGACTATCAAACTTGAGTGTAAGTTTGCTGCTCGCTCTTATATTAAACTGGAACTGAACTTCTCCGCAGTGCAACCTCAACTATGGCATTCATCTTCCTGATGATAAGTGAAACTTGAAGGTGCCCCAGGGCCACTGAACATAACTCTACGACCAAAGATTCAAATTTTCAGCTTAACAATGTCTTGGGATATTACACAAGACACTATCATAAACTTGAACTATAGATCCGCGCAATTCCTCAACGACCTGCAGGACTTTCGACGAGTCTGAGCGGGATGCCCTACTAGCGCTTTCATCCCAAGGACTGGATTTTCTATTTGGTTGATTTCTGCATTTACGGCAGACCTTGATGAGCTTCTTGGGAAGACCGTTCTTACCCTCAGATAGAAGGATAACATAATTCAAGGGGAGGGCCAGAAGTTGACGTCGTCCAAGTATCGTGTGTAATTACTAAGTTACTAGTAGCACTCGGAGGCCGGCGGCCCGCTTCGAGAACTTTGATGTCCTAATCTGAATCGGCTTCCGCACAAAACCTTACGAAACGGACTACTCAAGGGCTTCCGTTCAACCAACGTCCTGATTTCACGCACTGCCAGTCTGCGAGCTAGTAGCCACTCGATTTTGAACTTTGTAAAGTGCAAAATCACACTCAAAACCGAGACCCGACAATTATGGCTCTAAAACTACCCGGCTGGTCGAGCGCGGTCACGGTGGTCCCTCGGACAAGCAGTAGACGTGTGATCTCCCACAATATGACCAACTGCCAGTGAGCTTCCAAACCCCCATCATTTTGTGCATTCGTTAATGAGTTAGTTCAGCGCGCAGAATGTCTACCGTTGCTGCAGACACCGCAAGCAGTGATCTCCCACTGTCAGGAATCCGAGTTCTTGAGCTTGGACAACTCATTGCTGGTCCCTTCTGTGGCCAATTGCTGGGGTAAGCTCTCAAGTGAGCGGCTTAATATCATGCATAACTGTCATAGACATTTCGGTGCAGAGATAATCAAGGTTGAACCACCTTCAACAGGAGACCCACTACGAGTATGGCGCGAACTTGATGTTGACGGAACAAGCCCTTGGTTCCGAAGCCTCGCGAGGAACAAGAAGAGCGTTGCTATTGACCTTAGGAAACAGGAAGGAAGACAGTACGTTGAAGACAAAGGTTCTGTCATCCCGATTTCATATCATATTACAGAATCGTGAAGCGGTTGGCTTTAAGAAGCGATGTCATAGTCGAAAACTTCAAGCCTGGAAGTGAGTTGTGCCAGTGTTGTTTGTATATTCGCACTAACCTTGGGGGTAACTTCAGCCCTGGAGAAATGGGGTCTCGGGCCACAGGAGTTACACAAGGAGAATCCATCCTTGATCTTCACCCGTGTCAGTGGATATGGCCAAACAGGTCCATGGGCTTCACGACCAGGATATGCGTCCGTATGTGAAGCTGAGTCCGGATTTCGCTTTATAAATGGACAGCCAGACCCGGATACCGGACTGCTTTTGGGACCTCCAACAAGACCCAGCATTAGTCTTGGTGACTCTGTCGCTGGATTACACGCAGCATTTGGCACTGTGAGAGGCTAATAATGTAGGGCGTACAGTCCTTGATATCTTCTAGGTGCTGGCATTGTTGTCGAAGCAGAAAAAGGCTTCAAGAGGGGAGCGAGGTGGCGAGACGGTAGATGTGAGCATTATGGAAAGGTAAAAGTCCACCCTTTTTTAACGACCTCAACTGGACACTTTACAGCATGTTGAACCTGATGGAAGGTATAGTTCCGGAGTATGACCGTAAAGGCAAGGTAGGAAGGAGCTCACTGCGCAACTTTTGAATCCTGTCCAATTTTCATATTCACAGGTCCGCGGACCGTCCGGTTCGTCGGTGACCGGCATAGTTCCTACTAACGCCTACCCCTGCCTCCCATCACCATCAACACCTACTTCGCCAACATACATCATCATCGGCGCAAATGGAGACACCCTCTACGCACGACTTATGCGTGCCATTGGCCGTGAAGACCTCATAGGACCGTCGTACGCCCACAATCACCATCGCGTCGCACGGCAAGGTGAGATCGAAGAAGCCATTTCAGCATGGACCAGTCAGCAGCACGTTGAGGAAGTTCTGACAACTCTCGAGGGCGCTGGTGTACCTGTCGGACGTGTCGTCGGCGTGAAAGAGATTGTGGAAGGCGAACAAGTAAAGGCCAGAGGAGCAGTGGAGGACGTGGAGGTTGGTAGAGATGGAGAGGGATGGAATGTAAAGATGCCCAGAGTGTTTCCTGTGCTCGAAGGCTGTGACGCGAAGACCAGATGGGCAGGGCCTGACCTGGGTGCACATACAGAAGAGGTCTTGGGAGAATTACTAGGATTGAGCGTTGAAAGCATCACCCGGTTGAGAGAAGAGGGCGTTATCGGTTGAAGGAGTTAAGGCGGGTATCTTCTGCAGTATAATTACATCTGCGCTTCCCCAGCGTCCCTTGCTCCCTGCGTCAATGGAAGTGGACCTGGTCGAATCCTAAGGCCTAAGTGAGCAGCCACAATAGATGCGTCACTGGAGGAGTCAAACATTCGGTCTAAACGAATGGTCATCATCAGGATCATGATGAGCTGACTGGTTTGTCTAACTTCGGTTCCTATATTGCAATGCATCCGCCTAAGTGTTCTACATTTTTGTAACTATGGGGAATGCTATGTGTCTCAATGTTTTGGTAGCGCGAGCTCATTGGTAACGCTCGAGGATCGTAGATAATGTTCGTGAGATCATCAAGATAGTGCACACCCAAATTACATCAGAATATCCCAGCAAGGCTCTCCTCGTCCGCTACCATGTTTTTCAATATATCTCTGGCTTCTCTTGCAGGTCTTGATATCGTGGAGCGTTCATTGGCGACACTTTCTTTGACCTTCATAGCAACACTACGCAAGAGTCCCAGTTGGGCGAACAGCGTGGCTGTTGGCTCAAGATAGTTGTCTGAATCCGGAGATAGGACAGCAAGGATGGCATGCGATGCTAAAGTTGATGGAGGTGTTCCAGAGATCAAGTGTGCACTGGCAATGATGATCAATACGTGAAACCAGGTGGAAGCATTCCTTCACTTACTTTACAATCGGCTTCAGTGATTGCGGATTCGCCGACAATGACGCTATCAACGACGCCGTTGCCTGAACGTAGTGATCTAAGAGATTCATTAGCACAAGCACGAGACAAATCCCAATGCTCGTGGAAACTGACCCTCGTGTGTTTCCCGGAATGCGTCATTCACAAGTTCGATGCATGATTCTCTAGCCTTTTCTCCGATACCACCGTGCGCAGAAGAACTCTTCACCACATTCGATAATGCAAGGACGAAACTGGCAGCAATCTCCTCCTCGCTGGATCTTGCACCAGCGATAAGTTCTGTGATAACAGGATCCACTCTTGGCTGACTGTGCATGAGGATACCCAAAGCGTCTGCTGCACGAGTTCGTACGACAACAGAGGACGCATCGCTGACCGCCTTAACAAACGTGCGCTGAAGCTGAGGGAAGAAGGGTTTAACGTGACCAGGGATTCTCTCGAGCATGGAGGCCAGTGCACTGAGGATAGCAGTCTTCACACCAGGAGGATATGTGGTGGCTTGTGTTGCAACACGAATGAGGGGCCCAGTGAATGGCACCACGAAAGGTTTGATAGCAGCCTCCTCCGTCCGTTCAACCAAGTCACCGATAGCGTATGCTGCATTTTCGCGTTGTTCATTGCTTCCAGCCGTGAGACCAGCAATAATGATAGGGACTGTGGGTGCGACACCCTTTGGCAGGCTGAAACCAGGAACGTATCGGCCAGGTGCACCGGTGCTCTCAATTGTCCGGCGTAGGGGCACCACGAGGGACTCCAGCTCATCCTTGGGCATTGACTTGACGAATACGTCAAATGCACGCCAAGCCGCAGTGTGGACTGGAACCTCTTGGTCATCAAAGAGAGAAACAAGCTGCCGGACCCAGTCAACACGGTATAACGAGGAATCGAGGTCAGACTCCTCGCAGAACACTGCAAAGAGATCGCAGGAGCTGATCCGACGTTTTGGCGCATCATTCTTGGCCCTGAAGCAGAAGACAATCAGTATATGCGCAAGCTTACAGAGCGAAGGCCACTGACCATCCAAGAAGGAGTAACATCAAGGTATTCAAACCTTCCGGATCTTCTATCGAGGCCAAAAGTGCGCGAACAGCCTCGTCAATAGCGCTCTGTAGCTCATCATCTTTCTCTTCTTCCAAAACCTTTACTAATGCTCCAAGAATGACAATGAGACGCTTGCTCAAGGCATGCCCAGCAACGGTGACGAGAGACGCCAGAGCTCTGGCGTTGAAAACCGTCATAGGTGTAGCAATCAAGGTTGGGATGAGAACAGGGAATACAGTAGACGCCCGGACCTTCAATTTGGTAAGTACATCCTTGCTCACAAACGAAAGGACGATACATACCGACATGACCTCCCTCAAAGCTTGGAGTGCGGTGTCTGAGCTTGCGCCTGGCTGGCGCAATGCCTCCAACAAGGTGGGAATTGTCTGATCAATTGCTTTCGCGCCGAGATGTTCTTGAAGTACATCAAATGCCTTCGCGGCCGCCGAACGTACTGTAGCATCATCATCCACTAGAGAGGCGCGGACCATGTTGATGATCTCATTTTCGTGGCCATCACGTTGTGCACCGGATGTACTCTCCCTAAAGGCTGTGAGACGCTATGAAAGAGGAGGGGAAAAGGATCCTCACATCACGTCGCATAGCATAAGGCAAACACCTTCACGGGTACTAATGTCAGGAGAATGTGACTTGGCATGAAGAATTGAGAAAATTTCGCCCAGAACCTTTTCGCCAGACTTGCGGCTCAGCTCTGCCGTGGTACGAGAAGCAGTCTAAGAAAGGGGTAAACGAATAAATATCTAATCGTGCAGTATAAACTTACCTCTTGCTGTTCGAACTCCTGGCTGGAATAGAGTTTCACCAACTGACCAACAAGTTCCGGAAGAATTTCGCGCACTGTGACACCATTGTCAATTGCGACCAATAAATACATCCGCGCGACTCACCAGTGCGAGGTGTGTTGTGCACAAGTGCCTTCCAGATGTGAATGGAAGACTGACGAACAACATTGACTGCATCTTGTCTTGCAAGATATAATGCCGATAAAATACGGTTACGACGTTCTTCTCCAAGAACCTCTGTGAGAGCGCGACGAGAAGATTCGACAACCGCAACTTCGGCGACCTCCTCTTCGTCTGCAACTTCAGCCTTTCCACTAATGCCTGACACCTTGAATAAGAGTTCTCCAACCAGAGTGATTGATGATTGCTAACGACAGGTGCTTAAAGTCCTGTAAAAATATACTGCAACAAAGAACTCACCCTGATGCGCCAGCCGGCATCGAACATGCCCTGCTCAAGTTCTGGCAGGAGCAAGTCGATTGCCTTGGTGGAGTAATTGGTAACAATCATCCGCCCTGCTCGCATAGCAGCGTCCCGGACATACTCTTCCGTATCAGACAGTCCGCTCAAAATGGGGGATATGATTTTCGGCAAATGAGGTTGGAATCGAGCGCCGAAGGTGGCAGGTAGATACACGAGGAGAGACATGAAACCTTCCCTGACTGTACTCCGCGGGGACTGAGCATTGGCGATAATGTCAGGGAGAAGGCCCTCGAGTCGCTCCATGCCGAGCCCAGACAGCACTTCGCTGAGGCCCTGAGCCGCACCTTGTCGATCAACACCCGAGGTGTCGGTCTTAAGTGTTCTCAAAAGCCCGGGAACAACGTCGGGGAAGTGCACTTCTCCGAGACGTTCAACAAGCGTCCCAAGCGCCTTGGCAGCAGTCGCCCGTGCTTCCGGCACGGGATCAACCAGAACAACGTGTACCAATGGCAAAAGTGAAGACAAGTACGGCACAAAATCCTTGGAGTCCGTCAAAGATGCGAGATTGCCAACGATCTGAGCGGCTCTCTTCTTGCCCTCCGTCCCTCGTTCCCGTAATCCGCGCTCGATAATGGGTATGACCTGCGACACGTAAGCTATGAGAACATCAAATTAAAGTAGCAGCTCACCAGCGCCAGAGAAGAGTGATCGATGTAGTGCATGAATGATGTCTTTAGGAGGGCTGACAAAGCGTTCGTCGTCTTCGCAGGATCCACAAGCGCCTTCAGTAGCGTCGGAACAAGGGCCTGTATCTCAGGGTTGTTAATGACTTCTCCAAACTGCTTCAGACTCTTGTTGGCTGCAGTTTTGACCTGAGCATGGGTATCTGTCAGAACGCCAGTAAGGCGCGGAATGACGATGGGCAGTGATAGGGATAGTTGTCGAGGCGAGCAGTAAGCCATCATGCCCATCAATTCAATGGAACCCTTTTTAGACCTCCACTGTTTCTCATCCAAACCAGACAGTAAGGAAGGGAGGATGAGCTTGACGCCATATCCAGACATATTACCCATGATCACCCTTGCCGCATCCTGAGCAGCCTCGCGTACATCCGCTGTCGCATCACCGAATGCGGTCAGCAGAATGGGGAGGATAAATGTGATATAGGGCTCGAATAGTCGACCGAGCGTATTTGACAAAGTTTCGAATGCAAACAGTGCACCTTGACGTGTTTCGAAACGCTTTTTATCCTCAGCAGCTGTCCGGAGGCGGTTGATGACATCGTATTCTTTCATGGCGCCTACTCCCAAACCCTTGATGGTACCTGCAAGACCGTAGGCGGCTCCCCGTCGACTAGCGTATTTTGTTCCATTGAAGAGTTCCTCGAACAAGTGATCAACGAGCTCTCGAACGCCCGGGCCCATGAGCTTCACTAGGGGGACAAGACAGTCGGAAACAGCTATTTGGACTTGTTCTGCTGGAGTCTTAAGTGCTTCGACCAATCGGTTGACAATGCTGGGAATGCGTGTGTCTGAGGCGTCGAGATGCCTGGCGACACGTCCGAACAGAATGACAACGGCTTCCTTGATTTGATCTCCTGTTTCATTCGCGGGACTTGGGCCACCTAGATGCTCTTCAAAAGTCGAGAGTAGCCCTGCAAGTCGTTTTGAGCCATGAAGGTCGATGACGGCCGTTCCAGCCCGAAGCATGCTGCGGCGCACGTCTGGTGACCTGTCACCCAATGCTTCGTCCTCAATCAAGAATACGAAGAATGGTTCAATCTGGTCCTCTGTGAATGATTCAGCCAGGTGCTCAAATGCAAGGGCAACTGCAACCCGCGCAGCCCAGGGATCGGAGCGATCAAGGCTGGAAGCAATAACCATGCCCTGGACACCAAATGAGTATCGCGATCAGAAAGCTCATTATGGTACTGACATATTCGTCGAACTCGGGTGCAAGAATTTTAGCCTTCAAACTGGTAAGAGTCGAGCACGCAAATAAGGATGACGAGTCACACCTTCTCCCGGTAGAAGTCTTGGAGAGCAGCCACGGTCAATGCACTCTTTCGAGGCCAATAAATCACAGCCTCCGCGATGGCCGATGCCGTGCTGGTTCGCACGTACGCATTGTTGTGGTCTGATAAACACATTAGAAGGAAATGTATGGAAACATGAACTGCATACCCAGATAATTCAAGAGCTTGTCAAGGAAATCTTCTGGGACATCCAAGCCGTTATCCTCCCACACATGATTGGCAAGACGGGCATTCTGCTCGTCGTCATCGTGGCAGGCAATCCAAAGTTGCGGAGACCAATCGAGATCGGTCAAGTCAAATGGCTGCGAAAATGATGAACAAAAGTAGCACAAATCACAAGTCAGCAATACTGACCTGGATGGCTTGCAGGCAAGCGTTCCTAACATAGACCTCTTGTAATAATGTGCCATCAATGAGCACGCCGACCTCATCGCGAGTCGCATTTGACTGCACAGCCTCTCCGAGGTCAATGAGAACAGATGACGCTTCCTTGCTAAGCCGCGGTTGATGTCTAACGACGTGAAGAACATGCTCCATGGTTGCTTTTCGGGGAAATGCTGCATCCGAAACTACAAAGAAGAATGTTAAATATAAATCAACTCTTATACCAAAGACGAACATTCGCTGCAGTGAAACCTGATGATGTCAAGCACAAGAGTTACTTGCTCGAGTGCTTCATCGCCATCATCTTCCCCGGCGTCTACACCGCCCTTCAGCAACACATGTGCAAGGAGCGGGAATGCATAGGAAAAGGTTGCAGCATCAAATGGAGCTTGCTCTGACAGCGATCGCAGACGATAGAGAACACGTAGCACAAGAGCTGGAGAATTGTCAGTAAGTGTCAGTAAGCGAGTTGTGTTTCCGGACAGACAAGACTCACAGCTAAGTTGTTCAGCCCGCAGTTCCTCGGGTACCGACGCGATCTCAAGGCTTCGTAATGTGGCCACACCAACCCACTTATGGAACGTATCCAAACGCACTGAGCAGCACTTGGCGAGGTCCTATTACGAAAAAAAATAAGTGCAAACTATACAAAAGTCATTCACACAAACCTACCAAATATGCTTCGAAGGCTTGCGACCCGACAAGCCTCGACCCTTGGCCCATAGCTCCCTCCAACAAGAGCGATAAGATAAACGAAACATACATCCGCAACTCGGGGACATTGATGGACGCCAAACTCTGCGCGTACGAAAGCCCTCGTTGCAGATCGAGTTTGGTGGTGGTGACTCGTTGCCGCACAATTGCTTCCTTGTCCAGCTGTGCTTGGACGAGCGCTTGAGCTTGCTTCGACAGCGTAGCTGTCGCAGCGCCCTTCTTGTTCGCAAGCGATTTACGGAGTTCGGCCTCCCAGCGAGCGATATCCGCATCTTTCCCCTTCTTGGGACCTTCCTCGACCTTCTGAGATGAGAGAACTAGCAAGAACGCGATGAATGTGGCGTAGTTCCTATAATTAAATTACTCACCATCTACGTACGTCGTGCCTTCTGGTGTTTTCCAGATACCGAACTCAGCCTCGGACAGTGCATTGATCTTCGAAGAATCGATGTCGGCACGTAACTGCTCCATGATCTTCGGTAATGCATTTTCGGGACATACAAACGCCAATGTGCTAATTGCTTGATAGCTCGCGTCCGCAAAGCCAAACTTTAATTGCACAAGTATGAGTGACAGCGCATTTAGAAGGCGTGAAAATACAAAACTACCTTCGAATCGATGGCAGATGCCGTCAAAATGCTAGTCATCGCCTGGTCAACGCGCCGAGAAATTAAATGATGCGGGTCCACGCCAGCCTTCTGACACAACTCGATCCATAGCAAGCGGGACGGGGGACCTTGTGCGTTTTTAGAACCTTCAGCGGCAGTCGATAGAATAATGGGCGAGGATGCTCACAAACGGCAGAGTGATGTGCTAGGACAATGAGGTCCACTAATTGATTATCTTTCTCTCCTGCACCTGCTTCTTCCTTATGTCCGCAGCACAGTAGCAATGCCGCATACCTTCGCTGCTTGTCTACGGGTTTTTCAGTCTCCTCTCTGACTGGTGCGCTCTTGACAGCGGCCGACTTCTCCTTGATCAAAGAGGCTGTCATCGCTTCACGCAGGATCAGAATGACAAGCTGTGGCAGTAATGCAACGGCTGCTTCGATGGTCTGAATCGCTAACCTCCGGACTTCGGACGACTGCGAGTGAATAGAGAGGTGAACAAAGACGGAGCCGATTTGCAACCTGAAAGTTATGTCAAAAAGAAAGAAGCCGTGTAAGACAGCTATACTCGCCGTAACTGTTCGCTTTTAGCCAGTTCGTTCTTCAGGCGGAAAAGAGAGAGGTTGACAGCACGCAGAAGCCATATCTCGTCTTCTGTGTCAGTCAGTTTTTGGTATATTTTATCCGAGATCAGGAATGACGGCTTGGCTTGGGTGCCAGTAAGAACTTCGATGGACGCATTGCGAGTTATGATATCGCCTGAAAGAAATGAGTACGAAATGCAGCGGACATCGAAGAGAATGAACATACCGAACTTCCCCGTATTTGCCAGTGGACCCATGAGTAGAGCTAGGGCAACGTATCCCTCAAACGGACCAACTGCTGCGGTTAGAGGGTTTGTGGTCACAACCTTCAAGTTCGTTTCAAGAGCACTTGTTACCCCCATTGAAAAAGCAAGAACAGCGTCGGTGTCGACCGTGTCAACGCTCCAGAGCGCCGACCCAGTAATAGATACAAAAGCTCTCCTGATGACATGCTTCGGGTTAGTCATCTCCTTCGCAATCACAGTTGTCGCGTCTGCAGGTACTTTTGTGTTCGTCTTCAGAATGAAAGTAAGATGCACAGCCATGATTGACGCCAGCACCCCAACAGCTGCGTCAGTCGTTTCCTTCACAAGCAGCTGAGGCACATTCTGTACTACAACAACCGAAACCTCGGCGCTTGGTGGCATCGCGGCGAGCATTGCATAGAGCGTAAGTCTATGCTCTGGGCCTGTGGTTTTACCGGTCTTGGGCAGTGCCAAAACATCCGTAAGGGCTGCATTGACGCTCGTGGAGCCAATATCCTTGGATATCAGGACCTTGAAAAGTCCCGTGGCATTCGTGCGCACGACAGGGTTATTGGACTTGGCAGAATTGAGGGACGCGGTGAGGAGTTTTTTGAATGTGGCGGAGTCGAGGGTGTGAGAGTACGCGAGTAGGAAATCTGCGATAACTGCAAGCAGTTCGTCAGAAAGTGACGATCCTGATGTACATACGTACCGCTTAGTGAATATTCTGGTGATCGTAAAAGTGCCTTCTCCATAGTTGGTAATACAGCTGCTGTTAGATCGCTAGAGGTTACACAAGTCCCTATGAAATCATGAAGCGCGCTCTGCCATAATGTATATTGAGATTTGGTATCAAATAACAGCATATAGGCATCTTACAGAGGAGTGCGATGGAACAGGATTTTTGGACATCACGACGCAAGTCGTATAAAGATCGAGGATGTCATCCTGGCATCGCATTCAGCAGGTACTACAGTGGAAGAGCATGCTTATGTTACCTTGATTGCAGGAGAGATTTGGGTGAGTGATTCGTCCTTCACATATTTCAAGCGAAGTGTCACATCCACAGCAGTACTCAGCAACGAAAGCTGTATGAGGGGTGTTTGGCTAGATTTTGCCTGCGCAATGAGTGTCGTCATGAGAGCGGGAATCTGTTCCGGTGCAGACCGAAGGGCTCTGCGTGTACGGACAAGCGCACTTTTCTGCATAGTTGGTTTTGTTCGCGTAAAGCGGTTAAGCTGCATATCAAGAAGTGTCGCGAAGATATCGACAAGCATTTTCCATAGAGGGGAAGAAGTAAAGCCAGGAGAGGACCGCAGACAAGTCGTATAAAGGCCACATGCCCAGCTCAAGAGAACGAAAATATCTGCAGGTGCGTATGTGCTGATACACTAACATCAGCTACCATCTGGAGGTGAGAGATGAAAAGCAGACCTTGATGAACCACGTTTAGCTATCAGGGATACTTCGTTCGCAAGCCACCCTAGAACCTGCTCTGTGACTCCCATCTTTTGGTCAGCATCAGCTGTCTCATCCTTCTCAATCAGCGTCATCCCCACTTCCTCGACGGCATCGCGGGAAAGGGAATCAACGTATCGAGGGTATGTTTGGGTCAGGAGTTTGAAAACATCCATGGTCTGCCTTAGGCTCAGTCCTTGAAAACAATCTGGAATTACAATGTTGCTCGACTACTATGAACTGTAAAACATGCCTCCGTTGGTCGCAAGCCATAAAAGTTCTTCCTGTAAGAACTGCAGGCGAATTCTGGTACTGCTGGTTAGAAGGTTTCCCTGAGCGATTTGCATGACCTTTTGCCAGTCCTCCTGTATGAGATCTCTGGACCATAACCGTCCGCTCGTATCCTCATCATCCATGTGGTGCGACGAGTTTGTCAAGACCAACCACGACTCGATATCGGTTTTGCCTGAGGACTCCGATCGGCCAAGTCTCTTGAGCTTTGTTAATGTTGCTTTGTGAGGCAGAATGGACGCGGCACAAGGTAAGTATGTAATGATGCTAAGAATTCTCGTACTTGTCTCTGAGAAATCAAGAGAAGTGGAAGTTTGTAGAGTCACGTGAGTATAATTATAATTAGAAATTGAGAACATTGCATAATTATGTAATAAATATTTTTCTTTTCGCACACTAACCCAATTGATTCTTGATCGAAGCACAAGGAAGCTAGCCTTGGAGCGAAATGGAGGAAAAATACGCTTATAACAAGAGAATCAGACATTATTCCGTGAGTCTCTTGATCCTTCACCACATCCACCGTCACTCCTTTACCTTTGCCTCCATCACGCGTCGAGCCTCCAATTACCCACTAATCTCGACTTTCTGAGTAGTCAGTCATCAACTACTAGACCTTCCTAATCCAGCATACAGTATCTCTCGTCAACCGTATGTATTCAAGTTCGGGGGCACGCGGTCGGCTCATTTTCAGACGACAGATAATTCCCTCTCGTTGACTGTTGCTGTCCTCATTCGTTGATAGCTTGTGCTCGAACATAATCCGTTGTACAACTTGCTATTTTACATCTGGTGAGTTCATACTGAATAACAAAAACCTTCCGAGTTGTGACCCGCAGATCAACTGTAGATTCATTGAAGGACTAGATCCATGCCTTTTACCCACGACTCAAGTCCCACAGATACTTCCACCTCTCCCACTGAGACTGAGACCGACCTTGACTTCGGTGATCCGAGAGATGGGCATGTTGTAGCCGTAGCCGTGACCGTCGGTGTCGTCGGTGTCTTCCTTTTTGGACTCATCACATGGCTTCTCCTACGTCTGCGTCGCACACCGGCTGACAAGGTTGATGCGGCTCCCTCCCCCCGTTTAAAACGTACCTTCACATCAGATCATACTCGACCCTCGACTGAGTCCAAGTTCAGTTTCAGTAAGTCTTCTGCTGCTCAAGAGAAAAGTTCGATGTTTATGGGCTTCGTTCCAGTGCGGAAACCGATGCGAGTGGCTCACCAGCAGGATGATGGTTCTTGGGACTTTTCAGACCCAGACCCGACGCACATTTACATACCTCCCACACCGAGGAGTCCGCTCTCCCCGCTACCCACAGCTCCACGCTCCAATCGCTCTAGTATATACAAGGGCGAGATGTCCCCAACTGATTCAGATCTCGAGGCTCCTCCACCTGCTTACTGCGTAGACGGAACTATGTGGTCAATGTGTACTCCTCCACAAGACCATCCGCCTCAAGCAATTGCTTATTAGTTTTTGCCTCTGACTTCGTCAGCATCACATTCACCTTACCATTATTCTCATTTTGTCGCTTTCGATGGTTCAATTTCTCCACTTTTTTCATTTCTGGCCATTTTTCGCCAGGTGCCCTTGTTACGAGTAATTCGCCGTGTACCATACAGAGACCCTGATAGCTTGGCTCACGGACAACGATATGTATAACCACCCTTGTATGTACTTCATACTCGTGGTTAATATATCAAAGATCTGCGTTCTTGCAATGGCATCATCATGAAATGATCAGGCGATCACGGCGGACTTCTTTACCGAAAATTAAATTCACACGTCAGTAGATCAACAGTGAAAGGTTAGCACTCTGAATGTACACGCTGTCTCCAACATGCCCTTGGTGCAGTGGCGGCCAATCACTACGTCGTAAGGTAAGTATCGCTGCCGTTGTCTTGCTGATTCATAAGGGGCAGGATCAGACTCATCGCAATTCCGCACGATCATGAACTTATCAACTGCGAGGTATTATATTAAGAATGATTGAAGTAATAGTTCCAGGTGGATTATACAAGAGCATGCAGAGAAAGCCTGACAAAACAGCGAAAACGCACAAAAAGTTAAATTAAAGCATAAGGATCAAATGGCAAGGGCGTCGATATCCTCATCATCCTCATCCTCATCAGAAGAAGAAGAAGATAGAGAGATTTCAGACAGAGAGGTGCGAGCCCTTTTCCTCTTCTTCGGCCATCCAGAGACTAAATATCAAAAGTGAAACGAGGCATCAAATGAGACATGAAACACGAACCAGTGGGTGCTCCAGGACGTTTCGGGGGGCGGGCAATGCGAGGCACGTGAACTAGTCTAGTGTTTGCGTCAACCTGGTCTTCGACTTTAGAATTCTTGAGATGAACGGCTGTCTTGACGTTGCAAGACAATTCTGGATTTCCTGCTGTGGTGCATTTATGGAGCTGAGTACTATTCGACCTGAGAACCTAATATGCGTGTGAGTTACATGCAGGGAATCCGTTCCCTTGGAAAGTCATGGAGTACTTACAGATACGAGGATGTTCAACGCGTCGGCGACCTCTGAATTCAAAGGGCTGTCCTTTGCAGTTGTTGCATGGGCACAAACCATATTTTCGACGTACGCGACGAGGTCTTTTATTGCATTGTGATCTCGCTGCCCTAAAATATTGCACAACTGAGTCTGTTGCAGCTTCGACTTGAATGTTTCATCTATGTTGGCGGACACGGCGGGAGTGATATCCTCAGGAATTTCTATGTCGTCCCACCACTTCCATCTTGCGTAGATCGGCTTCCTCGTTCGACCGAGAACATCCTCGAGTTGCTTCCTAAGGCTAGCGGTGATGGAATCCTCCAAGATCGCGGCTCTGTATGTCCCTGCTTTGCGTAATTCGAGAAAGATGGCCTTGGTCAAGGGTTCCAAGTCACGCTTCGCGTTCTTCCACAGTGCTTTGCTTCGCCAGTCCCATCTTGTAATGTGCATGGCGTAGGTGCCCCTGACCCCTCTAGAGCATAAGTCTAAGTCCGCTTTCAAACAGTCCTTCATCAATGCAAGGAGATTCCGGAAAGCTTGCTTTTCAGCTCCGGGAAGTTTGTCGAAAGCATTGTCGACCTGTGTTCTGTCCTTGGGACGGTCCTGTTGAATCTCCTTTTCGCTGATTGTTGACATCGTATTGTGAAGGTGGAAGATGAGGGTGTTTCGATGCCCCCATATCAGGCGGCATAGCTGTCATGTCAATCATAAGCGAGCAGGTTGATATATATGCACATATCATACCTGTACCTCAGCATCCGGTGCATGATTTACAACGTTCTGAAGCATCACTTCACTCCTGTCGTCCATATCATGGCCACGACCATGCAAAAGATGATAGTAGTCGAGGAGGGGCTCGAACCACCTGCAGATCTGGAGTTAGTTAGCGTGGTAATGAACCTGGACTGAGAATTTACATACTTCAGTGACCCCTTCTTTCACGGCATCGAGCGATGACCAAGCATAGTCCAACAACCAAGCAGACAACAGGGGAATAGGTGCTTTGCTCGCATCATCATAAGGCGATAACCACACAGCAACACGGGCCGTAATTCTGTCATATCGTCGCGTAATATCGTTTAACTCGGTGGGATCGTTGCTCCCTTCTAACCACTTTGTTCGCAAGAATTTCACAACGTCGTGGCGGTAGTCATCCAAAGCATTCAAGTAAGCGTCTGTCTTCTCACCTATGTCAGAGTGAAGATGTTCGAATACTTTTTCGGCATAAGCATCAATCTTATCGAACACATCATTGAATACCGCAAGGTCTGTCGAGTCCTGCGAGTTAGTGATCTGCGTTTTCCATAAGCCGATTTGTTTCCGAGCTTCGGCACCCTCGGGACTATCATCACCAGCTTGTTGTAGGACAGTGTTCACAGTCGTGTAATCTGGGAAATCGTCACCGGACGCCAATTTCTTCATGATATCAGCCTGCGACGCAATGAACCGAATGTATAGCTTGGTAAATAATAGTCGTTAGCACTTGAAATGCAAAGACAGTTGTGAAATCTAATGAGACCTACCCCCATCACAGTATCAATGGACTTCCCGAGCCAAACGATAGAAAACTCTTGCCGTCCACAGAAGTGTGGACCGAGGGGGAGAAGCACAAGAGCCAGCACTAAGACGAGCTTTTCGTAATTCAGGACCTTTACGAGGCGTGAATTTTTGGGTCTGCGTTGTTGAGCCAGTTTCGCTTTAGCACTCTTGTAAGACGAGTCATCTGGTGACGATAGGTGCGCCTGGAGAATTTCTTCGAGTATGGTGTCCAATATCGACTCTTCAGACATCCCGGTTGTGCGCAAAGGTCAGAAGGTGACCCGGCAAGTGATCCGTTCGACCCAAAATGGATTCAAGTTGTTTGGCAAAGGCTTCTGATCCAAACAACCTTTTCGAGATCGCAAATTTTGGGAACGCAAGCCAGCCAAAGCAGCTACACCTCATGACCACCGTCTGTCCTCGTAACTGGTAGTGCCATTTTTTTTGCTAGTTCTCCTTTGCGATATTCTGCGAGCCATGGATTCGGACTCAGATTCGGGCGAGGGAACTAGTGCAGTTCCTCGTGTCAACCGATTCAAGGTGCTTCAAACCTTGTCAAGCCTGTTCCTTTGATTGACTGCGCATATTTTAGCACCAATCATACAAGAAAAGTTTAAAGGAGGTCCATCTGCCATCTGCTCTTGACCTTACCAAGTTCGATCATGACATCTCAGTGAGTTTAACATTGGTCTCGTTGATCCACGTGGATTGCTCAAGCAGGTCCAGGACAACGAATCTCATTTTTATCTAGCTCTTCAACAATGGCGACAACTCAATCTCTCTCCAGCGTTTGTTCAGTTTGCGCACAAGGTTGACTCACTCTCAATATCTATGCCCATCCTCTTGCATAATTGGAAGGAGATTGTTGATCTGTGGAAAGGTGCTTTGGATGCATCAGACCATGAAGCTTTGAAAGCTCTACTCGAGTGCGCCTCTCAGACACATGAATTAATATTCTCTAACCACATTATTTACTTAGCCTCCTGAATAAGCTAGCCCACGATCTACGAACCACTCTTGCTCCGTCATATGCTGATTTGCTGGAGGTCCTCTTGCGGCTTCTGCCACAACCTATACCAGCACCATCTCTTACAGCTCTCTTGGCGACACTGTCAGGACTATTCAGGTATCTTCTCGTACCGTCAATCAATCTCGATCTTTTGGACCAGACGTGGTCTTCTTTTCGCGCGGTACTTCCATCCTGCAATTCTGACGTTCAACGCGCCGCCGCGGAGGTATGGGGTTCCGTGCTCCGTCGGCTTAAGAGTGTTGCGAGGGAGAGAGCTGTGATTTTGATGGCAAAGAATTTGGAAGGTGTCGAGGATGCCAGCGCGTGGATGATGATCTTTGCGTGCAAAGTGCGTATGCTGCTCACCTATAGTTATCAGTCTTACTATACCTGCAGTCTGTTTCCCAAACCTTGCACACCAGTGCAGGATCATCGATGGCTTCTCTCATTGACTGCCACCTAACAAGTGATCGCCCCGAATTGTCGTATACGCTACTGCGGCGTGTGCTGACCGCCTTGATTCACCACTGTAATGGCTCGGAACACTTTTCGGTCATCGCGAGCCTCATCGTTGATCGCTTCTGTGCTGTGTCGCAGGCTGAGGGCGTCAATCACCAACATCTTCAACGTGCCATGCAAATTACGTCTGTGCTCTGTGCAGTTCGTCAAGGATCGCGATTGTCATGTATGTCATTCTAGTTTTTCATTCTTGCGCACTATTTGAACTTCGCTTCTGTAGCATCCCATCTAACACAGCTTGCATCAAGCCTGGCATCGCTGCCATGTGACCTGCCTCTGCATTCTGAGCTTTTGATCTTTGCAACTTCACTTCTCACTGCCGGTGACATGTCGATGTCCGCAGGGACAGGTCGTGCGTTTGTCGCCCGGGCTCTAAGTGTCCCTTCTTTCGGCTTGATGCTCTGCGGTGTCCTCGCAGAGCTAGGATGGGGTGGCTGGAAGCTTGTTGGACTACCCGCTCTTCTCAAAGCAACCCCTAGTCTCCTTCAGGCGGAGCCCTCCCTCACGTTGCGTCTTCTTGCATCTCTGCAACATTCCGGGAAGCTGGGCGAGGTCGATATTGTCTGGAAGCGAAACGTCGATACCTGGATACAAAACCGCTTATCTAGCTGGGAAATTAGTGACGATTCGGTGGATGACTTATACAACATAATGAGTCTCTCCGTATTCGTCGACTCGTTGGCGCCCTCATTGGTGCCCATCATTACACGCTCACTGAACATGTCGACACCTGAGGCGAACTGGCAAACATCGCATGCCAATGCGGCCTGGGTCATCGGAACATGCATGCAAGCTTTGTCTCGATGCAAGTCCGCATCCTGGGAAACACAAGTGGATTTGCCCGCCTGGACGACAGAGATCGTGGAACACTGGTCGTGGTCCGACAAAGTATTGATGGGCCTAGTCGCGCTTCTCGAAACATGGTAAATTTGTGACCTTATTCTGGTTTCCTCTTACTGACATGAGATAGCCCTTCTACATCTCAGTCTCTTCCAATCGCCCAATTATATTCCCGTCTGCAATCACGGTTGCTTTCCCCTTCTCGATCACTGCGTTCAAATGTGTTGGGACTGTTGACATCGAAGATGGTCAAATCTTCTCCCGCTGAACACGAGGCGTTGAAGCGCTGTCTGCAGGGCGACGAAGTGTCCCTTGACATGCATGGCGTACGCGAGCGCGTTCTCCGAATAGGCAGATTATACCAGGTCGTGAGAGATGATGATTCACTTTCCGCTGATATCTGCGTTCGGTGGCTTGTTTGTACGTATTCTGTTTCATTCATGCAGGGTTTTGCTGATGGCATCTTAGCTCAACTGAAGGTCAACTTACGACCGATCTGGTCCCCAGCGTCGGAAGCTCTCTCTTCTTTGGCCCAGAAGTTTGGTGACATTGTCTGGAATATCGTATTCTCCGAGCTACAACAACCCCAGGGAGCCAATGAGACCCCTGATTGGCTGACTGCTACCAAGGATGATGAGAATGACATGGATCCTTGGGAAGAAGAGCGATCTTGGAGAGACCCCACCGCACATCGGCTTCGAGGCGCCGCTGTAAATTGGATAGATAAACATCACCACCGCAAGATCATTATTTCGGTAAGTCTTTTGAGCGCTCTAACTAGCGTGTTATTAACGATGGGGCATAGGAACAAAAACCGTCTGATCGGTTCGATCCCGTCACATTTGAAGCTCAACTTCTCCTCACTCTCGGACAATGCACATCTTTGGCGGAAAAACATAACCGCGAGTTAGTGACATACTTCCTTTCCATTGCAGGTCCGAATGCACCATCACGATTACCGAAATACAAGCTTCAGGCGTGGTTGACGCTGTTCAGCAAGTTTAGCAATCCCAAGGCTCTGCACTCCACAGATACGCTACGAGAACTGTACCGCTCTCACCTCTCCTATCCCGATCGGGAATTGCAAACGGTATCTTTATCATGTTTGCTCGCGTATAAGTCGCCCCACCTCCAACATCACGAGGAGAAACTGCGTCTACTCCTGGACGAAACTAAATGGAGAGACGAGTTGACGTCTTTGCATATGTCATCGATAGAGATCAAGGATCGACCTCAAGTGGTGGACGTCATCATTCGTCTGCTATATGGACTTACGTTGGAAAAGAAGGGTCGCTCTAAAAGCGGTGATCGCCGGGCTGCTGTGCTGACAGCATTGGCAGGATGCACGGACGAGGAGCTCTATCTTCTAGTGGATCTTATGTTGAAACCAATGCAGTCTGATAGCCATGCTCGCCAGGATGACCTCTTCTCGCTGCGCGTTATCTCCTCAGACGTCCCGTTGAAGCAGCAGTCTGGTTACCTGAATTTGTTGGGTGACGTGTTGAAGAACCTCGGGTCGAGGTTAACCACGTACTGGCCGGCTTTACTCGGGACCACACTCGACCTGGTTGCCAATGCTCAGAAGCATTTGTCCGATGTGACGACAGGCGATGTAGTTGAGCAGGTGGACAACGAAGCGGACGAAGAGGAGAGCGAGTCCGGAGAGGTATTCAATTCCCGAGTTTTGCGTTCTCTGAGGCAACAAGGCCTCAAGCGGCTTGCCGATTTCTTTCGCTGCCCCGTCGAATTCGACTTCACGTCCTATCTCTCTGCATCATTTCCCGCTATTGTGTCACCGCGTCTGAAGTTATTGGATCAAGAAAATACTCAAGCCCCTTCCGCACTCCTGGAATTATTCTTTGTCTGGACCAGTCAGGCTGAATATTCGGTCCACCTTGTACAACACGACTCTCGTGTGCTGCCTAAGGTTCTCGACTGCCTTGTGGCGGCTAACGTCAAGCCAGCAGTGATCAGCAGAGTATTCGATATCGTGGAGCGCCTGCTGTCGTATTCTGCGGATGACAGTAAATTCTTAGATCTGCTCGTTCAGCCCCATATATCGCAGTTGCTCAAGAACCTCACAACGTTGGTCGGACGCACGAAGGCCGATACAGCGCTTTCAAGTCCAATCACTCAGCGCCAAATCAGCATACTTTCGGAGGTTGCTCGTTACGCCGGAGATTCTACGCAGGCCTTAACTCTCCTCGGCCTTCTCTCCCCTTTACTGCGCAAGTCCAGCAGAATCATATCTGAGAAAGTCAAAGTCAAACTTCTCAGCACCCTTGGACATATATTCCCTCTGCTAACTGAGCTGTCAAATACCTCCTCCGTCGAATTCTCTAAGGCATACGAGCTTCTTTCGCAGCTTTTTATGTCGCTTCGCTTCACCGCTTCTCGACTCGCCCTCACTTCAGCTTTCAATCAGCTCTCGGTGATTAATCCGAGCATCCAAGAGCTTGCAAGCCTGCTTGAATCACTCAACGCCTGCTCGCCGAAACGAATTGATCAACCTGACTTTAATCGTCGGTTGACTGCGTTCATGCTGATCAACGAGCAAAAGTACGCTATGCTATCATGCCGTGAATGGCTTCCTGTCCTTTCGAATGCACTTTATTTTGTGCAGGACGCCGACGAACTGGCCATCCGCAATAACGCCGCTTTCACAATCAGACGCTTCATTGACCTTACATGCGACCCATCCAATCTAGAATTCGAAGCGCTTCTCATGCGAACTGCCCTTCCGGCATTGAAAAACGCCTTGAAGTCCAAGAATGAGCTTATCCGTGCGGAGGCTCTCGGTGTTATCTCGTATGCTGTGTCCAAATGCGACAGAATCTCTTCCCTGCAGGAGATGTGTCCCCTCCTTGCTGGCGGTGACGAGGAAGCTAGTTTCTTCAGCAATATCCATCACATACAGATTCATCGTCGCACAAGAGCTTTGAGACGCCTTGCCGAGTACTGTGACGAGGGGGTCATGCGCAGCAGAACCTTGGTTGAAGTCTTCCTTCCGCTCGTTGAGCATTACATTGTCCCAACGGCCTCGCTCGATCATCTTCTCGTCTCAGAAGCGATCAACACGACTGGGCGCATTGCGAAACACCTTGGGTGGAGTGCATACTCGGCCCTTGTGTACAAGTACATCCGGTCGTCAAAAGAAAAGACTGAAGGCGTCCGGGTTTACGTTCGTGCTTTGGTTGCGATCCTTGAAAACTTCCACTTCTCCGTCGAAGAAGCTGTGCAACACGTCGATACGTCCGCAGATGACATTGCTAACAGCGATCACGAGGGATTGGTAGATGAATCGCTGCCCATTCCTTCAGCTGATAGTCAGGACAAAAAAATCGCTGACGCTGTTCACACCCGCCTTCTGCCTTCGCTTTTGGCTTACCTCTCTAATCGCGACGAGACGGAGGACACCCTTCGCATCCCGATATCGATGGGTATTGCCAAGGTCGCCTTGCATTTACCCTCTGCCTCCCGAGATCTGCAAGTAGGTAGGCTCTTGACAGCCCTCAGTCAAATATTGCGTAGCAAGTCGCAAGATACTCGCGACCTCGTGCGAGATACGATTTGCAGAATAGCTGTCGCGCTGGGTTCCCCTTACTTGCCTGTCCTGTTGCGGGAGCTCCGCGCAGCACTCCTGCGTGGACCGCAACTACACGTTCTAGCGTTTGTATTCCACGCAGTGCTCACCCACGTCACGTCTGCGCAAGACAGCAATGGCCCTGTGATTCAAGATTTGGATCACTGTGTCGCCGATATTGCTCATGTCTCCGCCGAAGTGATTTTTGGAGAGTCGGGGAAGGATGTACAGCATGAAGACTTCCGGACGAAAATGCGTGAAGTACGCAGCAGCTCTTCCAAGGGACTCGATTGCTTCGGGTTGACAGCTCGGCACGTTTCGCCCAAACGCATTAGTGCGCTCCTCCTGCCGCTGCGCTCTATCATCGCAGAAACGGGTTCTTTGAAGACACTCCAGCAGGTTGACGAAGTTCTCAGACGTATTGCCAGCGGACTCAATAGCAATGCAAGGCTCACACCTGCTGAATTATTGGTTCTGTGCCACACCCTGATCAGTCAGAATGCCAAGTTCTTACAGGAAGCTCCGAAGCCCAAAGCGACCAAGTCTAGTAAAAAAGCTGATGCTATCGTCCAGCGGCAACGCCAAATAGTCACGGATACCGACCATTATACAAATAATTCCTTCCGGTGAGACTCATGCATGTACCGTATCTTTTTAACTCATCAGGCACCGCAGTTTCGTCGTCTTCGGTTTGGAGCTCTTCAATACCGCATTCCGACGCTCTCGATTTGACTTTAAGGACAAACAAATTATCAGTCGCTTGGATCCGCTTGTAAAGCTCATCGGAAATGCTCTTTATTCATCCTCGGAACCAGTCCTTATTGCTTCTTTCAAGGCTTCGGCCAGCATCCTGCAATGTCCACTCAAGTCAGTCTCGTCGTCTGCACCAGTTATTGCCCGCCAAATACTCGCGGTTGTCCGTTCTACTGGTAGCGGGGAGTCCGAAGTTGCTCAGGCTGGTCTCAAGGCTCTGGCAAGTATACTACGAGAGTGTGAAGCCGCTCAGGTCAAAGAGAAAGATCTGCTCTTCCTGATTGAATTTGTTTCACCATATCTGGAGGATCCCGACAGGCAGGGCACCGTTTTTGCGTTACTGAGAGCTATTGTGGCACGACGGCTGATTGTACCTGAGCTTTACGACGTTATGGCTGACGTCTCCGCTATCTTGGTCACATCACAAGCGGCACAGACCCGCGAGTCTGCCCGGTCTCTTCTCCTTCAATTTCTCCTCGACTATCCGCAAGGCTCTGGAAGACTGCAGACCACACTCGGCTTCTTTGCTCGAAATCTTTCGTATGAACATGCATCAGGACGTTCAAGTGTTCTCGAGCTCTTAGGCGCGCTCGTGAACAAATTCGACTCTGTGTTGCTGGCAAAGCACGCGGAGATGATCTTCATTGCCCTTGTACTCTGTCTTGCTAACGATGAGGACAAGTCTTGCAGAGAAGCTTCTGCATCGGTCCTTCAAAGCTTGGTCAAAAGGTTGGGAGAGGACGAGAGAAAAATATTTGTTGGCCATCTGCATGCGTGGGCCAGTCAAGAAGGACAGGGAAAACTTAGGGCAGTTGCAGTGCAAGTATACGGGCTCATCATCGACGCTTTGCAACGAGAAGCTTCCCCGCATGCCGCTGCCCTGTTCGCCGATGTTCAACAGATCTTGGACGATAGTATTCGAACGCTGACCCTGTCAGATGGCGATGGAGAAGACATGGATGTTGATGTGGAATGGCAACCACCGTACCAGGCAATGCTCGCTGTCTCGAAGCTCCTGCAGACCTTGCCTGAGCATACGCTGGATGCGGTGAAAAGCACCCAGGACAAACTCGTCCCATATCTCCTCTTTCCGCACGCTTGGGTGCGCTCAGCAGCTTGTCGGTTGTTGGGCGTGTTCTTCGCATTTTATGGCCCCACCCCCACTCTCGAGAGTTCGCATCTTACCCTCCAGCTGATGAAAGATATCGCAGAGAAGCTATGCTCACAGCTGAAGAGCCCCCATCTCGACGCACCACTTGGTCTACAGATTGTGAAGAACCTATTCTTCGTCGGAAAATTGTTCTGTACTGTCCCGTCTTCCTCGCCCTTCGGGAGTAACACCAACAACACAACCGAAGGAGCTGAGGGGGACTCGGATGGCAATGAGAGCGATGATTCTGCAGAACAACCTTCGCGAATGAGCCGAGGAAAACGCTCTCAGGATCCTCTACCTTGGCTCTTCTCCAAGCTATCGTATCAAGCTCGCTCATGCCACATCGCACGGCGGAATCGTGGCAATACCTCTGTGAGTTCGATTGATGCAATCATATTTATTCCCCCCTGATTTGTTTCAGAATCAACCAACCTGGTCGCTCGCTCCTTTGTCTATTCTGCGTTTCTTCGCTGCTATGGCGTCTCACATGGAGAGCAGTCAACTCGAGCGGTTCTTGCCACACATACTTACACCCGTCTATCGAATCACGGAGGACGATACAATTCGGGATGCCGGAATGGGTATGCATATTGCTTCTCAAGTATATCATATACTCATGGCATTGCAGAGGAGCTGAAAGTTACGGCCACCGAGCTTCTCGACTTGCTTCAGAACAAAGTTGGCACGACGACTTTTGCCAATACGTACAACCGCATCAGGCAGGGCGCATCCAACATTCAACAAGAAAGACGAGTGGCGCGGGCCACGAAGGTGGGTTGGGTTCTATTCGTAATGCATGTGGTACTCATCACCTCGAGCAGGCGACTACCAACCCAGAAGCTACCGCCAAACGCAAATTAGCTCGAAATGTGGGCAAGAAGGAGAGCCGGAAGAGAAAGAACCGTGCCTTTGCGTAAGTGTTATATAGTGGTTTTATTATTCATCCACTAAGTTGGACATCGATTTTCAGTGACAGTAGAGGGAGGCTAAAGAGACAAAAAGAGGGAGAGTAGCATCGACGCTTCGTTCATCCGGGTGGTCTTTAACTTATCATAAGTTCCTTACATTGTTGCAAATAACACTCGATTGAGTTGCTTTTTCTTTCTTTCTGCCTGTTTGTGGAAGCCAGCCGCAGTACCACCGTTGACGTGCTTGATCACTACTAATTGACGTCGGTAATATGGAATGAGATCAGCCTAAACGTACGTTGCTCAGACATGAAATCGAGTTCCCCTGCAGGGTGCCTACATCACCGAAATTCCCCAACTCGGATAAGGGCTGATAATGACTGACCAGGATGCGCAAGGTCACAAAAGGTGCACCAGGTGTATCAGCGCGCGGAAGGCGGGGGAACCGACATATAAGATCTGGTTGAGAAACTCAATTGAAGGTAAGATGGCGGAGGTTGGGTAAGTAACTCGTACCTTAGCATAGATTTCGAGTTTATAAGCATTGATATGGCAATGCTACTTATATGTTCTGATCTAGTATTGAATTCTGATAAGAACACTTCATTTCGGTATTGTATTACATGGTATGCGCAGACAGTAAAAGTACATCTAAGAGCAGAACGTGCACCAGGGCTTCTCTAAAAGGCAGACACGCGCCAAAGCTTCTGAAGGAGACTGACAGCGACAACAAGGAAACATGCGATGATCGGAGAGCGGCTTGAATGTGAATTGCGAATGAGAATAGGGACGACGACAAGAGCGAAACGTGCGACAAGTGGCCAGCGGCTTGCAAGTGAGACATACAGACATCGTTCTGAGTGAGAAATCAGTGTCGACGATGAGACGAAATGGAAGATCGTTAACACATCATTTTTTTCCCTTCCCTTTCTTCGGTGCGCTAGTGGATTTAGCAGTCTTGGCCTTGGATTGAGTTTTTCGGGGCGAGATTGAGGGGAGTTCACGTGGAAGCATCTCCACAAGGTTCTTTGCAAGCAAAACACTCCCAGCACCTGAAACCATATTGAGCCATGATAGTAGAACCTCGATGACAAGCTTACCTAGGAAGTACCGCAAAATGACCGTCACCTGTTCCAGCGCAGTATCATGCGTTCCATCCTCGAACGTTGTCCACTCTATGGAACGAAGTAGCAGGAGCTCGATATCTGATGGAGTGGCCTGCAACGGAATAACATAAGACTGGTGGTAGAAGCTGGCAAATAGTGTTCAGTCCATGAGTTTCGTGAGATGCGCGTCCCACTAACCTCAAATGCTCTATCAATTGTTTGTTTGGCAGCGACGACCGCCTCCTTGTGAACGTCTAGACCATGCTCTCGCGCACGAGTCAATGCTAATCGACGATCGTTGACGTCCGCTGTAAGTTCGAGCAAAGTCAAGAACATCGCATATCGCTCGACTGCGTTGTCTCCTAGCGGGACAGCATACATTGCAATCAACTCTCGTTGGCCTGCAGCCTGGCAAGGAAATTATTGAGGAACAAACCAACTAAGGACAAAGTCTGACCTCCAACACTTGTAGGTAAGCCTCAAGAATGACTTGGGTCGCGAGCGGCGGGACTGGAATGTCGATCGTCTGCAAATAAAGGCAGAGGTGGGCGAAGAAACGCATCATGAAGAAACGTGTCATTGTAGGATACCTGCTGCTTTGTTAGAGAATGTCAAATGCACTTTTTTCGACTTACTATGATGATTCGGGATCAAAGTTTGCATCCCTGAGCTCAGTTGCAAAGGTTTCGAGCAATGAACTTGTCCGATCGAGGATGATCGATGGTCGCCAGCTGAGAGACATGGAATGCGTGGTCTGCGGTAGGACTAATTGACGGTCAGCACATGGAAAATAGACGTGAACGCTACCTAGTGTTTCCAACGTAGATGTTCCTTCCCTCTCCTACTCTTCTTCCTCGGCTGCATCTCATGTTTGCGGTCTGTTTCTCCTTGCATAAGATACTGATTTGCGCCCACAAATGGTCTTCCCATATCCGACATGCAGACTTCAGGACATTGAATGATTGCGGGCAGGGCACAAGAGCTGCATAGAGAATGCACTCTGGATCTGGGAGGCGGGACTTCAAGGCATGTTGACAAGATGGTATACAAACGGTTGAATGGCGCGCGCACATTCAGGGCTGCTCTTGCGCATGTTGATGTCCACAATTTTCGACGTGAGTTTCCCTGCCATCCTTTAGCATCCCAAAGCCATCGATGCTGTCGTCACCTCGTTGCTCATTCGCTGTTGGGCAGATTAGAGATACATATACGATACGTGGAGTTTGACTTACCAATTTAGCCACGAGGCTGTCGACGTGGGGCTTCAAAAGTATACATGTCGACTTCGGCTTGATACTGCACAGAAACACATCAGCTCAACACGAGAACGAGGAACTGAGAGATTATGTGCACCGTCCTGAGACATAAAGCTCAACTTGGTGGAGGTACACCTTAAGGATTTCGGGAGCGAAGACAGTCACGAAATTGTCTGCAAACGCACCATACTCCTTCTGCATCGGCAATGGGAGCTGAGAGGGATTTCCGAAGCTACAAGGCTCTCAGAAACACGCGGACGGAATCCTTGAAGAAAACACAGACCAATGGGTTAGTCGAACGAGGATTCCATAAGGCCACTTCTTGGCCTTCCATCATTCACATCTCTCCCGGTCTTTCTCGTCAGCCGGAACACCTTCCACAGGGGCAATCAAATCCACGATGCGAAACAAGAGTCTTCCCCAGGGAACGAGTGATTCCGGGCTCTGTGGGACAGGTCTAGTATCAAAACATACCTAGCTATGTGACTCCATAGAAGCTTAGTGTGTCACAACAGGATATAAGCCACAGAAGGCCAGCAGGAGAAGCCCAAATTATGTGCATATATGCGCAATAAGAGTGCCACGGAGGGCATGAAAGGTGCTTTAGAAAGGTCCTGGAGGCCCAAATGAGTAAAAAAACACGTATAACAGCAGAAAAGGGGCGCATATAGGCATGAAGGGGGTGTGCATAGTATAAGCACAGCAAAGGAACAAGGTGAAACATACCAGGAAGGCACAGAAAGGGTGTCGGCACGCGAATATTCATCAACCCGTGTCGAGAAGGAGCGAAAAAGGCCAGAAAAATCTGTGCATACGCTGACATGCACAGTACTTAATGCAGGGATGGGTGATGGAGAAGTGCAGGAATATCGCCCGCAAGTCCTTTGTTGACGTGTTATTTGTGAGATCACGTGACCATGCATAATCACGCATTAAGTGTTGCACGAGATGATATCCAACCACCCTTAGAAATTTCTGGGCAAACCGACGGACACATGCATGGTCTATGATACGGACACTGTGCAGTGATGAAACAGAAATTGTAAGTCATGATTCATTGGCTAATGTTAATGATACATAATAGTGCATACAAAACCAGCGCTAGCACCAGCATCGTTTGGAGCGAACCCTTCGGTTGTCGACTCCTTGTGTTGGGGCCCCTGATAGGCAAGTTATCTCCTCGGGTAGTACCATTATCCTGAGACGCGCGTACACAATTGTAATCACCTGCTGCCTGTCTAGATGGCACCTACATCACAATCACAGTAAGCACCATGAAACCACGATAATATAAGATCCTTAACACTCACCACAATCAATCGCGCCTGCTCCCTTGGAACCACCACCCTCCTCGCTCTCCGTATCTCAAACTCAGGTTCCGTCCCATCAAGCTGCGCGTACGACTGCCGAGGTCCGTTGTGAAGTTCGTAAATGGATTGTGCGTGGGATATCTATGAACATCAGCATGACACGTCCGCGACGGGCTCATAGTACCGTTTGAAAAACTAGTCTACAAGCAGAAACACAACCGACCACTTCCGTGCTCTCCAGTATCGATCTGCCCTGCTGTGGGTGGCTCCTGTGAATCGGGGCTCGTTGAAGGAGGGGAAGAAACATAGTCTTCATCATGAATCCATTCATTGTCTTTTCCCGGGGGCATCTGCTGCAGCGTTCCGCTGTAAATCGATGCGTGAGATCTAGAAAGCAGTGAGCAAAAGTGACCGCGCGAACAACTTTACCCTATGCGAGAAAAACATCGATGATAGCCGGCGATGTCTGACCTGTCCGAATGGGCCACCAGGATTGGGTGGCGGGTGGTGTTGATGTGGGTCGAGACTATAAAATGTAAGACGAATATCTGATGATGGCAGTCCCACTCACATTCTTGTGGGGATTTATATGTGAATGAGGCAGGGGCGCTGTAGCAGGGAACTGCGAGGGAACCGTCGAGTCAACTGCGAAGCAAACAGATGCAGGAAAAATACGTCCAGGAGATTACGAGGCTCACGAGGGCATAAACAAACTGTCAAGTTGTGTCGTGTGAAACATTGGTCAGTTGATACGGTAATAATATATCAGGGGAAATCTGAACTTACCAGGGGCGCATCAGACTGATGGCGGCCTTACACGTTTAGGAGGGTATTGAGGTATGTCTGAGGGAGTGTCGTTGAACCTGCGAGCCCATTGTCATCAACCATCATTGCGTCATTGGCCCGTAAAAGATTGTGGCGCGGGAAAGTGTCCGCATAAGGTAATTTCAGACTTGGGGAATTTTGGTGATGTAGTACTGTTGTGCCGCTTCGATGGGATCAGGTAGTGTGATATGCTCCACCTATTGTATGCACCAGGTCCGTATTCTGCGCTCACTGTTCACGTCATATTGAATTATTAAGTTTTATGTGCCCGATATCCATTCCCAAATTCCCACTTGCAGGGGTCCCTAGTGCACTCCATTTATGTGTTTTGGGTTTTCCCATGTCAGCTGTGGTTGTGTGCCTAGCCCAGATACGAACATATGACAGTCAATAGTCTTGTCTTGCTACAAGTGTGCCAAGTGTTTTGAAGACTGCAACGACTTGCGGAGCTGTATGGCTTTTATGTAGACGAGTAAATTGCAACCCTCACGCAGGGCGGTACGAGGTGTATGAGGCAAGAGAGAACACCATAAAGCAACAAAGTTCCAATTGACGACCTCATGACTGATGCGAAGTGGGACGACCACAACTAAAGAACAATCCGCAGCACCTAACTTCATAAGAAACCTCTCCCGTACCACCACTTGAGCCATGTGTTTCCGTTGGTCGTCCTTGGGGCCCTTGTATCCGCGGAGCAGGTTGACCTGGTTGTGTTGAACTACCCGCCTCCTCGCGACTTGCGTCTTGTGTAGCTGCAGCCAATGCTGCTGCGGCCAATTCTGCAGCGGTGGGAGGGGCAATGGCAATTCTCTGCAATCATATTTATTTCAATGATATCAAAAAGGAGCGATCGCGAGCCACTCACATTTTTCTTGCGGCCGGCAGCCACATCAACGGTGCGTCCAGAGATTCCTACAGGAAATGAGTTGAAATTCCAACCCGGGGCTCGAGCTTGTGACGTACTTGTAGGTCGAGTGCTGAAACGCAGCGAACCAAGCAAATTACGCCAATGAGGGGCAGACGATGGGCTAGCAGGCAGAACTGTGCGAGGAGGCGCGGGGCTTGTATCAGTGTCCCAGAAGTCCTTGCCCTGTATCACTGTCAGACTTACAAGAGCTCAAGGAAGAAAAACTATACTGACATATTTCGCTAAACCTCTGTTGTTGGACTGCTGCTTGGAGGCTATATGTCCGTCAAAGATCTAATAGAATGAATAAGCGTTCGAAGGATCAGTTCATCACTAATTAGCGCACATCTCTCGGTCGGCGGACTGGACGTCCCTAGCAAAACAGTTAGATGCAGTGTGAAAGAGAAGAATAGGTGACTTGCCTTGAGCTTTGTGTCGCGCTTTGCATTGCTCTCATCCGCATGCTGAATTATAACAAAAATCAACTTAGCAATGACACTGACAACACATAAACACACTCACATCATCATCGCCTTGTCGTTTCAGCGCTGCCTCCATGCTCCATATGTAGACTTTCGTGTCTTTTCCACCACTAACAATGTATTTTCCATCGGGGGACATGGCAACAGCCAAGAGTTCATCGTCGTGCAAGAGTGGGTCTCCGACTTGCTGATTGGTCTCGAGGTCCCAGATGCGGACTGAGCAATCATTTGATGCGCTGACAAGATGGCATTCATCTGGGGAAAGACAGAGGGAGTTTACGTCACGGGTATGACCCCTGAAAATAACGAGCTCCTTCCCATCAATGAACTGCCACTTTCGGATGGTGTCATCATATGATGCGGAGAAAATGTGTGCGCCGTCCTGAGACCAACATAACAACGTCACGTGGCGGTCATGGCCCTTCATCTCCACAAGCAGCTCGCCTTCTTTTGACCACACTCGAATCATGTTGTCCGCCCCACCACTGGTGAACGTGTCGCCTTGTGGAGAGTATTTGACAGCATAAACCCAACTGTGACCGGTCTCTATCGGTGGCGCTATTTGTTGGCCAGAATCTGGGTTCCAACGGCGTATGGTCCCATCGTACGATCCACTTGCTATCTCCCGTGCATTGGGAGACCAATCGAGGCCCCTCACTGTACTGTCATGGCCCTCCCATGGATCGCCGATCATAGTGCCCTTTTCGACTTTCCACAGCCGTAGCCTGCCATCCGCGCTTCCAGATACGACCAATGTTTCATCTGGGGACATTGCCATTGAGCCTACTGTTCCTCCGTCACTATTCCAAGGCTTCCCTACTGGCTCTCCATCTCTTGTCCATTGACGAATTGAACCATCATCCGACGTGCTCATTATATTGCAACTGGTAGCCAAATAGGTGAGGCTCCGAATGACTTTGGAATGACCCTCAACAACACATTCCGGCATCATACTCCCTGGTGGACGTTCTGGCGTTGGTTTCTTCCACGATGTGGTTCGAGTATTGTGGTTGACGAAGTAGGACCGACCGAGTGGTGAGATGTACCATTCGCATCCGGGAACGAGTTGTCCGGGATAATCTATTCTTCACCATGAGTTCCTCGCTGTTAGTGGCACATTCTTCGCTAACCTATTCGCACCCCTGGTAAAGGTTGGATGCGTGTATCCATGGGAAGTGAGTTGTCCTGGTACATCATTTCACCATCGACCAGCTTAAACTGCCGCCATTGAGGAGGAAGTGCTTCATTCCCGCCTGCTTCTTCTTGAGTAAGTCAGTAGGCACTACAAGGCAGTTACTCGCCTTTCCAAAGTGCATCCTGGCGGTGCTGTGCACCATAGCGTGGGGGATCCTCCTCCCTCGTCCGAAGAGGTGCACCAAACGCCGGTGAATCCAACAGTGGTTCTCCGTCGCTCTTTTCGGCTGATATGATCAACTTAACCTCGTCGCGCAACATGGTGCTGATTCAATTTTTTTTCGAAATGTTGCCGTGCTTCACGGATGAGTTGACGGTGAGACAGAGCTCAATAGTATGAGAATGAATAGACGAGATGGTGGAAGTGATGAAGAGACCTGCAAGACGGTCAGGTGTGCATACTGGATTTGTAGGCGTGTTTTTTAACCGCACATCAATGACAGTGCTTCGAATGTTGGGGCAGTTTGATAGATTTCTATACACACGCTAAATTCGTCAGCGAGCGTCAAGATATGACGATAGCCGTACTATGCTGGTCAGATGTAAGATCTCCGACTATATTTCTATAATTCTACACGCGTCTGTATGGATTAGTACCGGATGATGCTAAGTAACGCTGCAGTGACTCGCCTTTTTACTTGCGGACCAAGCTCCTTGGAATTGTACTCTAGGCAAGAAGAAACATTAGCGACGTCGGAGGTGATAACAAGACCTGCTAGGCGGTCACTGCCATACTACGCGACAGACGCCTGACGTATACATCTCAGTTCCCATCACGGTCCGCGTTCAGAGCGTTAATAGTGGTGACACGAGGATCTGTCAAGGCATCATATGTATGATGAAGGTTATCTAACCACTGGACCTCACGCTATGGAACACTCAAAGACATATCCGCGGACGTTAGCTTGCGATCGTGATCACATTGCCTTTGTTGAACATGATCGCAAACAAGACGCTGATATACTGCCTTCCCTTTACAATAATTCATAGTACTGTTGAACGCATATAGTCAGTCCTGAGGCGCGTAATTGACAAATTCCAACGCACTGATCATCTCATCTCATAGTATGCAATGGACATCAACTTTGTTAAAAATCGTCTGCGAAATGCGGCTGGGATCATTGGATGGCCTGGCGTTAGACAACTTAAACTCCTAGATGAAAGAAGAAAACGCAAAACTGGCCGAAAAACGATGGCATACAGCTGATGGATAATGGCGTACGTATGTCTCACTGATACGTCAAGCTAAATGATAGCTCACATATGCGAGCTCTCTGCAGTATCGCAGACATAGTGACGAGATTGATCTTGATGCTTGCAGGGTGATGCATCAAGTTTTGGGCCAGAAGATATCGTGGTCCTGACCCAACACGAAAATGTGAGATCAAACCCACGTCACTCTAGCCGGCAACGATCTGGTCGATCCTTGAAACGCTCGCGATGAGGAGAAGATGGTTGATTCGTTTTGAATAGGATCCGTAAATGATGTTGGAGGACTGTACCACAGCGATGTTCCTTATAATTGGTTCATACAAGTACATGTTCGATATGATGTCCCAAGAACAACTTTGAACATCCCGAAGCGAGTGGTCACTGGTGGCGCAACTGCACGTGCACTGAGTCAACGTACACCAAACTTACGGCGTTGGCGCCAATCATGTACAGCCCCATCTGCGGGAATGGTCCAAGCCTTGCCCTCTGACCACTACCGCCACCAGTTGACAACACACCACTATGGTGAGAGCAGAGCGAAAATATGTCGACCTCATGCGGCAATCTGCTTATGACTACTGGGCTAACTGGGATCCAGAGGACCCAATCGAGGTCAGCGCTATCGCATCCATGTAGAGTGGGCACGCTGACTGAAGGGCATAGGTCGGATCGTACGGCCGTTTTGATCTCGATACAACACGATTCACTGTCCTTGGTAACATCTATGATCCGGAATTCCAAGTCCTACTTGATGCTGTCGATGGGAAGGTCAAGATGTCAGACTATCCGCCAGTGTTGGATCCAGTAGAGCAGGATAAGATTATCACCTCCTCGGGTACCAGGAAGCAACCCTTTAATCCAGGGGCAGATGCGTGAGTGCAATTGAGAGGATCTTGTCGGATGTTTGTTCTGACTGGCTGCTACTAGCAAGAAAGAGAACTTCAACAAAGCTTCATTCAAGATGAATTTTAAGTTCCACCCGGGCAAGCGAGGTGCCGTACTCGTCATTCACAAGCCCCGTCTGTATCACGTTCCATGCAACAAAATCCTCGACGTGCTATACAGAATACCAGAGCTCAATGGCCTGTGGATTGTTCCATCAGTCTACAAGTGCCGCGCGTGGTCTATTTATCTGTCAAGTAAACGTATGTTTCCTCTGTTCCAATACATGACTTGTGCTCATGTTCATAATCAAGTCGACGAGATTGTTTCTGTGGCACTTCTTCCGTCGCAGGGCTTCGACCTTGCATGGTGGTCCAACTCGGACTCGGAGTTCCTCCGCCAGGGCACCGACAAGGATAGCTTCGTCTCACCACTCTTCACCGCAAAGCAAAAGCTCCCATTGATCCGACGCTACTTGCGCGATATGCCTACACCAGACCCCGAACCAGGTGACAAATTGTATGTTACCCCTGTAGCATCTGACAGGTTGATCACACTTGCTGATTCGCAACATAGTTGGATAGAGGGAAGTGCAGGTTGGGAGCCCGTTGATGAGGATGGTTATGATGATCCTATTTGGGATGGGGTAAGTGTCAATTTCTCCTAGTTTCGCAATGTCTCACTCGCTGTTATTCCTGCAGGATTACGAGCCGACTGTAGCGAGAGTGTGGCGACGCATCACATGTAAATATACGACGCGGTGGTGAATACTTACCACCTTCCAACATGATCTTTGCGATTATTTGCGTATTGTAGGATGTAGTGCGGACAGGTCAGATTATCACGGACTAGGCAGCGTCTCAGAATAAGTACGGGCCAAGCTGAAAATATCATAGTGAAATTCTCGTTCTTTCTGCATTTCATATCAGAATGTGGCTGTGCAAATTCCAACCAGACCGCAGTGGACCACGGCGCTGAATCGCCGCTGATGACGATCAACTTGAACGTTGAGCACAAGTTGAGCATCATGCATCATGCATCAATACAAACCACATGATGTCGCAGTTGGGCGCCAGCCAGTGCCACTGATTTCAATTCATCACAGTTGCTCTACCCTTACCATATTTCCAGCATCTTTGTGGCGTTCAAATCGCCCGATGACCGAAGGTAGACTCAAGCGAGGAGGTGCACCTGAGCTAACTCATCCTGAGCAGGAAGATTAGACATTGGGAAGGTGCACTTGAAGGGGGTTGTTAGCAGTTGAATTCAGGAGAGACAGGTAAGTGATCCGTCGGCTTTTTCATGTCTCGCCTCCCACATGTCCGAGTCATACTGACGAAATGTGACCTTAGTGAGTGACTTGTGGAGGAATTATTATGTTCCCCGAGCCCGAGCCAGCGAGGCGGAGGGAGACAGTGCCGATGTCCTCATCGAGAATTCCTATTGAGATGGCAGTTTGTCAAAGGCTGTTTCAGTGGTTACTGCACCACACTACCATCACACATAGGCCTGTGTACCATCGACGAACCACGCGATTTCACTGATGGAACGTTTTAGCCGATGCAAATGTAGCAAGAACATCTAGAGAATGGAATGGAATCAACAACGTGAACAAATTGTTGAAATAACGAACAGTTCTTCGATCTTTTGCGGTGTTCAGGTGTTAACCGAAGGCACTGAGTCAGCTTCCCCTTGTACTCGACATCATACGACAGCGCCTGCTTCGGTGAATCAAGATGGGAACGGATATCATCCTTGTAGTGCTAACTTCGGCGATCAAAGCGCTGGGCGATGGGTATTTAGGGCGAGCGCATACGTCCACCAGGTTTGACGCTCCCTCCCTCCCATCTAGAACAGTATGACCATAGTCTCAGATGATCCCACTTGGTGGCCGCTTATCAATTCGAGTCGCATAGCCAGCTATTTTGTCGGTTCGTGGAGAGGTATTCGGGTGATATCTCGATCTAACCTTGGTTGCGGTTTTGCAGTTGCCGCCTCTGCTGGAGTGACGTATGATTGGGGTGAGTAGAGTAGTATCCAAGAATAGCTGACATTCAACTTATGGTATTTCCAGCACTTACACTCGGACAAGAGGTAAGTTGATGCCATTACCGCAGTAGCCAGCACTCTAACAACAGTTTTTATATAGGTCGAACTGCTCTGGGTAAGCAGAGTCCCACTCCCGAAGAACAACAAAATAGAATTGATTCGTTGCAGAGGCAACGTTGGTCCCTGATGACCGTTATGTATCTGAGTGTACGTATCTGTCATTAGTAGTGTGATCGACAATTTGTGCTGACTTGATAATATCCTAGTTGCGCTATCTTGGAATGTTATATGCTGTGTACGTTTGGAAGGCTAAGCAATGGCCGCTCTGCTAATCAGTATCTCTCACATTTAGCCTTTACATTCTGTGTATGATGTCCTCACATACGCTGTATTTGTTTCTTCTAACTGGTGGCATACAGTTGGTGTTACAACAATCCCGGTGACTGATCTAGTGAGTATTCTGCGCTGATTCCTGCCATTGTGATCTGAACGACCTCACTTCCCATATAGGGGTGAGTGAGATTCTTGATCAGCGTGTTGATTCAATATAATAACTACCGCAGCTGTGAGTTTGTTTGGAATGTGATCCTCCGAGATTGATCGCTAACTTCTGGATCTGCCAGGCCGTATTATGTATGTCACAATAAATTGGACAGGTGCCGTCGTATTTGCAATACTGGGCGGTGAGCTAGGCAGTCCTCAATGATAGTAACTTCACTGAAACATCATGCAAGTCATCATGATTGCTCGGTTACATGCCATGTATCAGCAATCCAGAAATTTGCTCATATTTCTCGTTATCGCCTTCCTGACGGTCAACATCGCCAATGTAGTAATCATCGCAATAGCGTTGAATCGGACTTCAGAAGGTAAGCTATAATTATGGTAAGATTTATGCGTCATGCTTATTGATCGATACCAGAGGAGCTCATTCTCTCCGGTACCTATCAGTGCACAGCTAACATTGAAGAAGATATCGTATTTCTGGTCTCCATGAGTTTTATACTCGCCACTATCTGGGAGGTCCTCGCACTGTGTCTCGTGGTTTGGACTGCTGTCAAACACTTCCGTGAATTGCAACGACCGTCGACCGCATGGATTACTATCGGGGACTCTGTCACGGTGTTAATGAAAACTCACGTACTTTACTTTGCGAGGTGAGTTCATAATGTGAACGTGGTTCTCTTTTCCTGCTGATATTCTGCGCGTGTTAGCTTTGTTGCTATCTCTTGCTTCAACCTCGTTTATTTGTCTCCCACAATCTCAGCGGTATGCCGATTTGTACCTCTGCATGCGACCACAGTTCATGATTTTGATTTCTATAGGACGCATATTCCATGGGAACCCAGGTTTATCTTGGTTTTAATGAAATTTTCTCGCTCATCCAGATGTTTGTGCTGGGACCACGCCTCATCCTTAGCGTTCGAGAATATCATACTAAGCTCGCGGCTGACTCCGATGCGGGGATCAGCATGAATTCAATTGTTTTCCAAGAGCACATACACGTATCAACTGGCAGTGGTGTGTAGCATGGGAAATGATGGACGAGCTCAAGAAGATTTTAAAGTAACTGATTTTGTAGACTGTAAATATTGTATAGTGATTGATATCAAGTACTAGCACCGTTTCCGTTGCTCCGTCTGCAACTTCCTCAAGCACCAGTGCAAACTTCAAGCTTACCAACGGCCAGAACGCTCAGAAGCTCAACGCCCAATGCGCTACGCTGACTGCCAATTCTTCCTGCACTGGTGAGTCCACTTCACTGGAGGACCATGTCGTTTTCTAACATTTTATGCAGAGGGTACCAATGCATGCGTCAATGGCGCTTTTGCGCAATGCGTAGGGGGAACGTACGCGACTCAATCCTGTGGATCGGGTCTCCCTTGCGCTGCCCTTCCTCTCGTCAACTCTGCTGGAACGTCGATCACCTGCACCACCAATGCTGATGCCTTGGCTCGCATTGCGGCCACTGGCGCGCAGGGTGGCTTTACTGAATAAGCCTTAGTAGTCTTCAATGCTGGCATAAAGTCGGTGACTAAGTCGCTAGTCGATATCAATATCCTTGTTTTTCTTCTGCGTTTTGGGTTATGGTATGGTATATCAGCCGCTATTGCAACATATATGGAAAGGAAAGGAAGTACTTATGATAGCAGTACTGGCGATGTTAGTCGCTGGGTAAACTTTGTTGTATACTAAAATGTATAATCAATGAAGACGTGATGGAATGAAGAGGTGGATCGTTCTGCTCATGGATATTGGTCCGGGATTGTCCCACGGGAGAGATAGTCCTCGGGCCATATCCACGGCAGCACAGATGGCCAAGTTTAGAGGGCTGGTTTAGTATCGAGGCGTCAAGACGTCTCGGGTGCCATAGTTGATTTCTTTTAAACACGTGACTAGAGACGCGTCGCGGTCGAGTTTGTTTGTTTGAAAAGCTGTGCATGTTTGTTTTCTGCGCCAACATAGTATAAATATAACGATGCCCGCCAACGATATCCACATTCAGTACCCGTCCTCTTTTCGCGTACTGCATATTCACGACTTACTTCATCTTCTTAACGACCCCGCCTTACATCATGCCTGTCATTTCTACTATCTTCGACGGCGCCGCACATGTCACCGTCTCTGGCTGTCTCGCTGCATTCTTGTTCAAGCGAACTATCGTGGACCGCACGTCCAAGGCCATCAAAGAAGCGGAGAACGTAACCGCGGGCCTCGTCATATCAGAACTCTGCTTCTCCATGGCGGTCCTAATTTATAGCTTCCCACAAGACTGCCCGGATACTCCTCAGAAATGACACCGAGCCTAATCTAGCACCTCTCGCCATCAACGAATCCAATTTCTCTGCTGCACTCTCAATTTCTTCAATTTACTCCAGCACTTCAACACCCACTAATTCTACTGCACCCTGCACACCACTACTACCTTCGTCACCAGTTCAGAGGCCGAAACGACTCTCGATCGATTCAGATGTTACCCTCGTTGACAACGATGACGACTTTGCTGGTGACCCCCCTGGCACCTCGGACCTTCTCTCGCTCGGCAGCACTCCGTCTTCGATTGCCACCCCGCAGCTAAAACCTCTGGATAAGAAGCATCAGAGTTCCTGCCCGGGTGAACACAAGGTATGGACTTATATCCTCATTATGAAACAAATAATAACACTCATCGTCTTTTTAGCACGAATCTAGAGCCTCTCGCTTGGTTGCTGTCCGTGACAGCATCGAACGCACTCACGCCAATCAACTCGACTACATCAGTAAGTAATTTCTCATAACGTGCTGATTTGCTTGCTGATTTCAAGCAGGTCAACTTGAACAACTTCAAAGCGAACTCCTCGTCGACCAGGCCACTCTTATCGACGGCTGGGCTGCTGCCATGGCGCAGCTTGGACTTACTTCTATGCTGTCGCCAGGAACACCACTTCCGTATCAGAAGACGCTCGCTTTAGGAAACTTGACAGATATTCTTCAAGACTGATCCTTTCACGGACAACACTACTCCCGAGGTCCCCTACGACCAAATCTCGAGGACTTGCAACTGCCTCCCTCGCTGTCCCCTACGACTGGAGCTTCACTGCCCACGAGGTTGAAGGCCACCACTGGCCCCCGCGCACAAACTATTTCGTCACGCCGCCTGCCTATCTCTGCAGTCTTCGACGTCGGAGGTCCCCTACGACCGAATCCCGACAACGCCGCAACAACATTAACGGCCTCCTTCCTGTCTCTACGACTTGGAGTTGAAGGCCGTTTCCCGCAGTCTCGCACAATCTATCCCAAGTCCCTTCGCCATGTCAGTCTCTCGATTTATTATGTTTCTTCCTTTTCTTTTTCCTTTTATTGGTATGTCCGTCTCATTTTGTGACTTATGGACACATTTTTTCTTTCGTCGATATGTACTACTGGACTGTCCGTTTCTTTCGTGACTCATGGACACATTCACATTTTCCATATTTCTGTACATGTACGACGAGTATCAATGGCCTGTAGTTTCTAAATCCAATTTTACACTCTTCGGATATCGCTGTCAAGACTGTCAAGACTGTGGTTACTGGAACCCTTGGTAGTGCGGCACACGCTTCAAAAGATAAGTTCCTCCCCTACTTCCAGCCGACCATGAACAAGTTGCAGCACTTCCTCATCCTCACTGGTGAAGGAGAGGAGACCGAGCTCCGCGGTATCGCTATGGACGCTGTTGGAACGTTCGCAGAGGCTTTTGGTGTCGATGTCTTCCGTCCATACCTCGCGGACATGATGAAGCAGGCGTTCCAAGGTGTTGAGATGGGTAGCGCACGTCTTCGGGATTGCAATTTCCTGTTCTTCGGTGTGATAGCTAGGGTTTTGGCGAGGAATTTGCGCCGTACCTACCGAGCGTCGTGCCTCCGTTGTTGCAGAGCTGCAAGCAAGCTGAGCATGGTGAGGATAATGTTTCTACCTGTATGTTGTCGTCTTTTTTGATCGAGGAGTTTCCTGATGAATAATGCCATTGTTTCTAGTTTCTAATACTGAAGCTGCCGCCGCCTTTGAATCCGGGTCGTCTACTACAAACACGATCTCTGTCACGGATGACGTCGGTGTCAATGGGAACCTCGAACTTGAGATCGGAGATATTGACCTTGACAAGATGCTCGAAGTCAATAGCATGATCGCAGTCGAGAAGGAAATTGCTGCAGACACGATTGGAACACTCTTCGCTGCCACGCACAAATACCTCTTCCCTTTCGTCGAGCCTTGCGCTCTCGAGCTTGTCAACTTGCTCACACATTATTACGAGGATATTCGCAAGTCCGCGACGGACTCTTGGCTGGAGATAGTCAGAACATTCTACGAATTGAGGTGGTGCGCCAGACTGGACCAGGGCCTGGGGCGACAGTGGTGAGTCACAGTTAATATATCTGAGCATGGTGCCAATGCAGTGTCTAGACTGTGCCTCTGGAGCATAGCGTGAAAGAGCTCATTGGTCACAGCTTGAAGCCCTTGCTTGAGATGTACGAAACCGAGGATCACAGGTTCTGCGAAGTGCTGTTTGGCCTTCCATGTGTTCAAGAACCCCCGTTTCATGGTGGTATCTGATGAAGTTGCTCTAGATGGGATGCTGGTCTTAGGATGTCACGATTCTGGGACACTCAGAGATGTTGAGAATCGGATGGTTCAAGATCGACTCAAGAGTCGGAAGGACGATCAATATTTGTCGAGGATCGATTTATTTCCTAAAAAAGGTGTGCGGGCGAAGGTTTTGCAAACATACCATGATTGCATCAATTTCAATATCGTAAGCTTCGGTGGAGTTGCCTTCACCGACGTATGTATATGTTGTGGACTTGAAACTTAAAGCTTAAAGTGTCAAGTATGAGATTATTATGCCATGAGTCGAGACTTCTAAAGTATCAGCAAGCACGTATCGCAACAATTCCATCATCATCATCCTATGCAAAGCTGTAAACATTATGCAGTGGAGATTCTTGCACCGGATGGGCCTAAGGAAAAAGTAGCATCAGCCAGTGGGACAAAAAGACGCATGCGTGCGTGCGTAAACCTACAGGATAGACGACTTCATCTCGTGAAAGCCGAATTTGGTGTTGGGGCAGGTATCCCTCGAGCATAGTTCGGGTATAAGGCAGAGAGCTGACTACCTCCTCTGCAAAGAAGTGTCCTGGTCGTAAAACACTCGGTTCTGTTACCAAAGCACCACGCAGTCCACGACCTGCCTTGTCCTCTTGACGAGCCCATCGGACACTCGCAGGATTGAAGTCTATAATGAAAGCTGCAGGACGGGAATGCTCCTCTGAAATGGGAGTTTGGCTATCACCGCAGTCTATGTTCGTGGAAAAGGCTATTCTATAGCCTTCCACGTCCTGGAGGGGCTTTACATCGCCTTCTGCGCGGAGGACATCGTTGGTCAAGAAAACGCGCGATATCTTTGGACCCCACTGGCTCCAGGACATCGTGCGGTCAGAAATGTCGTTGCCACGAGCGATGGAAAGCAACATTGCAACGTCGATAGCGATGTTCAATCGAGCCTCCTCGGTACCCATTCCAAGAGGTATCGACAAAGCCATGATTCCGCTATTCGGGGATAATATTTCATGAGGGCGCTGATCGGGCTGGAGAACCTGCTCTTGCGACGCTCTCGGTAGAACCATACGACTGATAGGTAGTATGTATGCATGGTTCTCGATAAGGGGTAAACGCAAAGACAAGCGGAGTCTCACACAACCGGATGAAGAGATTTGGCTTGGCAAAGTGACGTCGTAGAGGCGGAGAACTAGTTGAGATGAATTAGAGGCCGCTCTATGAATGACGGCAAGTGTGCGGGAGTTTATAAAATGAAAATCGTCGATGTTGTCGGGATGAACACCCGCCTTATTTACGCGATTCTTAGCCAATTTTTGGGGATTGGAAGATGCGTGCGTACCAATTTGATTAATGAATTGGTTTTCCAGTTGCAAAGCAAGAGGGTATTGACTTGCGCTTCCGGCTTCATTGAACAGCGAACCGTTGTGAGCAACGCACACCAGGTACCGAGTATTCTTAAACCATGAGCATGGAGTGGAGCAGAAATGTATCCCATGGGACTGATGCCGGTGAGGATGATACGCGTTGGACTAGCAGCTGCTGAATGCGGAGACATCCCTCTCAAGGAGAGGAAGCAGAGATATGACACTCCCGTTCTGAAAAAGGGTTTGTCAATACCACTTTATTGCAGGCATTAACGTGGGAGGACAACTACTGACCCAATGTGCATTCGTAGAAGAACAAGAAGGTCCTGCAGTACATCGGCGTCATGGAATCGAGTAACTTCGTTGCTTTGGCCGTGATATGTTGAATGTTCCACCGTGTCCCCGTGGACAACAGCTGATGCTATCTGCCTGGACACATACAAAGCTACATTTTGAGAGTAGCTAGTGAAATTGCTCTCGTTCAAAGTTGAACGGTAGGACGAAGATATTGGGCGCATTGTCCTCCATCTGTTTTCTCTGCACCTGAGGGAAGCCAGCGCATGTGAAAAGGACACGGTTGATGATGCGGACGCAGCGTTGTACTCTAGACCCTCGTGGTTGAGCTCATACAGGTACGGGGCGCGAACTAATCCACAGATAGTTTTGAGTTGTTTACATGTCTGCGTGAGGGTCAGTCCGGCGCGTACGTACGAGGAAACGTGAGGGCAGTTACCTTGGAGACACTCTCCAGGTCACTCATAGGTGCCAGGTCGAGCAGATATACAAGCACATCGTCGGGGAGGTGAAGGAAGTGGGATGTAGCAGACATTTGAGACATTGGGCGACATTCAACTTGAAAGGCCCTTGCAGAATTTATCGCATGAAAAACGTCCAGTCGAAACTCCGACCAAGTTCGTATGTCTTCTCTTCCATCTTGTTGGTAGAGCAACTTGGCACAACTTGGTACAATGTCTATCAGGCCCCGTGCAATCGGCACCCCGTGAAGTCGGCAGGCACGGGTTTTGCAGCGTAGACGGTTGACTTATAATAGCTGATAATTGTAGCGAAATTCAAATTGCGACGATGTTGCTCTTGATCGATAACAGTGAATCGTTTCGCGAGGCGGCGACGGAGGAAGACGGAGGATGAGTCCGCGTGAGGATTCGCTTCATGGGTTCTGGCAACTACCACACCTCCGCGCTAGGTGCATCACCGCATGGCAGGCCGGAACTGTTCAAGAAGCAGGTTTTTGAGGCTCGAGCTGCCAATCATGATTCCTGGACCTGGTGGGTCTTATCGATGATGAGAATAATAACTCCGGTAGCTGACTTGGCAAAATTTGCGCAGAATATATCCACCTCTACCTTATATTTCAGTTTTGAATACGTGTTCATGCCCGTTTAGCTCAGTGGTAGAGCGCGCCACTCGTAATGGTGAGGTCGGTTGTTCAATCCAGCCAGTGGGCAAGTGTGTTTATTTCTTTTTCTTGGACCTTTTTCTATTGCTCAACCTGAGCGGCCATTGCGAGAACCTCATATTAATGGAGTGACTGCAGTATACTTCAAGCTTCAAGGCTTCAACAAACGCGCGGGATCCACGTAGCCATCAGACTCGTGACCATATGCATATCCTAATGCAATTCAATCAACTTCAGTCATACACGCAACTTCTCAGTTTGGCCCAACATTGTACCGCAGTAACAACACATACAGAAGGCGACATCCCGCTGGCAAGAAGACAGGTGCTTAAACCGTCAAACAACGGGCCGCCATCATCACTTCAATCGGGCCGCGGCAAAGCATGTGCTGGGCTCCAGCAGAAATTTGAATCCCTGTTGTCTTACGACGGTAACCCAGGGTCAGCAGCCATTTCTCTGCCTTACCATCGATACACATCGGGATCGATCGTCCTCTCAGTCTCAACGTATTTGGGCCAGTCTATGTACCTGTAGGTTTGTAGCGTTGGCAGTCCACGGTCGCCGTCTACATGCGGGGCTTTATCACCTACGTAGTGAGTCCTTACACATCGTGACGAGCTGGTTTTTCAAACACGTCAACTGATCCGTTTTATCACTGATCAGAAATTCTGTATAGGTGTACGACAAAAGACGTGTCATAGGGGCGTCCGGAGTTTGAAATACGGGGATGCATCGTACCCTAGATCTCCGCGCTAGAAGCTGGAACCGAGATTAGAAGGTTGAGAAGATTGAGGGGGCTTGAGGATTTGAAACTGCACTTGGCCGGAGACCTCCTCAGCTTACTGGGGAAAGTACCCTTGCATTCGCAATTCAAACTTCTGGCCAGTAGAGTCGGAGACTTGCAAACCCCTGCGCGGAACGCGTTACAATCGACATGCCGCGACTAATGCCCTTCAATGTCATTCAAAGTCAGAAATGAAGCAATGGAGTGAGAAGACATCACACGTGAGGCTATACCTTATCATCTCCTATGAATTTTGCACATCACGCCCTATCACGCCTCGTGTAAACCGCAAAGCGTCTTCAAAACGGAGCTTAGAACAGTTGGGTAAGCACTAACAGGTCTGATACCAACCACCATATCTCATTCAGCCGAGTCATCACCATTCGTACAAAATGAACTTGAAATCAATCGCTGTCCTCACTACTACTGCAGCTCCCGTAGTCGCGGGTCCGTTTTCCTACATTATTTGCCAGACAGGTAAGATCCAATCCTATCATTGCGCACCGCCGACTTGACTTCTTGAGCAGTATGCAATGGCCTGGGTCTCGCTTGTTTTGTAGGCGCCGGAGTTGTTTCTGTGGTTGTACTTCCTTTAGCACCTGTCGCGGTGATTGGATATAGTGTGGCCCTGGGGGGGTGTACAGCAGTTTGTGCCGTGGTCGCGCTTGCACCCATTCCTTGAGTGAGTTCAATCGTGAATGCGGACCCGCACATAGGCCCCCTCTGGGTGATGGGAAGAATGTCGTTGTCAATCATAAGATGATGACAACGACACAGTTTCGGCGGAGTACTATAGAAAAAAAAGAACCGACCATGGGCACTTACATGCGTTCTCACTTGTCTTTTCTTTTATCCGAGGGTCAATGTCTCGCTGTTTCGATCTCACTGGCACGCTAGCTAGACACAGATATATCTACGATAGGAGTGACTGTGTCTAGGTAGTGTTGATCACAGCCCTGGTTGTTCCACAGGAAGATCACATGGCTACAGTGTTGTCACTAACCCGTTAAAAGAGTTATAACTTAACCCTGGCTGAGAACGTTTAGCCATGCATATGGATAAACGTTCTCAGCCATCATGATGAAGACAAACAGAAAAACGGGTTATTGATCACGAGAGACCTCCTGGTTGAAATAACGAAGTAACTAATTAGCGTGGCGACGAACGCAATATTGAGGCGTATCACTTGGTCGGCGCAAGCCAGTGATTTCCCAAACCCCCTCAGCCCTCGACGCGTCAATTGAATGCAGTGTTCGGAGTTTGAAATATGGGTCGTAAGCTCAATCTCCGCACTATCTGAAGCGAGATTGATGAGATCTGGGTTTAAAACTGGAAGTTCAAAGTGACATCTAGTGAGATCTACATATAAGTATAAACCAGTATACACCAGGTTGTCACCTCTTATAAGTATCACTTGTTGCATATCACGCCGCATGTAAACCGCGAGATAATTATATTTTGAAACGGAGCTACTATCTCATGTCGCCCACCCATATATCAGTTGAGCCCAGGTAAACTACAACTAACAGGCCCTTCTAGTACCATCCACCATCTCATACGCACACCCACTCATCACTACTTGTGTTCAAGATGAACTTCAAATCAATCGCCGTCCTCCTCACTGCCGCTGCAGCCCCTGCGTATGCAGGTCCGCTTGCCTACGGTATTTGTCAGACAGGTAAGACCTAATCATGTTGTTGCGCACCGCTGACTTGACTGCTCGAGCAGGATGCAACGGCCTGGCCGTTGCTTGTTACGCCGGCGCAGGATTCACATTCGGGGTTGCATTGCCTGTAGCACCTGCTGCAGTGGTTGGATGCAATGTAGCCCTGGGGGGGTGTATGGCAGCTTGTGCCGTCGTCGCGTTGACACCCACTCTCTGAGTGAGTCCCATCGTGAATGCGGCGACAAGAACTCACAGGCCCCTCTTGCATTATGGGAACAACGTCTTTTTTTGCAATAGTTGTGTATTCTGTTTGGTCTCGTGCATGGGTCTTGTGTTAGGTTCGCACGTAGTTTGTAACTGCGTTTCATCGTCTGCTTTCTGTATTATTAGTATCAGTTCTACGCTTTCCCCCCACAAGTACTCGTCGTAGTACTAGCAGCATGGTGTTTTTTTCGTCACAAGTGCGCAAATTTGGCTCGTCTTCTTAACAGCATTTGATGTGCCGTTTCTATTAATGATTCTGTATGTGAAATGTTCGATGCAGTACTAGTGAGGCCATCGTCCATCTCGCCCTCAAAGTTTCAGCGAGTCATTTCCCTGCGCGCTGACAGAAGGGGCTGAGAACCGAATACAACGGACGTGAAGAACACTCATTCGAGATGTCGGCTACCATCGAAATTATTTATATATGTAAGACACCAGAAGCTTTGAATTCGAAGCATGAGCGAGGCGCTGAGAATTTATATTTTGCGCGTGTACGAGTCCAAGACGCAGGTCGGTCAATTGTATGCTTTGGATAGCGGAGAAAGTGCAGTAGCGTGCGTTGCATGATAGTGTGCAGTGCGGGGAGACGGAACAAAGCTGCGTCGATGAAGGAGAGATAGTCGACGACTGGATGCACTGTAATCTAGAAGGCGCAGACCAGATATAGCCATCGAGATTAATATTATCCATATAATTCAACACGACAACATCACAAGAAAACAGAAAGCGTCCCATAACAAAAAGCCAGTCAAAGCAGTCGTCATCCCACAGTAAACGTCGAAGAATCACCCGTGAACGCCGATATACTGCCCAATAGCGACTTTGAGTCGCCGTAGTATGTTATTCGGTATATTCCCGCTGGCGTTCCATCCTCAATGGTCCTGTGCAAGTGATCAGATAACCGCGCAATTCACGCTTTCAAAAAACTCACCATCGGATATCAACCGTACTCGTGCCAAGTACCTAAAATGACATCAACGAATGGACATGCATATCTTGCATTTGAAATCGTACCTTGCTCGTCCGGTTCCACTGGTATGTCGTCGACGGGTGTGAATCTGTCCTCACTACCACCCACTCGTCATTCACTTCTCGGTCCACTGTGAGGAATGTCCCCTCTAGCCTCAGATTATTCTGGTGGATTTAAGGTTGGGTCAGAACACAAATAAAAAGGAGGAATCCATTCATGATGGGAGTGAAAGACCTACCCGTGGATTAGCACCAACGAATCGCACAGCTACAGTGTCTCCCGCGTGATATGTACTACTCTCGACATCGGCGAGGACACCTCCAAAGTGCTTGAAAATAGGAGGATTGTCGACGAGCACCGAGGTCTGGTTCACGAGTTACTCATTGAAAGATGCGTCATACCAAGTGCGATGACTTGCCTGTAGCGAGATCGCCTTACTCGTCTGCTCCGGAGGGGCAGCATTGGACGACGGTATCCCAGTGCTATCATCCGCGAGATATGGAACAAGCTCGCTGTACCTGTTAATATACGCCTCGAGCGTGGCTGATAACCAAACCTTGTCAAAATACAAATTCCCGCAAGAAGCTCGGAGAGCAGACTTACCAGGTCCAAATATTGTACTAGCCCCTTCGTATCGCTGCACATCATACTCCTCGCGCGTCGTGACGTAGTGTCCGTACGTGTTCGCAGGACCCGCGATCACCACATATGCATTGTCGTCCAGGACACCCTCCGCAATCAGCCTCGCCCTCAGTGCGTCCCTATACAAAGAACACAAATATATCAATAACCAAGACTTAAAACCCACGCCCGGAAGATACACACCTCATCCTCCTCCCCGCCATAGTCGTCAACTCCCCTGGCATCACAAGTATCACGAATTGCCCTACCCTCAGCATCTGCACGTCCACCGTCCCAGGCGACCAGTCGTACGGCTTATAGTTATATCCCGAGTTCAGTAATATGGGTTTGGGGTAGTGACAAGCGATTTGCTCTTCTGACGGGGCTGGGGTGACAAATCTTTTGACGACCTCCCAGAAGGGGTTTTGGGAGTGGGAGGAGTTGTCTCCTTGAATGAAGTCGAAGGCGCCGGGGCCATCACTGTCGAACGGGTTATGGGATAGGAACTATATAAGCAGCATGAGCTTACGTGGTTCCGCCCGCGAATGAATAACCTAGGGTGAGTTAGCTCAGGAGGAACAAGAGGTGTTGATGGAAGAAAGGAGGCTACTCACCCAAGGCAGCGGGGCACGTTCTCGCAAGCGTCCCATTTGGTAACGTAAACGTATAAGTCGTCCTTCAACCGTATCAGTCTCGATCGCTTTAACAGGAGGTGCGTGGATACGGCTTACATGTCGAGATACACATGCACGCTCTTCACACTCCCGCTCACCGAGGTCATGTTGTTCGCCTCCATCACGGTCCGTGTTGCTTCAAACTGTGCCTGCCCGATTATACGATTGGACTCGAAATCCGAGATGCGGAAGCCGGGGCCCCTTGATATCAAGAGAGGAATGTTAGTGTATGTCATGGTGCTTAGAAATAGAAGGCCGACAGAGGATTAGAGGCCGCTGCGCGGTGACCTTAATCCTCCGCTGACAGTGATCGCACGACTGCAATGCTCCTTGTTTCTCTGTTCCACTGGACTGACCAGACAAACAGGGAACAACATTTGACGCAGATCACGAGTAACACAAGCAACGATGCAGATAGGAAAGTGAATGAACAATACGGCGCTAGAAGAGCAGCGAGTACGCTGTCTCTTGCCGTGACCAGGTAAGCGTCACAAGCGCGAGAAAACATACTCGCTTGCTCGACCGAGACGGTTGAGAAATGGATAACGAACAACCAACCAACCAATTGGCAGGAAAGGACTAAAGGAAGAACTCACCGTCCGTGACAGTCCTCAGTCCGATTACCGCATGTCGAGTGCTCAAACTCACAGGGTTGGCCATCCCATGGTTTTCCGGGCGACTCGCAATAGGCGCCCAGGCTATTGTAGTAGAGCATGTGCATACATGAATGCCAGTGGGTGGATTGCGCGTGTCGTAGAAGGAAAAAAGTGCATATATGCGCATTGTTGAAGTCGGAAATATGATCAAAACTAAGTCAGTACATCAACATCATCACCTTCAACAGAAAGCTCACGTATTCGGGGTTGTATCGCCCACATTGGCTTCAAGTGCCTTGTTTCAACAAGGAGGTAGGAAGAGGGGATGGTGACTCACATTGGACGAACCCTGCGACAAAGGAGTTGTTGCCAGGCATCGAGGACGGCTCGGCGTATGCTACTGAAGCGTTAGATTTGCCTAGTGTGAGCGGAGGGAGGCTTACATTCATACATCCACGCTGCCATGCCCTTGTTATCACCGCTCACCAGGGTATTATTCTACTGCCCTTGAAATTTTGGAAGCAAGCACATAGAAACACACACGCACCTCATACAAGCTCGTCCCATGCACCGGGAAAAAGCTCAGCAATCCTGTCGCACCTCCATCCACATTCTCAAAGCCCAACACCGTCACCGTCGTGTCCTGGTCGTCCTCATACATCGCCCTCTCCCACTCCGGATTCGCCAAGTACGCACTGGGGCTCCGATTCCGGTTCGCATTCCGCAGTGTCGTGTTCCCTAGCTTCAGATTGCCCGGCACGAGGGAGTTGTGCGCGTCTGCGATGGCCTTGAGTGTACCGGAGACTATGGCGGCTGCGGTATCATTCACGTATCCGAGAGAAGTGATTTGTGGGAGAAGGTTCTCGAGATAGCCGCCGACGCCGCTGTGGGCGTGGGTTCCGACGAGGGCGGTGTTTGCGGTCGTGTAGAGATCTCCGTAAAGCGATGCAAGAGAGGAGAGGATGGTTCGTCGGATGCCAGTGTCGCCCATGCAAATGTCTATTTTGTCAGGTGAGGTTGAGTTGAAGGGTATGAATTGGGTATGAACGACGTACCGGAGTTAATGAAGAGAACACGGTCAGTGGGGTTGGAAGGGTCGGCAACGATAAACGCGCGGCTTCGCTGACGCATGTGGAGGCCTGTGTCAGTTTGTGGTAGGTATGCATAACCCTGACGCGCTGGTTATATGGTGAATTTGATTAGGAATGATGTAGGACGTACCATCATATTTGTTTCGACAACTGGGCTGACGGAGAGGTAACATGAGGTACAACGAAGGACAGCAAGAATGTAGCGAACGTACCCAGTAACATCTCCAATGCCTGCAGCGCAGACTGTCAGTATTGAACTAGCTCTATTAGATTACGAGCTCACCAAGACCGACCAGATACTCCCCACTACCGACACTGCTACCACCCTGGGCCTCAATAGCCGGCGGACTAGCGGCAAAGAACGCAGCTAGATACAAAACGAATACACGCATGACGTCGTGAATCCAATTGAATGGAAAGGCCGAGTCTGCGAGTGCTGTGGAGAAGGATGGGAGGTACATCTTTGCGTTGGCTCATGCGAAGTCGTTAAATTGAATTTTGCACCTAACGGGTTTGTGAGCATGAACGCGCTTGGTGAATACGACAAAGTAGATTGACATACTGTACTCGGCACTGGAACGGAATATATGATTGTTTCTATATGAACAAGATTCAAAGGTATGATAATTGGCAAGTTGGGAGAACGGAGGTGACCCGTTGGTGACACTCGGGATGACGGAAACGTGTGGGAGTAGCCGCGCGTGTGAGCATCATGGAGCTTCTATTGATTATTGGCTCCTGTCTAGTGCGAATTCTAACCTCGAGCTCAATGTTGTGCACGTAGGTGCTGGGTCGGTCATGGAATATTTGATTGCAAGAGTACGGGAAAACACTCTCAGCTAATGCCAGGGCCGACGTCGTACCTCTCGGTGGCATTTTCACGTGAACCCCCACATGATCACGGTGCGACTTAGACTGGTCAAGCTTTCAAAAATTAACTGAGTAATTGTACTTGAGAACTGCTCTGCATCATTGATCAAGCATTTAAGCCCTTTTCGCAGCGAGATACATAAAAATCAGACAGGATATTTCAGTTATCTACAACACCCTCAACCAAACAACACACGGTTCGCTGCATCAACAAGCTCGCCATTCTCGACGCCCCTTGACACAAACGGCTCAAGACCCAACGCCCGACGTCCTTGGCTAGTGGTGATATCCTGCGGCATAGCTCGTCCTTTAAAAGTAGATTCGCCGGAGCCTCCGGGGAAATCCCTGCCAGCAACAAGTGTGTAATCAGCATCACGAGATACGCTCGAGACGAAAGACGTACGGAGCGGGCAGACCATGCAGGAAATTGGCTCGCTGGTCCCGGATATATGATGCACTGAACAATACAGACTTAAAGTCGGGCTTAGACTATCAGCCATGGAAGACCCACTTTTTCAATGAAAGCGGCACTGCAGGAATGTAGAAAACTGATGAATCGTGTTGACCACCGTGAAGTTTTTCGACAGAATGTACAGTGTCGCAGTGCCCTGTCAGCGCAAACATGCAACAAGCGCTCAAGAAATGCAAAGATACAACATACAATAAACTTGATCACCAGGCTGAATCTCTGGAATACTCGTCATGGTTTCGCCGAGTCTCAGATGCGGGTGCGTTTCTTCGTTGAGTTCCTGCCCCTTTCCTGGTACACTACCTGGAAACGAGCTGCTTTCCAAGTCCAGCTCCCACTCGCCACCCGCAGGGCCAGGACGGAAGAAAGGACGGAGCATGATATACGCGGTCGCTAGGGAGAGCATCGGAAGTACACGAAGTGTACCCTCACCTACGCCAGTCGTGGAGAGTGATGTCCACCCCTGCCAACAACGAAGGATAGAACATTGATTCCTTCGGACTTGGTGAGCATATATTTAAAGGAGAACACAGAAAGCTAACGGTGCATTGTATAAATCTTGTTTTGCATCCATGCGCCAGGACACATCAAATGGGTCATGTGACTTCCAGCCCGTTCCGCCTTCTAAGATTCGGTGGAAGACCCTACGGAATGTGGGATCCTCCCAGCGCTCGACGCTTCCCCCATCGATATGAGGGCCAAGTGTGAACGAGCTGTCACCAGGAGTGCGAATGCGCAAGCGGTCGAAGTAACTGATAGGGGTACTAAAGTCGACGTGCTTGTTTGATGGATCGTGCCAAAGCTGGAGGAGCTCTTGTTGAGTACGAAGAATGGCTGGATGAGTACGCGCCGCGATTTGAGGCTTAGTGTTATAGAGCTCATATGCCTGAATATCGTGCGCTGGGAAGCCTGCGACACGATATCAGGTTATCGAAAGAAGAGCGAGCGAATGAACGGACCTTTGACAGGGTTCGCAGCGATATATTCCTTCACCGACGCTTTCCATCGTAGCGCTTCCTGTACCTTGTCAATAGATCTGACTGATACCAAGGTAACCTAGTCTGTTCACCTCTTTTGAGACTGCGCCCGTGACCACAACAACGCCAGATTTCTTGATGACATCCTTCTGGGTGTCGGACAAGCCGCGTTTAATGTCGGTAAATGATACACGAGGAATGACCTATTTTCCTGTCGGTCATGTAAAGAAGCATTCGAATAAGTGCATATACTTCTCCCCCCAGACTGATAACCTCCTTCGTTCTTCCTTCCAAAGCAACTAGAACCTGTTTCCAGGCCTGCACAATGCTCGCATGGGTCGCGCCCATATCGGTGAGTACATCCTTCTTCAGCTGAGCAAACCGAGCTGGAAGTGCGGCAACTTCGGTACCAGGACCTAGTGTCGTGAACACGTCCGCGATCGTGCCTTCTTCTTTGGCGACGCGCTTCGCCTGTGTGGCGGCTGCTATCATTGTGCGGGAGTGGGTTCGAGAAGGTAACTGAGTGCTGAGAGAATGTCGTGCGTGAAAAATAGTTGATACGATCATGTTGACGGCGGGGATGCTAGATGCAAGGACCGTCGCTGCTGATTGTTAAGTCGCATAACTAGGAGCGTTCAAGCTCCGATCAGTGGATTGTGGGACCCGAGCACGGTTGTCCGAGGTTACTCAGGAGTTATTCTGGAACAAGTCCTCGCGCAAATGCAGCATCCTGGCAACAGCGCTTGACACGTTTTGTAGATTCCGAGTGCAAAATCTGCTGATCAAGTTGAGAGCACGAGATGCTGTCAGTAACTTTATGAGGGAAAGAATCAGTAGGTAAGAAATCGACTCACTCTTATCATCCAATGATCTTCTACCAGAATTGTGCTCTACACTAGTGGACCGGATTCGATGATATTTGCGTGGACTAACGTTGCAATGTGTTATGCTCCAAGTTCGTCAGATCTTGCTGCATGTATTCGAAGCGAATCTCTGGCCGGAACGAGAGAACCGACTTATGGAGTCAGGTGTGCATGGCTCTGGGGTAAAGAGCCCGCCTCGTGGCTAACTATCCCCAACGTTCTCGTAAACTACCCTATCAGAGGGTCATGAGTGCCGACAGCAGCGGATCTATTGCTGCGGGCAGAACCTGGCAGAACAAGGGTTTTGTCAGGGCAGAACAAGTGAGCATCAGTGAACCGGTGAGTTCTTGCTGGCCATTATGCTGATTGCGGTGCTTTTATATGGTCTTATATTGCTTTATATTCCAATGTGACGAAATCCTTTCCTATATCTTACGATATATTACGATATATGACAATATCTTCTGTTCACCAGTTCTCTGATGCGCCGCCAAGGCAGAATTCAGAACGAGTGAAGTTTTGTCAGTTGTACAAGGTCCATTTGCTTTCCTCTAGACATAGGCGAAGGCAGGAGAGTCCTAAACAGCACTAGGAAGGTTTTCCTGGTGCCAAGTAGGACGCCGCGAGCGTCTTTCAGGCCTAGCTAATACTATCCTAGGAGATGGACGACTGCAGCATATGTGAAGGATGCTGTCTGCCCAGCGATGAGGCTCGCGGTGGCAGAGGACAAAAACACTAGAGCATGTGCGTGGGACTAATAGTTATACTCCGAATTCCGAGTTGGTACCTGTGCTTTTTCTCTCATCATCAATATTAATGAGCTGTGAAACCTGTGAGGTGAGTGTTTTAATTTTCTTTTAACTATCGTGATCCTAATCAAAGTACTTATTGTAAAGGGCGAACGCGGCAACTGTTGATATGTGAAAGCATCTCGCTATTGAAATTCATTGTCTTTGTTGCAGTCCTTTGTCCTCGTTGCGTCTGCTGCACATCCTTGTCCTCATTCCAACGGACACTTCTCGTTTCTAAGCCCATATGCATGTCATATCTATACGGCAGTCTTCCTATTCAGGCCAGCGCTGCTCTTTCTTATCATAAGAAGTTCTCCGCATCGCAAGTGGGTCCACAGCTTTGTGACAGGAATACCAATCATTGGTTCCTTCCAACAGTCGCTAGAACTTTCCTTTCTTTGTTTGATATTAGTCCCTAGTTGCGAGTGTGTTGCTGGCGCCAATTCTTTTTGTATAAAAGGCCCATCAATCGATCAGTGTGTATATACCCTCCTGGGACTCGAATTTTCCACCATAATCATCCTCGCTTTTGAAATGTCACCTTCCAGCACTGACCTCACCCCGTCGGAAGGCGGTGTTGGCCTTTCAGATTCGGCGCTATCCCAACATCGCAGAGCGATGCTAGACCTCATAAATCGTTTGCACATGACAGGGTTGGTCTTTTCCTTCTGAAAAGGATCTTGGGCTCATCGAGACAATATTTAGCGTGCAAACGGACATGGACCTGCCCATGATAGCCGTCATAGGCTCGCAGAGCGCGGGCAAATCGTCACTCATAGAATCTATCTCAGGGATCACACTCCCTCGCTCATCTGGAACCTGTACCAGGTAAACGCATGTCCATTTATTTTTAGAAACGCCGTTTCTGACCCTGTTGTAAGATGTCCAACCGAGTGTAAACTTTCACGATCAGAAGAGGCTTGGAAGTGCATCGTCAGGCTCCATATTACCACAGGTCCGTCAGGCCAACCCTGTGACGTGATCAATACGCCTTTCGGACCGCCCATCACAAATAAGGCGGATGTGGAAGACCGGATTAAACGCGCCCAAAGGGCGATTCTCAATCCCAGCGTCAAAGCTGAGAACTTCCTGCTTGACCTAGATGACCAGACAACCGACGAAGCTGAGTTATCCTTCTCCAAAAACTCCGTCTCTCTGGAGATAAGTGGGAAGGATGTCGCGGATCTTTCATTCGTCGACCTTCCTGGACTGATCGCGAGTGTTGGGAGTTCAGGAAAGAGCGGGGATATTGACCTCGTCAAGGGTTTGGTGGCTTCTTACATCCAGAAGCCCAGCTGTGTCATCCTTCTGACGGTTACTTGTGAAAGTAAGCTGGTTTCGCGTCTCAGTAACTAATTCTTTACATCTCCTATTTTTCTAGCGGATTTCGAGAATCAGGGCGCGCATCACCTGGCGAAGCAATATGACCCTGAAGGCAAGCGCACTGTCGGTGCGTTTGTGCGTTCATGAGGCCTTTGGAAGCACTCATTGATTTCTGTGTCACAGGCGTACTCACAAAGCCGGATCGCATTCCTGCTGGTGAAGAGAGCACTTGGCTCAAGTATATCCGAAACGAACAGGAGCCGCTCGTGAACCACTGGTACTGCGTGAAACAGCCTGGGTCCCAGACGCTCAAAAAAGGGATCTCCTGGGCCGAAGCAAGGAAGCAAGAAAATGACTTCTTTGCTTTGACACAGCCCTGGTCTACTATTGAGCCGCAGTACCAGAAGTTTCTGCGAACGAGCAACCTGACGGAGCGGCTGAGCATGATTCTATCCGAGCTCATAGCGAAGAGGTCGGACTTCTTCTCTATCACGGCTTTGATGCTCACATGCACGTAATAGGCTTCCGGAAATCCAAAAGGAACTAATCAATATTTTGCGCCAGACCCAAGACGAGATGAGAAAGCTTCCCAAAGCGCCGTCGAGCGATCCCGTGGGTGAGGTCTGGAATGTAGTCGGCGAATTCACAACACAGCTAGCTCGACGACTCGAGGGGACGCCTGATGAGGGCGGCATATTGCAGACTATTCGACCGCATCAACAAGCATTCAAACGTGCTATAAGAGCGACAGCCCCACACTTTATTCCATGGGCAAGGGGCGACGCCCGTGAACTGCCGGAGGCTGATTTCCTCGCGAACGAGGAGGACGACTCACAGGAGCCAGTTGCGGTGGTCCCTGCGATGCTCAAGCCGAGGGTGTCCACGCCACGGTCGGAGAAGATTTACATTGAGGATGTCCTCAATCACGCTCAAAGGTCCTTGAGATTTATTCTTGTGCTATAACACAAACTGACTAGATCCTAGGGCTCGTACTCGCGAACTTCCTGACAACTACCCTTTCATCGTCCAACAAACATATATCGAGGAATTCACTGAGAAATGGGCGGATCCATCAAAGGATCTTTTCCAAGCAGTATACGACATTTTGAAGGACGACCTGGGCACCCTGGTCGAAGAACATTTTGGGAAGATGGGAAGGGGTGGCGCGCTTCACAGTGTGCTGTACGTGCAACCCGCGCTATTCGATGCCTCTATGCTGATGCTTTCGTTTCCGCAGAATGATAGTGCACGAGCACCTTGAATCTGCCTCCAAGCAAGCAAAGGAAAAGATTGATTGGCTCTTGGAACTCGAGAAAGCGCCGACGACCTTGAACGTCCACTATTATTCTGACTACAAGGCCAAATTCCTTGGATATTACAAAGGTTGTCGAGACCAAGGAGAGCTGACTAAAAAGCTGCAGAATTATCAAGCGCCTACTACTATTCACGCGAACCCGATTCATGGGCAAACGTTCCAACAAGGCATCCACAAGGCTCTGGCTGGACTGAATGAGGCTGGCATTTCCGTGAAGGCCAGTGATCTTCCAAAGCTTCTGCCCATGGATCCCATGGAGCCTGCCCTTCTAATCATGGCGGGGGTAAGGGCATACTTCCAGGGTATGTTTTTCACGGAGATGTGGATTTAAAAACTGAAACGGGAGCCCTTTTGCAGTATCCTACAAGCGCTTTGCAGACATGGTTCCATTGGCGATTGATTACGAGGTAGTTCGCGGTCTACATAAGGGCATAGAGCAGGCGCTGCTTGAAGGGCTGAGCTTGACGGGGCCGGACGCGCACGTGCGGTGTCAGCTGATGGTGCAGGAGCCTAGCACAGTGGCTTCGAAGCGTACGGAATTACAGAAGAAGCTGGACAGACTTCGCGCGGCTAGTTTGGAATTACGCAAGCTGTTTGTGTAGAGACCCTTGATGTTGCATGTGTTCATCGATAGTGTATCTAGATACTTTTTGAACGTTTGAACGTTTCCCCCATAACTTTTTCGCAGGCGTGCGCTTACACAACGCGGTGGTCTGTGCGTGGGAAATGTGCCAGCCAAGGAAGTGTGTGACTTTTCAGCATGAGAGTGACGGTGACCCGAAATCGTCACCAAGAATCTGTAGTCCGGCTGTCTACCATACGCCAATCAAGGCCTAGGTCCACTTCGCACAGGATATACTCAGATAATGGCCCCCTCACCGTCGACAGCGTCGGTACCCCCTTTAACGTCGCCTGCAACGTCTACCACGGCCTTATCAACGTCGCCTGCTACGGCTGCGACCTACTCAACCGGTGATCATATCTACAAGGGTAAACATACAAACAGATCATGGCAACAGCTCCCCCCAGAGCTCATCAGGTACCTCCGCGCCACTGCATGGCACTTTGAACTATTTCTAATTAAACACGCTTGCATGACAGACATATTGCGTCTTTGTACCTCAAGGATGTCGCTACGCACCTTTACTGTCCAGTTACTTGGGAAGTTAGGGAGGTTTGGCCCTCAAGAATGGTCTATGCAGCTTTATGTCAGGCCATAGAACTCGAGAAGTTGATGAATGTAACCCCTTCTTGGTGTACTGCTCGTGCGTTTCCTGCTTTATCTTATCACCGTGACGCGCTAATTCACTGTGCTATAGTCAAATCCCATCTATTTTGGAATCATGCATGCGCACTCTTGGATCCTCATGACATACTCCACCAATATGCAATCGTACGCCCCCAAGCACCTGCAGATGGGGCTGCAGGGGCTGCAACTATCGCGCCACAGCCTTACCGTTTACCTCCTCACACCCATTTTCGCACTATGACCTACCATTCCTGCATCATCTGCCGCATAAATTCACCTTGCTCATCCGTCGGTCTCGGAACCGCAAAGCGAACACATGTTATCCCAAGGTTAGGCGTGATATCCGTGTGTCGCGAACACCGCAAAACCACATTTTGCGGTGTATGCCTACGTGAGGCTCCCGCCGCCGAGTGTGATCCGCAATTTGATGTCCAAAGTAACCTGCGTCTCAACGGCTATAATCAACTGTATAGCCATGGCAATTTTAATCTGGCCTTGGGCGGCTATAACCCGTATGCAACCACCCTCAATCCTGCATTGATGGTATTATGTTCTGAGAACGAAGATGACGAAACCTGGCCTGGAGTTGATGCAACGTGTCGCTCATGTCGTTCAGAAGGTCTTTGGAATCGCATCAAATCAAGTGCTCGTGACCGCGAGGCGATTGGAGGTCCACGTTTTGTTCAATCATCATCCTCATCACGTTCCTCGCCCGGCAGCCCGCGACAACTCGCACTAGCACGTGTTCCACCCTGGAAATACGCATCAGCGGACTGGGAAACGCGTCAAACAGTCGATGCGTTCATCGAACTTGGTGAAGGCTCAATTACAGAGGTCCTGAATGTTGCCCGCGAAAAGTTGTGGCTACGGTCATACACGAAAATGCCGGAGTTGATGGAGCAAGCTGTCGCTGCTACGCGTTGGGCTAGCGAAGGCATGGGAACTGACTTTTCGCAAAATTCTTACCATCATCGTGAACCGGAGAGTGTGGTAGCGCCGCAGCAAGATCATACACGCACTACAGAAGGCGGAGACTCGTATAGTCCCGTCAACAGCCAGTCTCCTTCACGTCGTTCGCGGTCACCGTCTCCGCGATCAGCGTACTCCTCAGATTATGAAGGCTCGGAGGATGAAGATGATCCTGACTTGCTTTCCATGACTGAAGATGCAGGTGGTGTGCGCGATCTGGCCATTGCTGACTGGGCACGGACACGAATTCTTGACGGACACTGGTGCAGCCCCGCCGACCAGTGGTATGGTTACGCCCGACCAATCGGTGGAGGCGTCAGAGATCCTGGCGAGGAACCTGACTATGAGTCGGAAACTGACGACGACGAGCCTCTGGAGAGTGGACAATCTCGCCGCCGCATCAAAGTTTCCGCTACACATCCTTGTCCGTGGACGCTCTCGAGGCCTTCGTCCCCGTCGTCTCTTCCCTCACCCACGGACGACTCGCATCCACGTCTCTCGACTGTTCGTTCTCAGGCCCCCCCTTCGTTCGGACTTTGTGAGCAGGCTTTTAGGGCGTTCTCGAAGCAGCTGCGCCAGATCCTCCTGCCTGGGATGAACAATATTGTTCGGCGACTCGTTATTGAGTCTGCCAATGGGATAGGAGGCACTTGGGGTGACCCTGCTGTGCGTGCATCGAAGATGAACCTTGAAGATGTGCTTGCTGAGCTGCGCACGCCTGGGGTATGGTTTGATGGCGTTGATTGGGCAGCTGGCGGCTTGGACATCGGCAGTAAGCGCGAGGAAGATTCCTTGAGTAGCACCAGTGCGTCAACGAGAAGTGATGGATCACACACGACGAGCCCTGTTCTCTCTACAACGACGCTACATACCACGCCGTCGCCGCCACCATCACATTCTGAAGAGAAAGAGCCTGAGCCTGGAACGGCCACGGCAAGGCCGAAACCGCCGCAAGTCATCATCCCCATTCCTGTATCACCGGTGTTGGAGTCACCCAAACTGTTGCATCCTATCCCTTATGTACCGGTTACGCTGGCCCATATGGCACAGTACAGTCTCGAAGCGTTCAAGCAGGTGAGTTTCATTCTGTGCTAAGTTGCTACTTTGTCCAAACCAACCACATTAGGTATGGCGCGAGGCGTGTGCACCACTGTATCATTGCCGGTGCTCCGTCTGCGAACGTGCTATGATCAAGGCAAATGTTGCCGCTGGTAACCCTGTCACTCCTCTGGTGCGACCTGCGCCCCAAAATGAACCCCAAGCCCGAGCGCCACAGCATCAGCCGCAGCAACCGGAAGATCATGAAAACCCAACTGAAATAGTACTAGAAGAGGTACGTGTTCCGAGACACAAAGCTGTGAAGGAAGAAGAGGAGGAGGAGCTAGAGGAAGAAGAAGAGCTGTATGAAGACGAGGAAGAAGAGAGTGAAGAGGACCAGTATGAGCTCACGAACCCGGGTTCCGAGACGCACGCTATCACACCCCGGAAACGCTCTTCTGGAGACCTCGAGGCAGAGAGCGCCGCTTCTGGTGATACTGTCGAGGTCCCTCGTACCTCGACTCCGCCGAAGCGTGCTCGGACAGACTCGGATCGTCCTGTTGAAAATCGAGCGCGGCGTGGAGAGTCTGTGGTACCGAGCCCTACGCCTCGCCAACGAAAACGCTCTTCGGAAGAACTGGACGTTGGCAACGACTCTCCGTCCCGGGGTGATTCCCTACAAAAGCGGCTGCGCGTTGAGGAGTCCTCACCGAGCTCCCATTCAGCGCCGCGCGCACTCAGCGTCTCACCTCCTGTGGTGGATCGCGCAGATGGGTTTGGCAGGAAGGGCTTTGTTGATGCTGGGGGTGGTGATTTTAGCTGTATGCGAACGGGCCTGGTGAATGGTGGCGAGCTGGACGGATTGTACGTGTTCGAGGAGTCGTAGGTTAATTTAAGAAGTGGAATTGTGGTCAGCATTAGCATGCTTTCAGCTCCTGTATTTTGCATTCTGTACAACTATACCATATCTCCTTGGTTTTTTTTGGCTATGACAATATCCAAGTAATTGAATTGTCGGTTGGTCTTGGTGCCAGGGGCTAATAGTCAGCAACAAAAAAGGTCCACGAAGCCGGATATGCCCGCTGGCTGGATTGAACAACCGACCTCATCATTACGAGTGACGCGCTCTACCACTGAGCTAAGCGGGCAACGGAGTAGTTAAGCAGACAATCCTATAAAACATTCATGAAGATGGACTCAGGCCTCAGGAATTCTCATATCCAAACACTCGTTCTTCAGCTTTCAGCAACCATGGCAGAGACGAGCCCGAAAATCAAGATTGTGCGTGCACGAGCTCTGACTCGGAGCATACCACGATAACCCTGAACCTCCCAGATGGCGGGTGCCGCGCCAGACCTATCTGCGGCTACATTCCAAATTTTCGACGAGTCTCATACGATTGGAAATGCTCTGCGGTGGATGATCATGAAGAAGTACGCCTTTTTTTCTTTGTCTGTTTGATGAATGTTAATGGATTAAAGCCCGAAGGTGGAGTTTTGCGGATATAGGTTAGTGTTCTCGGCTTGTTGTCTGCGATCTGCGCCTTTGCTTCCTTCTCCTGGCGTTGCTTGGCCCAGCTGGTAAATGCTCTCCGGACCTGGTCATCGCGAATAGATACTGGGATTTGGTAGCACGCCAGCATCTTCACCTTGCCATTCTATGTATGACAGGATGCTGATTTACTGATGACTACAGCGTGCCTCATCCTTCCGAAAACCTCATCCAGCTGCGAATACAGATGTATGGTATGCAATATCTATTTTCCCGCATTTTCCCTTGACGAGTCTAACCCGGTTCTTTTCAGATGGACTCTCGTCGTTGAATGCGCTCCTGGAAGCACTGACGAATCTTGATGACGTATGTGAGACCGTCGAGAACAAGTATCACGCAAGTCTTGCTACGAATGACTATGAGCGGTGGGAGGAGAGGAGCTAGGCAGTGCTGCTTGAAAGACTTTGCACCTTTCTCTACGGAAGCACTATTTGTTCGCTTGCACGCGATAACTACTCACCTCTGGAGCTTTCGTAATGCCACAGTTACCTCGTTGTTCGGTGGCCCCCTGCTCGCAACGATTGTCTTGGTACGGGAACTTGTCAAGTAAGTATCACCGATGTTGACCTTGGTGACACTTTCCCATAAGTCTGTGAGTACTCCACAAGTCGCGATGGCAGTGGATTCTCTGTCTAGTTCATTGCATGCAGTGTGCTATTCAGAGTGGTAACCAACTGCGGCGGGGAACCCAGTGCCCACTGCACAGCCGAATTACGGTGTTAACCCTATCCTTAGCATACTTTATAAAACGAATGATTATGGTTCCTTTTTACACGCGCTCTATATCCTTTACTGCCAGTCGATGCACTATTCGTAATCATGATCTTGACGGACAAATTCGCAAAGGCAGAGCTTGAGCTTGATGCACCTCCTCCCGCTTATGACACGTTGTCAATCCACCGGGGCGTTCCATCAATACCGACGATCACCATCGAGGCCATCGCTCACGATGATGAAGCAGGTCCAAGCACCAGTGTTATAACGGACGTGCATGAAATTGAGCCACCTCCTCCTCGGAGACGACTATGGGCACGAACGTTGCCCAGGAGCAAGAGCAATATCGACTTTACAACACAACATCATAACGATGTCCCAACACTACCACTGGACGTAGACAAAGTGCTCCCAGAGCGCCCACAGCTTGATTCCCGCCAAACCGTGCCCCCGCCTACATCTTCCTCCAGCCAGAAGCGCAAGCACGCCAAGGCACGTAAACCAAAATCCGGCCCAAGCTCATGGCTCTCTCTCCTCCCTTTTACATCCTCCAAAGCTACGAAACATGTCCGTCAGTCTGTGCTTACCCTTATTCAAGATCTCGTCGTTCCTCCGCCAACCAGCTCCATTAACCTGAGTCCTAAATCTCCGCAACTGGCCCTCGCAGATCCACATGAAATTCTAGCATCCTGCGCCCAATCCTGTTCTGCGAAGAACCTATCACTGTCTACGCTTCTTCAAGAGTCGGCTGTGGCAGGCCATACCCCCATATATTGGGCTATCGTCAACTATCGCCCTCCTCTCCTCGATGCTTTGCTCAGGCATGCCTCTCCATTAACGCCTGCAACACTAAGCGACATGAGGAAGGCATGTTTGGTAGCGAGTAATCAGGTGTTATTTCAGAGCCTCAGACTCAGTGTGGGCTTGTGCGCGAGTGGGTTAAGGAGTGGTGAGTCTTGAGTTGAGTAGTTGTATTGGGGCTGATACTTCTGGGTTGCTAGCTACTGATGGACTGCTTCTTGGTCAGCGCCCACCAGATGAAGTGCGTATTGAAGTGGGCCCTGATGGTGCTTTTGCCGCAACATTGGATATCACGATGTGGCAGAAACGTATACGGGCAGTTGGAAGTGTGAGCGTGGAGTTTATTGCGTCTGGTGAATACTCCGCTCCTGCTCCTGCTACTTCCTTATTTCTGCTATGATTTTTGCTCCAGTTTTTATCATCTTCTTTGCCAAAGAAAAACCCAACTAACGCTCTATGCCTTTCAGGCCGCATATTCGCCCTAACCTTCTTCACCACCGATCGTCCCCAACCCAACTCCAAGTCCCCCAAGTCCAAAAGAGCTGTAGGGCCATTGCACATCTCACTCTCCCTCCTCGATCACAGCCTACCGACCTATGTGGATGCCGTAGTAATCATTGACCGACCTCCTCCCCTCCCTTCTCCAGGGCCTTCCCCACGTTCACCAAGAAAGAAGGGCCTGGACCCGCTAAAAGGGCACATCCACAGCGCAAGTTTCTCAAGCGGAGATAAAGGCTATGGCTTTGAGAACGGAGTGGGGTTTCGGGATTGTAAAGCGGAGAAGTGGGACTTCAACTATGATGGACAAGCACACGCGCGTTCGCCTTCTCCTCCTTCCTCACCTATCTCTCCGGGCCATGCGGCGTCCTCTGGTGCACATACACAGAAACATGCGCAGACGCTGCTTCCACCTCCTGCGCACCCCCACCGCGCGCTGATACAAAGTTTTTCATCTCCTTCGCTCAAGCAGTTGTCGTCGTCCTCTTCTTCCCAAACGTTAACATCTGTATTGGATACGGTCGCAGTTCACGCGCCTAAGAAGCAGCTTGTGAAGTTGAAGAATGCCTCGTTGGGTACGAATGGGCGTGCACCGGTGGTGCTCCGCTTTTGTGCGGGCGAGGCTATGCTTGCCTGTAATGTGAGGAATAATGGAGGTGAGATTTCTTTTCGATACTGCGTTTTTTTCTTTTTCCTGCGACGAAGAATAGAACCTTGTTTTGAACGGATATTGGTCGTATATTCATCACACATGGAACAAACTGACGTCTCTCCAGATCCACATGCCCTACCATGTCCTACCGCCAAACCTGTCACCTGGTCAGAACATGGCACGTGGTATGTCTCATCGATTGTAGTACCGCTTGGAGAACAAGATGGGGGCGGGTTAATGTTTGAGTGAGTTTTTCAACGTGCCTTACTCTCCGCGCGCCCTCTCCCAGAATCCAATGGCAGACCGGGGGGCTGAAGTGATAGACGCTAACGTTCGTTTGCAGTACATCCCCGCATGTCGCGCCTGATGGCAGTTTACGAGCACGGCTAGAGGCGAAGTTGGTGAAGACTGAGGAGAGAGGGAAGGAGTGTATTATTTGTTAGTGTGGTGCAGGATTCGGTGATACTGGGGAATGGACTTTGTTGGTGTGGTGGTTTGGCTGTTACACTGATAGTATTGTTGTACTCAGACTGACGGTATGCCGATATTTTAATATCTTGACGGATAGTGGATGAATTCGTATGCTTGGATCGCGACTACGAATCCTGGAATCAGATCAATATTTTCTAGCAATTGTAGTACTTTCGCTTCAAGAAGGAAAAAAGAAATCAACATTCATGACATGTGGGAGATGTCGATGGTAAGAACTTAGAAGCACCTGGGCCTGGTGTAGGCAAAGATCAACTCCAAACACGACGGAACTTCAAGTTTGACAAGGTGCTTAGTTCGGATGCTAGCTAGTAGTCATGAGTTGCGCATGAAAAAGATGAAACAGAGGAAGTTTGAAGCCTCTGACGCAAGACGTATTGCTTCTATGATATACAGTCAAAGGTGTCACTCACGAAGTAATCTTGCGCTCTCCCAAGGAAATATCACAATGCTGGTCACCGTGACGAGACGGCTACCGAAAAATACACCTCGGCGTGAAGGTAATCATAGCCTGGCTATTCACAGCTGGGAATTGCTGCGACAGAATTCCAGGCAAGTCCGTTCCACGAAAGATATTGCCGATTTAGTCCGTCTGTCGTACAGTAGTACTCAAACATTAGCATTTTACATTTGCCTCACGGTATTGCCATAGAGATAGGCGTCGCTAGTTGTGTTGAGACAGAGTCCAAGGAGACGCTGGATTGGAAGATTGTCTGAGAACCGATTTTCATAATCAAAATAATGAGATGGAGATAAGAAATGTGCAAATGCAAGGACTGGCTTACCTGTGGTTAGTTGATGCAATGACGAGGGTTCGATGTATCCGTGTCACAAGGTCATGAAATTTCTTGCTATTGGCCGATATAGTTGGCGCTGAACTCTGAAAAGAATGATCGCATCATAAAAGTATGCAGGATCTGTCCTGTGATTTGGAGGGGAAAGGAAAGAAGAGAAGGCAAAGATGATTTCGACATACCGAATACACCAATCGGCAAGCTGATACTGCTTATCAGGTACTGAAAGTCTTGCGCCTTTGAGGCATGTTATGTGTTTAACAGTCCAGCGACAATAAACATTGAAGTCTCGTTGAAGCTACAGAATATCACTCTCTGCGCCATGGAAGACCGGAGCGGCAAATGCATTCTTGGGCGCTTCAACTGCACAGCCTATGCTGTATATATAAGCTGTGAAGCGAACACGAGGATACAGCATGTCAAACGTACCAGGAAGTAGTGAACTCGACTCTGGCTTGACCAAAACACCCATTGTCCCCTACTATCCGCCCGTCGGAGAACGCTTCACAGCGAACAGTCCAGGTCTTATGTAGTTGTTGAGAACTAGTTAGTCATGGAGCGAGACTTCGTGGGTATTGAACCTGGTGGACACTGACAAATGAGGCTTGGGCGCTTTAGCTGCACAGCCCATGCTGTATATAAGCTGTGAACACGAGAATAATGCATGTCAAACGTACCAGGAAGCGGTGAACTCAACTCTGACTTGACCGAAACGCCCATTATCCCCTACTATCCGCCCGTCGCTGTTGTCCTCGGTAAGTGATGGATTTTGAATTTGGTGGGCGAAAGCTGAGACTTGCGCTGCACTTGACAGTCGAAATTCTAGAATATGTCTTCACCCACCACTAAGAAGAAAGAGACATCAGCAATAACACCTCGCCAGAAATTTGAAGGACACACCGGTTGGGTCTACGGAGCCATACACCTACTTGACGGACAGCAGATCATTACTTGTTCAGACGATGGCTCGCTGCGTGTATGGAACTTGGAGAGCGGGAAACAGATAGGAGAAGACTGGCGGGACGGAGACAGTGGAGTGAACAGTATAGCGTTGTCTCCGGATGGGAAGAAAGTGGTTAGCGGGAGTAGTGACGGTGGAGTGAGGTTGTGGAGCATCGAGACAGGCAAGGTCATCGCAAAATGGATGGGGCACACACAGCGAGTGTGGTCTGTCTGTTGGAGTCGAGATGGTCAGCGAGTACTGAGCGGGTCTTATGATGGGACTGTAAGGCAGTGGGATGTGGAGAGCGGAGAGACAATCCTGGAACCCGGGCCAATCAAAACAGGGCATCAATATGTGTACGCAGCCATATATTCGCCAGGCACCACCAGGATCGCAACTGGTGGATATGATAGGGATGGTCCCGAGTGCTCAATTAAAATCTGGGATGCCAAGACAGGCGAGCTTGTCGCAACTCTCAAAGGACACACAAGTTCGGTGTTGTGCCTGGCTTGGACCGCGGATGGAAAAACGCTCATCTCCGGGTCAGACCATCACTCGATTGGGACATGGAATACAAAAACTTGGAAGCAGATCACAGTTCTCGATGCGCACACTTCCTCTGTTCATGGCATTGCAATATCCCCAAATGGCCGCATCCTCGCAAGCGCATTATACGACCGGACAGCGCGATTGTGGGACCTCGACAACGGCGAGCCCATCAGTCCTCCACTCCAGCATCCAAATCAAGTTACTTGTGTATTGTTTTCCGCGGATGGAAAACTACTAACAACTGGCTCCTGGGAAAACGCGTACACATGGGATGTTGCTACCATTTTTAAAGACGCTGGCCTCGACGAACTTCTATTGGATCCAAAGGTGAGTCGACAGGCATTCATTACATCCTCATCACTGAACGCGCTCTACCAGGCTAGCAAGTCAGCACTCCGTGTACGTGACACCGTCTAAAACAGATTTCATTGCGCTCAAACATATACACTCTAGGAAAATGCTACACGACATCACGCCCAACGACGTCAACCTGCCCATCGGTTACCCCAAGGCTTTTTCGACGTCCCACCAGATCACTCTCATGTACGTTGTTAGTATCACTTCGAGTTTTATCCTGACCTCCGTGGTCTCAGTTCTCTCCACGAGGCCGCCTCCACTCCTCCTCAGCACCGCAAGAAAGCACACTTCTTGGCCGCTTATTCCACCGCAGCCCCTCTGATGCACATGATACCTCGCCGTCTTCTCCTTTCGACTGGGCTCAAAACCTTTTGAAACGGCACGGACAGAGTGGTGAAGGTATAGAGTTGCACGGGCGCAACCCAGCAGTTGTCGAGGTCCCGTATGCAAAGGGAAAACGTGTAAGTGTTTTCTTCCTCCCAAATATTCCACTCGACCTGACATTGTGCAGAGGAATGCTTCAGCGAGAGAGAAATGGAAAAAGGGTTCACGGCCTCTTAAGCCCAATGTCACGCAGCAATCCAATGGTGCGACTCAGACCCAGCCATCTTCGCAACCACAGGCACCTGTCTCCAATTCGTGTACCGCACCTGATGTCGGTGTCGGTGATACAACCACAGCTTCAACGTCAACAACCTTGCGCCCTCATGCGACGATAAGACACGCTGGACGCTGGACTCGCTTCCGCCTCTTCATTTGTTGTCTGTCTCCTGAATACACGGATGGCCGTCATTAATCTATAATTTCCTCGTCGTCTATGATGATTTCTGGAGTGCTTCTACCAGATCATACGCTTTTCTGCTACATTTAAAACTGTCCTTTTTCATACCACACGCCTCGTCATCTCCGTCTGCGATGTATAACACACTGAAGCCATGGGGTCTAACTTACATCTCTACAAAATGCATTGCAGTCGGTACGTCTCGGCTCTCGATTTGAATCTGGCTGATAGTACTTATATTTAAGGAATTTTTCTTTTGTATGTGTTCCATTTCAACACCGCTGCCTTTTCTCAAAGAAGTGCGCGTGGGTGCTATTATTTTCTCTTGACTTATGCACAGACCTCTGCTTCGTGTTGCACCAGAGAAGAACGTTCAACGTTCACCGACGAGCTCTCAACGCATGCGTTGATCATCCTCACCCGAGATCTGTCTCACGGATCATTGAATGTCATTCGCTACATAATGCGATCTTGGGCAGAACTCCATGTCTCTGGGACACCCTCCTGCCAACGGACATTCACCAAGCCAGGGACAGTTCAAGCCGGCTTCGCGCATATACCGTTACTTCAATTTGCGGTGCTGGTAAGAAGTTATTTGTCCCAAAGTGCATCACCAGGATCACCTTCGAATATAACTGCATGTTCGCGGATAGCCACGACTAAAGCTCAGTCCCAGCCCAAGCGGCAAGCCCCATGGCAAATTCTCTCTGAAACACGAGGATTGCCACGCGAAAGATGAGTCGGTGATAGAGAAGGCGGAAGACAAGGGGCGATTATATTTGATAGGGTGTGTTGGATATGCACACATCAAAATACAGGAGATCGGCATTTACAAAGTTTCAAATGATCATGCAGCGGTTTCGTTATTCTGGTCCTCCGATGAGTACATAGCTGTCAGTTGATTATATGAACCCAGATAGAAGGTGCACGCACTTTCCCCAAACTTGCTTCGTAAACTCAACCGCCATCTGTGGGTCCGCCTCACCAGTGGTGTCATTTTTGGCTTTTTCAAGGATCATTACAGTAAGGTTCCGTACCAGGACCAACTTCAACGACTTTATCTATGGGGAGGAGATTTGCATCCATGAGATTCACTCAGCGCATATATGAACTGAGCCGAACCTTATCCACGATACTGATGTAAATTGAGCCTGAGTGATACTCTATGAAAAATGTGAGCGTACTTTTGAGCAATCTGTGAATTCTTCACAATCCCAGAGCAGGGGAGGGAGGGCGTCTGCCCTCTGATATATCGGGCTTGCGATCCACAAGTGGCAATTGAACGTCGGGCTGATTCTGATTCTTTCGTAGAAACATTCATGAGAGATGAGATGTTGGATAGACATTCTAGTCCTGCTCCAATTGGGAAAAGGACGGCCGTGATATGTTGGACTTGATGGTATAGGAAAGCTGATCCTACGAGATCGAAGATGTATGTTCAGTTATCGCCATCGGAATCTGGAGAGATGGGACTGATCTGTGCGCGCATGGCACTGATGTAGCGGTGGAAGTTGGTGATTTGTTTTCCTGGGTCTGACTTGCACAAATTGCGAGAGTCGTGTTCGTCGACGAGACGGTTTCCGGCTGATTGCATGAGAGATGTGTCGAGTCCGTGAGAGGCGAAACAATATATGTAGTGGCTGTGTTTGCAGTTGAAGCAGGCGGAGACATTGGGAGATGGGGGATCAGGCTAGGACGCAAATTGTTGAGGTGACGACAGCCCAGCACGGATACGTAGCAGAGCTCAAGTTTGGGAGATGTGTTGTGAAGTGTCCCGCGGATGAGTCCTCCTCGGATGATGAACTTCAGGAAGGAGAATCAAAGGCGGCAGGTCACCAAATAGTGTAGCGCAGATAAAGACTTGGCGCACGAAGGAAGCCTTGAAGCACGTAGTAATTACTCAAGCCCATGCCACTGCAACCCCCTCATTCAGCGTGGAAGATACGTCAAGGAGTCTTCATCAGAGCGGTCGTAGTGATGCAGCTGATACGTGTATAGGTAGTAAAGGTAAATCGGATCGACGAGCCCAGAAAGACGAAACGCATAGCTTGAGTGCCTCGTATATCGCAGACGGAGATGAGGGAACGTGTGGAATGAAAAAGGACAGTTCTAAACATAGCAGAAAGGCGTGAAATCTTGTAGAAGCACGCGAGAAATTATCATACGGGACGAGGAAATCATGGATTAATGACGACCATCCGTGTATTCAGGAGACTGACAACCAAGGAAGAGCCAGAAACGAGTCCAACGTCCAGCGTGTCTTATCGTTGCATGAGGGCGCAAGGTTGTTGACGTTGAAGCTGTAGTTGTATCACCGACAGTATGTGTGGTAGACAAATTGGAGACAGGTGCCTGTGGTTGTGAAGATGGCTGGGTCTGAGTCGCACCATTGGATTGCTGCGTGGCATTGGGCTTGAGAGGCCGTGAGCCCGTTTTCCGTTTCGCTCTTGCTGAAGCATTCCTCTGCATCATGTCAAATCGAGTCAAACGTCTGGGAAGGAGAGAAATCTTACACGTTTTCCCTGTGCATACGGGACCTCAACAACTGCTGGGTTGCGCCCGTGCAACTCTATACCTTCACCACTCTGTCCGCGCCGTTTCAAAAGGTTTTGAGCCCAGTCGAAAGGAGAGAACGGTGAGGTATCACGTGCATCGGAGGGGCTGCGGTGGAATAAGCGGCCAACAAATGTGCTTCCTTGCGGTGCTGAGGAAGAGTGGACGCGGCTTCGTGCAGAGAACTGAGACTACGGAAGTCAGGATAAAACTCGAAGTGATAGTAACAACGTACACGAGAATGATCTGGTGGGACATCAAAAAAGCCCGGGGGTACCCGATGGGCAGGTTGACGTCGTTGGGCAGGATGTCGTGTAGCATTTTCCTGGAGTTTATGGGTTTGAACGCAATGAAATCTATTTTAGACGGTGTCACGTACACGGAGTGCTGACTTGCTAGCCTGGTAGAGCGCGTTCAATGATGAGGATGTAATGAATGCCTGTCGACTCACCTTTGGATCCAATAGAAGTTCGTCAAGGCCAGCTTCTTTAAGAATGGTAGCAACATCCCAGGTGTACGCGTTATTGTCGTCGCAGCCAGTTGTTAGTAGTTTTCCGTCCGCGGAAAACGATACACAGTTAACATCATTTGGATGCTGGAGTGGAGAACTGATGGGCTGGCCGTTGCCGAGGTCCCACAATCGCGCTGTCTTGTCCCATGATGCGCTTGCGAGGATGCGGCCATTTGGAGATATTGCAATGCCAAAGACTGAGTCAGTGTGCGCATCGAGAACTGCGATCTTCTTCCAAGTTTTTGTATTCCATGTCCGAATCGAGTCATCGTCTGACCCGGAGATGAGCGTTTTTCCATTCCCGGTCCAAGCCAGGCACAACACCCAATCGGTGTGTCCTTTGAGAGTTGCGACAAGCTCGCCTGTCTTGGCATCCCAGATTTTAATTGGGTACTCGTCATCATCTAGCCTATCAATTCCACCAGTTGCAATCATGGTGGTGTCTGGGGAATAGATGGCTGCATGCACTTCTCCATGCCCTGTGTTGATTGGCCCGAGTTCCAGGATTGTCTCTCCGCTCTCTACTGCATCCCACTGCCTCGCTGTCCCATCAAGAGATCCACTCACTACTCGTTGACCATCTCGACTCCAACAGACAGAACTCACTACACTTGTGTGCCCCATCCATTTTGCAATGACCTTGCCTGTCTCGATGTTCCACAACCTCACTCCACCGTCAATACTCCCGCTAACCACTTTCTTCCCATCCGGAGACAACGCTATCCTCCTCATTCCACTGTCACCGTCCCGCCAGTCTTCTCCTATCTGTTTCCCGTTCTCCAGGTTCCATACCCGCAGCGAGCCATCACGTGAACAAGTAATGATCCGCTGTCCGTCAAGTAGGTGTATGGCTCCGCTGACCCAATCGGTGTGTCCTTCAAATTTCTGGCGAGGCGTTATTGCTGATATCTCTTTCTTTTTAGTGGTGGGTGAAGACATTCCAGAATTTCAACTACCGAGTGCAGCGCCGTCTCAGCTTTCACCCATCAAATCCAACACTCATCACTTACCGAGGACAACAGCGACGTGCGGATGGTAGGGGATATTGGGCGTTTCGGTCAGGTCAGAGTTGAGTTCACCGCTTCCTGCTACGGTTCACATGCATTATCCTCGTGCTCACAGCTTATATACAGCATCGGCTGTGCAGCTAAAGCGCCCAAGCCTCATTTGTCAGTGTCCACCAGGTTTAATACCCACGAAGTCTCGCTCCATGACTAACTAGTTCTCAACAACTACATAAGACCTGGGATGCTCGCTGTGAAACGTTCTCGTGCATCCTCGATGTCTGGTGCTGTTCCGTGGGAAGATGGGCTAGCATTCCGGTGAGTTGCGTGGCCTATGTGCTAGCGCCCGTTATCTAATCGGCTCTGGCACATTCCCTCATAGTTCACTGCTTTTTTGCTTCCTCGTCAGACATTTATGTTGGAGCTATTCACAATCGGATCCCTCTGAGTCGTCTTCTGCTTACAGAACCATTTTACGAAACAGGCGAAGGAACATTCCCTGCTATGCGCTTCGTTCTTCTCTTCCACTTCTGTCGGATGCTGCCCGTATGCGCCACTGGAACTTATGATTCTGAATCGATAAGTTCTGTTTCCGACGTCGAGGAGTGAGTTCAAATATTGATAGTAACCTAACCACCCCACAGATGCCTCGGTCTTTTCTATTTCATCTCGCATATTCAGCTCCACAGGTTCCACGTCTACGCAGCTCTGGTTCTAGTACGTGTCTTGTTAGATGGGTTGACGTGCATGCTGACGTTAGGGTTCCTAACTCGGCTTCAGGCTTGATCAATCCAACCACCGACTCCTTATCTGAGGAAGGCCCCACCGGGTAGGAGTGGAACTTGAGGCGCAGTGAGTAGATATTGCTCACCAATCTTAATATGCTGCTCACACCTCGACTTGATTTCAGTCCTTGATTGATTTGCTCGTGCCCTATGACACTTATATTCAGTCACGTCGATATCGATCCGCATGTGCAGCTCCGCAGGATGAATGATCACGGAACCTAATTCACGACATTTACCTTGGCAAGGTAAATTTCGTAGTTTAAATCGACTTAATAGTGGGAGGGTCCTGAGTACGGCTCTCACGCTATCCTTTGCCTTCTTGAGTCCGAAAAATTCAACGCTCAGCTCTTCTACGTGCCATGATGTTCAATGCTGGAATTAGTTGTCTTAAGAAGGCATCAGGAGAAGTTGAATTGACAACAGACAAAGATAAAGTGGCCTCAGTCATGGTGGCACGTGTGGTGTCTTCCTTCTTCCAATAAACATCATTAGTGCCAAGTCGTGGCGACAGTGGTATCGGGAAGGACCTTCGAGGCTCTCCTACATGAGACTATATTCGTGAAGCTATTAACGACGTGCAGCCCAATATTAGCTCGCTCCTGTCGGTTATGTTGACTTGCCTGCCTGCCTGAAGTCGGGTTTCATGGCCTTCAATAGTGAAGTTGCATCTGTATGTTTTGGCATCGTACAAATCCTTGTTAATTTCTGTGATTCGCAATATAAGCATTTAGTATCTCCACCATCGCCTCGGTCTCTGGCCTGAGACTAGCCCAAAGACTGTTGACGGTATGCACCGAGTTCCACCCAATCAATTTGGCTCGTTTCGCACGTGCACGGGAGTTCGATCCGAGATAGGCGCCCTATGAATGATCGTTTCATCAGTAGTCCACGGACAATGAACACGATCAAAGACCTGCCCCAAAATACTTCATCAACTGTTCCTCTGTGAAAACGTAGGCCAGTACCGACGACACCGCCCAGTTTCTGTCGATGCCAGTTTCGATGAGACCAGGGATTTGTTGAGAGTAGGGATTCTGGACGCCGAGTCTGACCAATGATGTGTTCGCGATGCCGTATATCGTCGAAGTCGAAGGAAAAATGACAGATGTCCGAACGTTACCTGTTATGTTACGAGACATTAACAACAGATGTGTTGGGTAAGACGCGATGTTACCTTTTCGACCAGCAGCAACGACTTCGATGTCGACTTCACGATCAGGTTGCGTCTTGGGTAGCGACTCTGGCATGTTCTGTCAGCTTTTCGAAATCTTTGTTGGAGCCAACAGCTACAACTCCGACGCTGTTGAGCGATACAACCTTCGCGGGAGAGCAAATGAGAGCAGTTATATGAAATGAATTGGCTCTAGGGTAATTCAATAATGCAGACAGAATGGACCCGCAATGTGCCCTGCAATGGCCAGTCAGCATTGAGTCGGAATACGGTCAGCAAGAACTTACCAGTTCCACCTGTGATGAAAATGCGCGTCTTCTCGGATGTGGGTATGATCGTGGCATGGGCGGACGGACGAGAGCTTGTGTGATGTGGGGAATATTGATTGCTCCGAGTCTTGGATGTTCATAATGGATGGGCATCAGTACTAGTATCAGGCTGTATCAGGCTTGCGTTGGACACTTTTTGAAACTCCGCGAATCTGCAAATGTAATCGAGCACGAGTCCACAACATCATTTACCCTTGAAGCATATCCACCCTCAAAGCATCCTTGGACCTCCTCAGAGCGAATGACACACTGTTTGCATCATAGTTTCTAGGTCTCTCAAAATCTACTACATCTGCTATACAATGCGTACTCCACGTTCGGTTTTTCCCAACGCTTTTCGGGAGTAAATGCTTCCAAAGGCACATATGTTCCAGAAGAAGTGCTGCAAGCAGGTGCACTCTACCGTGAATGTGCAGTTGTCAACCTGCAGACACCGAGCCCTGCGATGGTAGATGCTGTCGATGTGCAGGTGCCGGATGATTGGGAGCTGGTGTGCGTGCATCTTGGTTAGGTGGTGGCGGAGTGGAGGAGTGGAAGAAACTCAACCTGTCAGGCGATGGGAAGACTGGGTGTGATGATGGGCCGTCGGTTGATACCCCGAGTAGTTAGGTGTGGGTGAGTCATTATTCAAATTCGCACTTTGCGCTGAGTCTGTGAATATCGATACCGTTCTGACTTCGTCGCGTCATGATCAATACTATGCGCACTCGCTCATTTCTATCCTGGTCTTACAGTGATTCACGCATCTGCGCACAAGAAATCGTGAACGGGACATCCACGCTAGGGTAGTCCTCCTCACAACATCTATACTAGGCTCTTCCCACTCTACATCAACACCGCCAGGTTTCGCCGCCCTTCTGTTCGTACTTGACCCACAACCGACTGAGCACATCTACGCCACAAGCTACGTGACGGAGATCGAATTTGGAGAAGACCTTGGTCCACGGTGTTCGGTATTCGGCATCAGGCGAACTTCTTGCGATTGCAACAGATGCAGACATCGAAATTCATGATCCTGGCAGGATGAAACATGTTGTCTGCTTCAAGGGTCACGCAGGATGGAACGCCTCACTCTCGTGGACGCCCGATGGCACACGCTTTCTCTCAGCGGTCGATGCAAGCGATCCCACCATACGGGAGTGGGATACATCCACTTGGGAGCAGGTCAGTCGTCCCTGGATGCGTCACAATGATGCTATCACTGCCATTGCGATTAATTTTTGCTGGTACGCTCGTCGCTTCCGTATCCGAGGACAAGCATGTTCACCTCTGGCGGCTCTCGGATCGACAAATCATCGCCGTTTTCCAGCACTCAGCTGAGCTGAGATGTGTTGCTTTCTCCATGGACGGCACATCCTTAGTGGAGGTGATGATAACATGATCTCAGAGTGCGAAGTACCCAGGGACACTTGGCCAGAGGAAGCTCCGAATAAACCGGTATCAAAGGTATGCTTCCATCCTTGATTCTGATAACGCAATTTGAGCATGCTTTGCGACGCAGAACTGCACCGTCAATGCAACCGCCTGCAATGCATGTATTGCGGGAGACTTGTCTGCCGTTGAATAGTTCTTCACGCAAGAGATTAACGTTATCTCAAATTGACGGATACTCAGACTGGTTACGAGTCCACTGGCAAGCGGGTGAATGACAGCTCTGCGCAGACTGCCTATATATTCTGTAGCAGTACGACGCTGCTGTTGAAACATTTAGAAGCAACGCTACTGATAACGGAATAGTGAAGCAAAGGATGGCATTTCTACTGCAATACCCCGGCACTGAGTCGACGTCGTGGAGGCCGATGGTAGGAAAACCAGCACGCTTCTCCATCAACAGTAGCAACAACTTATATTCCTACATGAAACATCAAGACTGAGCAATGCGTACTTTTTTCTTTACATCAGTGTCGAGCCAGGCGTTCAACCCGTTGTCTGGCAGTTTCCTGACGACTTCATGAATGCTGTCCATCCATCCGAAACCAACTCAGGCAGAGCTTCGACTGCTTGGCATCGATATTCGGGTAATGGTATATATGCGCGAAGCAGGCTTAAACTGTCTGTGGCATGGTGATTAATGTCTGTTGGCAGCAGGGTGTCCCCGAGACATGGAGTTCTTCCCAAACTCGCATTGTATAAATAATCCATGAGACAGATCTCGGGCGAGAATGGTCGACGCATGCATCGAGAGCTCGTTGGTAAACGTTAGACGGTCTTGCTCCGGTTTTCTTTTCTGGTGCAACACGCAGCAGAGGTCCGCGCATAAGTCAAGAGAGAATGATAGCACCCACACTTCCTTGAGAAAGGGCGGCGGTGTTAAATTATAGCAATGCATACAAAAGAAAGAATCCCTCATATAAGCACTATCAGCCAGATTCGGTTGGAGAGCCGAGACGTACCGACTGCGATGGGGAGGCGTGTGGTATGAAAAGGGACAGTTCTAAAGGTAGCAGAAAGGCGTATAATCTGGTAGAAGCACGCAAGAAATCATCATAAGGGACGAGGAAATAGATTAATGACGACCATCCGTGTATTCAGGAGACATACAACAAATGAAGAGCAAGAAGCGAGTCCAGAGTCCAGCTTGTCTGAGCATTATGTCAGGACGTGAGGGAGTTGACGTTGAAGCGGCGGCGATATCACCGACAGCAGGTGCGGTAGACGAATCGGATACAGCTGGGTGTGGTTGTGAAGATGACTGGGTCTGAGTCGCACCATTGGATTGCTGCGTGACACTGGGCTTGGGAGGCCGTAAACCCGTTTTCCGTTTCTCTCTCGCTGAAGCATTCCTCTGCACAATGTCAGGTCGAGTGGAATATCTGGGAAGGAGAGAGAACTTACACGTTGTCCCTGTGCATACGGAACCTCAACAACTGCTGGGCTGCGCCCGCGCAACTCTATGCCTTCGCCACTCTGTCCGTGCCGCTTCAAAAGTTTTTGAGCCCAGTCGAGAGGAGAGGACGGTGATGCTTCATGTACATTGGAGGGGCTGCGGTGAAATAAGCGGCTAAGAAGCGTGCTTACTTCCGGTGTTGAGGACGAGTGGAGGTGGCCTCGTGGAGAGAACTGAGACCACGGAGGTCAGGATAAAACTCGAAGTTGATAGTAACAACGTACACGAGAATTATCTGGTGGGACATTAAAAAAGCCCGGGGGTACCCGATGGGCAAGTTGACGTCGTTGGGCAGAATGTCGTGTAGCATGGTTCTAGAGTGTACAGGTTTGAACTTAATGAAATCTGTTTATGAAGAGGGTGTCACGTACACGGAGTGCCGACTCGTTGGCCTGACAGAGCGCGTTCAGTGGTGAGAATGTAATGAATGCCTGTCGACTCACCTTTGGATCCAACAGAAGTTCGTTGAGGCCAGCGTCTTTAAGAATGGTAGCAACATCCCATGTGTACGTATTGGTGTCATCGCAGCCAGTTGTTAGTAGTTTTCCATCCGCGGAAAACGATACGCATTCAACTATATCTGCATGCTGGAGTGGAGGACTGATGGGCTCGCCGTTGTCGAGGTCCCACAATCGCGCTGTCCGGTCGTATAATGCGCTTGCGAGGATGCGGCCATTTGGGGATATTGCAATGGCATGAACAGAGGAAGTGTGATCGAGAACTGCGTTCTGCTTCCAAGTTTTTGTATTCCATGTCCGAATCAAGCAATCGGAAGACCCGGAGATGAGCGTTTTTCCATCCGCGGTCCAAGCCAGGCACAACACCCAAAATGTGTGTCCCTTGAGAGTTGCGACAAGCTCGCCTGTATTCGCATCCCAGATTTTAATCGAGGACTTGTTTTCATCTGGCCTATCAATTCCAGCAGTTGCAATCATGGTGGTGTCTGGCGAATAGATGGCTGTGTCCACTTCTAGACGTCCTGTGTTGATTGGCCCGGTTTCCAGGATTGTCTCTCCGCTCTCCACATCCCACTGCCTCGCTGTCCCATTGTGAGATCCACTCAGTACTCGCTGACCATCTCGACTCCAACAAACAGACCACACTGGCTGTGTGTGCCCCGTCCATTTTGCGATGACCTTGCCTGTCTCGATGCTCCACAACCTCACTCCACCGTCACTACTCCCGCTAACCACTTTCTTCCCATCCGGAGACAACGCTATACTGTACACTCCACTGTCTCCGTCCCGCCAGTCTTCTCCTATCTGTTTCCCGCTCTCCAAGTTCCATACCCGCAGCGAGCCATCATTTGAACAAGTGATAATCCGCCGTCCGTCAAGTAAGTGTATGGCTCCGCGGACCCCCTCGGTGTGTCCTTCAAATTTCTGGCGAGGCGTTATTGCTGATATCTCTTTCTTTTTAGTGGTTGGTGAAGACATTCCAGAATTTCAACTACCGAGTGCAGCGCCGTCTCAGCTTTCACCCACAAAATTCCAAATTCATCACTTACCGAGGACAACAGCGACGGGCGGATAGTAGGGGATAATGGGCGTTTCGGTCAAGTCAGAGTTGAGTTCATCGCTTATTGGTACGTTTGTCATGCTGTATCCTCGTGTTCGCCTTATATGCAGCATAGGCTGTGCAGTTGAAGCGCCCAAAAATGCATCTGCCACTCCGTAATCCCTATTGCTGTTGGATGGAACACAAGTTAGCATTGCAGTTGTACCTGCGCGTGTTCACGCGGAGTCCCAAAGATGCAAGGTGAATGGCTTGGCGTCAAGCTGTGTCCAATTCATCCCAAGAAATCTCGCAGCCTCCTACCTAGGCATCGTACACCATCGGCTACTTGGACTCAATCGTATTCTACACATCGTCAATCCGTTGGAAGACGGCTGCTACTCGTCTCCGTCAGATCCAATGAACTCCTCCTTAGTCACGGTGTTGCCTCGAGGCGCGCTGCCAGTAGTAGCGACTGATGCCAATACATATCAGCGCTGTTCGATTTATATCTATTGTATCTACCCTATTCGATTTATATCCACCTCTACGTTGCTTGTTTTCACTGGGAAGCTTCAGTCCTCACCGTTGTCACTCCATTAAGACAACTTCGTCGCTATATGACTTGTGCAGGTAAAATATAATGCAACAGCTCGAAAATATTTTGCAGGACAAGGGACTCTGATAAAACTTTAAAAGGGCGAGTTGCCACCTGCAAATAGTGATAGAGATCGATCAACGTTTTCCCAACACGCCGTCACACATCAATGAGAAGAATGTCTCCGTGCCGGTCTCCAGTAAATGCCCGTATGCACGGGTTATTTCAAAGCAAAGCCTTCCAATTTGGCGTCAGCTAGGCATACGGACTCGACAGGACAGAGGCCTCACCAGATGGCGTGGAGCTGATATTTCAGAGCAGGCTGAGATCAATGAAATCTTGAACCATTGGCAGGTTACCTTCTTCCCTTGGTTCAAAACCTTCGTTGTTGTGGAGGACAGATATGTCGTCATGTTGTGAAATGAACTCGGTGTTAGCCTCGCCTGGCTTATCATGCGATGTGAGCTATGGGCATAGGTGTCAACTCTGCGTGTTTTGGTGTCGTGCTGGGCAGCCCATTCGGAATGCGTGACGGATCAACGAAGATTTCCCGACGCTGGTCTGTAGGATGCACGTTGTCAATGCAGGTATGAGGCTAAAGAAAAGTTGATACCTTTATCACCAGGATTCTGAACCTTAGTGGTCTCTTGTGTCAACCTGAAGAATGGCACTTCACGGTTATTCCGACTCGCCGAGGACAAATCTGAATGGTTCGTCAGTGGTGGTGGGCTGAATCTCCGGGTTTTCACCAAAAGAGACAGATTGAGCAGCTCGCTATCTACGGCTGAGACGAGTTTCAATGCAAGAGGTAGATCCTTATCTAGATTGCCATGTTGCCGAAAAGCTTAACGACGATCTTGAATTCTTGTTGTTCATGTCATATCGAGTCCGTCATCGATCAAGGCAGGAGCGTGACATTCACGCTTGAGCTCGAGCGTATGTCTCGAATTCTATGTCTTCAACAGTACTCACTGCGGAAACGAGATTTTAGTCAGACCCGATTAGTGTAGGGTTAGATCATATACGCGGAATATAAACAGATGTCGTGTACAATGCAAATCCCTCGGCGCTAGACTAGCGAGAGGTACACAGTGCTGACTCTAATCCGACCCCACATACATCAGTTGTGCGGAGGTGGATTTGTTGTCCTCGGACCTAAACCGACAGCGGGATCAAATCTGAAAACAGGATTCGCACATCCGGATTATATCTGCATACATATTACAAGTAGATCTAATTAGACTCTGCAAAGAATATACACGAGGTCCATATGCTTCCTAGGATTCGCCATGCGCTTGCTCGTAGCTTCTCGCTTGCTCTTCCCTTCGTTCTCTTGACCCCGCATCCACGATGTATGGATCTCAAGCCTCACAGAGACGCCCTAGCGGTGCCCCCATGTATCCTAACCAACACCGCGTTAGCCAAGACCGCCAGTCTCAAATGAGTGGTACGCACCAATTTGGCCAGCCTCATCCTGCGCCATCCCCGCTCGACTCGCTCAGCGACTTGCCGCAGCATGATGAGTACTTCAGTGGACCGCGTGCAATGGTAAACTGTCAGAATCAACCAACGCAAACACGGAAAACTCACACATTAGTATTAGCAGGGGGAAGATGATGTAAATGAGAACATGGGAAGACCGGAAACCCCATTCATCCCCAGGAACAATGAGCATCGCACACCTTCCCTAGGCCTGTCCATGCATGGGGTCAATAATTATAAGAACCCCCAGCCAGCTGGAACACCATACCTCGGTCATGGAAACTCGCACACTCCGTTCTCGTCAGGCAGTGAACCACGCTCCCGCTCGCAATCCTTGGCGCCAGGTGCAGGCCATGACCCTGACTATAATCAGTTTGCACGACCCTATCAACCACACGCGGGAACATACCCATACCAACGCAGCGGTTTGCTTTTTCAGGACCATATCGGAGATATGCCATACCAGGGTCCACAGGGTGGGGCTGCAAATGCCAGTGATTTTCAGTATCTGTCCGAAAACATGCAACAGTTTTTGAGTAACTTTACGACCTCAAACAATGCACTTACTGCACAAGTGCAATCACTGCAAAACGAAATGCAGGATCTTAAGGGAGAGATAGCGCAGTTGAAGGAGGAGCATGAATTGGGCAAGGCCACCGGAAACAAGAAAATGAGTGCAAGGAACATCTCGAATGACCATCCCAAGTTAAAAGTCAGCTTTTCACGCGTATCTTCAGAGGAGTAACAACTGACCGTTATTCTCGCAGATGATCATTCATCCCATGTTTCCAGATCTGTGCAACATCTCCCGGTCTTTAAGTAAATCAGCCCGAGCCAAGCTCTTGAATAACGTGAAGCCGTTAGAAACTGGAAAGGCATACCAGGAAGTTGACATGAAAAAGATATGGTACCCGGATTGGAAGGGTAACGTTGATGACGAGGTTAACACAGCGTTCATTAAAGAAGTTGTTGATCGAGTCTGGGATAATGAAAAGGTGAGTCCGAACAATTGAAGAACATAACATACGGACTTACTAAGTCAACACAGCGATTGCGCGAAGATCCAAACTCAAAATCCGAGATACTAGATGCCGACTATGACCGCCAGTTGATAACCGATTGCACGAAGGCGTATTTCCGCAATATCCACAAGCAGTTTCTTGAGCATCACAATGATGATAAGGCTAGAAAAGCAACGGAACACAAGAATCAAGGACGGCGGCGTTCACGTTGTCAGACGGTTAGTGTTCCAGAAATATCAAACTCGGTATGATATCTGACTGACCTCAGGCTACCAAAACTCGGCGAAAAGCAGCGGAGGCCTTTGGGAAGGAATCTGGTCATCCTGGTGTCCTGGCAATGATTGACACGGATTTCGCATCAGATGTGCTGTCCTATGGCTCAGACGCTGACCTTTCAGAAGACACCCTCAAAAGACGAAGGGATGCTGACGTGGGAAAGGGCGTGTTCATGGTAGAGGGTGCGCAATGGAGAAGCCCCGATGTGAGCTTTGATGTTAATATTTGAATATACAACTGACCTTTTTAAAAAAAAAGTACGTGGCCTTTGGGCGCTGGTTGTCGTTCAAGAAGTCGAAGGTCAATAAAGGTCCTGATGAACCTAACGAAGAGGCGCCGGCACCCAAACACCGCAAAGTTGTCAAGAAGAAAGTCATCAAATCGACTTTCGATCTTGCACCGAGTAAGATGCGCAGCGAACCTCCAGTCTCGGCCAAAAAGACCATTCCCTTCCGATCGATGGTTTCTGAGAAGTGGCTGAAGAAAAATCCAGGTATCGTGTTGCTAGACGGCGGAGAGTGGCTGTCCAGTTTCTATGGTGGGTTGAAGGAGGGTGATATCCACAAGGATGACGCGAGGTTTCTGAAGGAGCTCGACGAGTGGCACAAGAAGGATGAGTCGAGCAGTGACGAAGAGGATCTCCCTGTCGCAGGCCCGTCCACCGGCAATTAGTCTTAGCAGCAGGGAGAAAAGATTTTGACGAACCGTTTTCTTGACAAACACAAAATTTTGTCGCTATTACTGTATTTTGTTAGCAGCGAGTCAACTTCTGCAGATGCGTATCAAGTACTTACCTTTGAAATATCAATTGTCGCCCACACCTTTGTCTTGCTCTCGCCGACGGACACAGTCATCATAGCAAGCTGGCCCGTCACCCAGTCTGGGTCAATGAGATGCGGTAGTTGAGTGTCGCGGTCCAAATATTCGCCCAACTCCCAAAGGCGTACATCCACGACTGAACTGTTGAATGGTCAGTGAATAAAGCAGGCTGTAAGTCAAACTTGTAACATACAACTTGTCCCATGGAGATGGCTCTGCACGCCAAGCTTTGAGCCAGCGCATTCGTGCGAACCACATACGATTTCCTTGTCCACGCAAATTCTGCTCAAACTGAAAAATCTCCAATATCTCACCATAAGCATGACGGGGTGAACCATTGTTTGGAATGACGACATGAACAAAAGACGAACGATTAGATCCTGTTGTCCGAGAGGCATAATAGCGCTTCCCACGAAGGACAACGTAGTCGAAAAATATGGCTTGCCAGTTGAGAGGAAGGCTATGAGATAGAAGCGGGCGATCCATGCGGCAGTGAACTGGCGTGAGGGGGAAATGAAGACAAAGAGTCTCAGCAAGAAGTCGGTAGGTATCGGTAGACAGGTCTTTCAGGTGGTGGCGAGGGCTGAGCATGTACACTTGATCCGCTAATGCACATGTATGTCAGACAGTGAAACGAGGATAATTTAAAACTAACCATCGGCGACGACATCGTCAAGGTCTTTTGATAGCGCCGCTAACCCGGCTACCGTGCCTCGTTCTTCGTTGGATGCTTTGATCATAATGTCGGCAACCGCGCTTGGGAGCGAGTCCTTTGGACGTTGGACAAGAGTGTAAGTCTGTAGTAATCGTAAGCAAGTGAACATTAGTGCAGCGCTACATAACATACCATACGGTTAGTTTGGCAAGTACGCTGGAACTCGCGGAAAAATGTCGTCTCGAGTTCGCCGTTTCCGTGGTTATTCGTTTTGTAGGATTTGAGTACTTTGTTGAGGCGTTCAAAGAGGAAGGTCCAAAAGTCGTGCAAAGGGCCAAAATTACGCGCGCATTCACTGACATGAGTTGCGTAGTGATGATTAGGCTTGATGGAACTTGATCCGTACAGCTGGCAAGTCGTAACGAATCAGAAACTCTCCAAATGTGTGAATTTTACTCACATGAATGAGTCCGTAAGTATATTCACGGAGGAGCCTATCAACGTCGTTGATATCTTGGTCAGATATTTGATGTCGGACAATGATGCGAAGCGCAGCGCTAAGCTTGAGGAAGTTTTCAGGATCGTCTGGATGTAGGCAGAACTTAGTGTTAGTACTGTCGTCAGTAATGTCAAAGCCTTCGTTTGCTGGAGCAGTAGGAGCGGGCGGAGGGGCAGGAGCAGGGTGAATTTCTCCTTCGGTGAGATCGTCAACCATCTGTGTCGTAGCTTTGCGCTTACGGGTTGCCTTGAATATAATCAACTTTATGACTTCAAAATGCAGCAAATAATAAACATACCTTGAGCGCAGCTGCTCGCGCCTTTTTCTCTGCGGAAATTCTAGCTTTCTCTGCCTGCTTAGCAGCAGCAGCACGAAGCTTCTCTTGGTTCCTGGCCTCTGCTTCCTGCAGTTTCAGACCGGCAATGCGTGCCTTCTCTGCCTCATAAGCATCCTTCCCGTGTTTCTTCGCATCAGCTAGAGCCTTTCTATTGTCAGCATTACAGGTAGCTTTGACTGTCTTCTCTGCTTCAAGCTTCTCGATGGCGGCCACACGTTGATGGAGTATCTGATCACTGGCATCTGAAGGCGTGCACGCGGCCCATAATTGAGGTATCTAGAATACAATAGTTTAGACTTTAATATTAATGCAGACGTCACTCACGATAATGGGTCCATACACGGTCGAGAGCAATAACCACTGATCGGCTGTTAGGGATCCCCCAGACGGCATGCCGATATCTGTTGGTAGTTTGCCACATGCTCCTGGTACTATAAACTGCGAATTTGTTAGATGATGAATGCATTAAAAGACTAGAACATACGTCTGCAAGCATCTCGTGGAATGCGTCGAGCTCGTGATTTGGGCGTAGAATTTTACTCTGTACCCAGATATTATAGAAATGCGTCTTGACGAGACCTGATTGTAATATTAATTTGTGTCGTAGCTAGCGATGGCCCGTGTCACTTACCTAGAAACAGATTATGCATCGGATCGATAACGATCTGCTCGACTAAGTTGAAGTATGGTAATCGGGAGAGTTGAGAATATCGTGTAGCGAAGTCCTTGACAAAATTCTTGCGCGTGCTGGCTGTTGGAAGATTTCGGTAACGGTCACCTAGCTCACGCTGTTCCTCGTTTGTCCGCGGGCGGAATGCTCCTTCTTGAAAGGCAGCCGGTGTGGTTTTGTCGCTCAGAGTGATCCAACAGAGGGTGCAGAAATTAGTATGTGAATGGGAAGCAAACCCACCCACTTTATGAGCAGCAGGTTTGTCGCATACGACAGCAACTAGAATTACGCGGACAAGTCTCCCTAACGTTCGGATGAGGGTCAGAACAATGATGTAGTAGTAATAATGCACATACCATGAGGAGAAGACTCCGTCGGAACCCTGATACCAAACTTCCACAAGCGCAAGAGATCCGATACGATAGGACGAAGAAAGCGTTGAATCTAGTCTGGATTTTGTTCCTTCAGACCAGGAAGTATACTCGTACACATAAGATTCGATGTACGATATCTATAGATTATTAGTAGATCAGACTCAGTTGAATGAATCGCACTTACCGATACTCTGGGGGAAGATTACAAACCGAGAATGACGTTGGAGCTGAAGAGTGAGATGGTGCGATGTTGCTGCGGATGTATGAAAACCTACAAGCACGATTTGTTAGCAACTAGAGATACCTACATGCTCTATATACGTACCAGTCCAACCCAAGATTGACGCCGATACGAAGCTCGTTGTCTGGACCGTTCTTTTCATGAGGAAGGTTTGAGAAGAACAATTTACCATTCGGATCCTTGAGTTTGGTGCGGCACACTGCGCCATCAAAAATATCGGTGTATTGTCCTGCAGCGCGAGGTTTCATGCGCCACCCATCCAGTAGTGCCTCTAAGCCGGGTATCTTCAATAGAGATTTCAGCTGTTCAGAAAGCGGAAGATAAGGATATTTTATCACTGGGGACTTGACTGCTCGTTGGTTACCCCGCAGAGTGTGTTCTGGCAGGAAAAGATCATCGAGGCAGATCGGACAGGTATCCACGGTATGCAGCGAACCCGCAGGAGGGAAAACTTCACGGCAAGATGGGCAGACGGGAAGAGTGTAGATAGTCTTATCCACACCAAGTACCCGATTGCTGGATTGAAGCGTTATGAAAGGAGTGTCGATGGCCGGTGCAATCGAGAGTAAAATGCAAGCCAATATCGCAAGGAGTGCGTTGCACGCAACTCGTGGAAGGTGAAACTGGAGGTAAAGCCATGAGACGAGTGCATATATCACTAGCAGATGGTGAGGGAGGTGCGAAAGATCCGTGTGGTCTTCTGAAAAGTAGTCTTCGTCAGGAAAGAAGGGATCAGGGTCGTCCTCCCCTGGTTCTGCCTGTATAGGCGCACGGTCGTCTTCTTCATCGGGTACATTAAAGCATCCATCTCCATCGAAATCCTGTATCTCCTCTTCGTCATCAAGATCAGCTTGTTCTCTTTGCATTTCCTCCACGGTCTTCTCAAGTTGCCGTTCAAAAGTGTGTTGCGCGGGGTCAAGAGGAAGTTGGTGCGCGTCATGAGCCGTAAGGCGCCGGGAGCCAGCAGCTGTCGCATTGTTATATGCGTCAAAGTGCTCGACAGCCGCAATAAGAGCCTCGGGACTGCGCATATTAGGACCAAGGTTGGGCAAGGGGCTGCCTGGTGTTGGGATACCTAGATCTGCATCAGTAAGAACCCCATAATCCAAGACGGCATCCTCCAAAGGATCGTGAAACTCCGGAGACAAGGGAGGGAGAGGTTCGTGTAATGGAACCGAAAATCCTCGAGGAACTCGCCCAACATCCTGTGATATGACGTGTTGCCCAACTCGCCGGGTAAAGTTGGCCTGATCAGCAAGAGTTCGTTGACGTAAATCAGAGCGCTCATGTGAGCGAAATACGTGAGATGGAACAAGAACGCCGTTGCAGTTTGTAACTTTGCAGTAGCAGCGTACGAGGGGTGGCATGTTGGTCAATCTTCGGTACAGGGTTCGGAGGCGTATGTGTTTGACTTAGGGAATCGGACGCGTTTTGATGTGTCACGTGAGCTTTGCATTCTACTTTACACAGATTTATGAGCAGGTACTACATAGAGCTACCTGCGACGCCTTGAAATTAGGAACGAATCACAGTTGAGCTTTGCTGGTGCGCTGGAAATTTGTAAGTACTAATAGTAAGGATAAACAAAAGAAAGAGTACCACATTCATGGCCTCGTAGAAGCAGGTGAAGGCTACAGGAGTCTGCACCTCCTGCTCTGGATCCACATCATAATCTGATTCGGGTTCGGTCACGCTCTCGTCAACGATGTCGACCAGTTGCTCAGTACTGCTAACGAGCACTTGATCAGCACACTTCTTAAATATGTGCTATTCAGCGAGACACGAACGAATACAACTGAGAAAAACTCACGATATCTTCAGCAGTCGGCTCCGATTCAGGTTCTGTCACACTATCGTCCACTACCGGAGGACCTCCCTTGACAACGTCCGATAAAAATGATTGATATTGCTTGAAATGTATTTAGTAAGAGAAATCAATATAACTACTATGCAAACGCTTACAGTTTTCTGGGTCTTTAACCAATCATCAAGCACTCCCGGCGTCTCGGTGTGCGTGTCGCTGGTGTTGGGACCCTCTACAATACCAGCTTGTGAGCTTAGCTGCTGGAGAGGCTTTCTGATAGATATTTCAACGGTCTGCAAAGAAAATTAGTTGACATCAGTTGAGTTGCACAAGGGACTTACTATGGGACCTGGTGTTCTACACTCAAACGTGAATTTAAATGCTTTCACCTCCACGGGCAGCTCTAGCTTGATTGCGTTGCGGGCCGCCATAGCGTGAGTAGTAAGTGCAAGCTGTAACGCGGGACTTAGACGAATTTTCGAAAAACTTACTTTGCTCCAAGCACGGCCTAAACAGACGTCGAAATATTGACTATGCGGTGTTGATTAGTGGTAGAATAGCAGATATTTGAAGAGTATAAACGGGATTCGAATAGACGTGTTGGCGATGTTGGAAAAGTGTCTGTTTACATGTGTTGCTTCGGACCGAGCGAACAAAATTTGCTACACGTCGGATTTACATCTGATTACAAGGGTAGGTACGTTTAGAGTCGTTTTACACACGCTGTCTTCCTCTGTTTAGGATCTGGCTAAAATCTCGTTTCCGCAGTGAGTGTTCATTCTGAATCGCGCAATTGAGCATCATGTACATCATGATCATGGGCGTCCATACCACTCGGAATTACTCGGCGGGATCAAACGTTATTACTATATGGAGGCAATAGCCACCGAACCGCAAGCTTATTATGGTCATCGACTTTACAACACAACATCATAACGATGTCCCAACACTACCACCGGACGTAGACAAAGTGCTCCCAGAGCGCCCACAGCTTGATTCCCGCCAAACTGTGCCCCCACCTACATCTTCCTCCTGCCAGAAGCGCAAGCACGCCAAGGCACATAAACCAAAATCTAGCCCAAGCTCATAGCTCTCTCTCCTCCCTTTTACATCCTCCAAAGCTACGAAACATGTCCGTCGGTCTGTGCTTACCCTTATTCAAGATCTCGTCGTTCCTTCGCCAACCAGCTCCATTAACCTGAGTCCTAAATCTCCGCAACTGGCCCTCGCAGATCCACATGAAATTCTAGCCTCCTGCGCCCAGTCCTGTTCTGCGAAGAACCTATCACTGTCTACGCTTCTTCAAAAGTCGGCTGTGACAGGTCATACCCCCATATATTGGGCTATCGCCAACTATCGCCCCCCTCTCCTTGATGCTTTGCTCAGGCATGCCTCTCCATTAACGCCTGCAACACTAAGCGACATGAGGAAGGCATGTTTGGTAGCGAGTAATAAGGTGTTATTTCAGAGCCTCAGACTCAGTGTGGGCTTGTGCGCGAGTGGGTTAAGGAGTGGTGAGTCTTGAGTTGAGTAGTTGGATTGGGGCTGATGCTTTTGGGTTAATAGCTACTGATGGACTGCTTCTTGGTCAGCGCCCACCAGATGAAGTGCGTATTGAAGTGGGCCCTGATGGTGCTTTTGCTGCAACATTGGATATCACGATGTGGCAGAAACGTATACGGGCAGTTGGAAGTGTGAGTGTGGAGTTTATTGCGTCTGGTGAATACTCCGCTCCTGCTCCTGCTACTTCCTTATTTCTGCTATGATTTTTGCTCCAGTTTTTATCATCTTCTTTGCCAAAGAAAAACCCAACTAACGCTCTATGCCTTTCAGGCCGCATATTCGCCCTAACCTTCTTCATCACCGATCGTCCCCAACCCAACTCCAAGTCCCCCAAGTCCAAAAGAGCTGTAGGGCCATTGCACATCTCACTCTCCCTCCTCGATCACAGCCTACCGACCTATGTGGATGCCGTAGTAATCATTGACCGACCTCCTCCCCTCCCTTCTCCAGGGCCTTCCCCACGTTCACCAAGAAAGAAGGGCCTGGACCCGCTAAAAGGGCACATCCACAGCGCAAGTTTCTCAAGCGGAGATAAAGGCTATGGCTTTGAGAACGGAGTGGGGTTTCGGGATTGTAAAGCGGAGAAGTGGGACTTCAACTATGATGGACAAGCACACGCGCGTTCGCCTTCTCCTCCTTCCTCACCTATCTCTCCGGGCCATGCGGCGTCCTCTGGTGCACATACACAGAAACATGCGCAGACGCTGCTTCCACCTCCTGCGCACCCCCACCGCGCGCTGATACAAAGTTTTTCATCTCCTTCGCTCAAGCAGTTGTCGTCGTCCTCTTCTTCCCAAACGTTAACATCTGTATTGGATACGGTCGCAGTTCACGCGCCTAAGAAGCAGCTTGTGAAGCTGAAGAATGCCTCGTTGGGTACGAATGGGCGTGCACCGGTGGTGCTCCGCTTTTGTGCGGGCGAGGCTATGCTTGCCTGTAATGTGAGGAATAATGGAGGTGAGATTTCTTTTCGATACTGCGTTTTTTTCTTTTTCCTGCGACGAAGAATAGAACCTTGTTTTGAATGGATATTGGTCGTATATTCATCACACATGGAACAAACTGACGTCTCTCCAGATCCACATGCCCTACCATGTCCTACCGCCAAACCTGTCACCTGGTCAGAACATGGCACGTGGTATGTCTCATCGATTGTAGTACCGCTTGGAGAACAAGATGGGGGCGGGTTAATGTTTGAGTGAGTTTTTCAACGTGCCTTACTCTCCGCGCGCCCTCTCCCAGAATCCAATGGCAGACCGGGGGGCTGAAGTGATAGACGCTAACGTCTGTTTGCAGCACATCCCCGCATATCGCGCCTGATGGCAGTTTACGAGCACGGCTAGAGGCGAAGTTGGTGAAGACTGAGGAGAGAGGGAAGGAGTGTATTATTTGTTAGTGTGGTGCAGGATTCGGTGATACTGGGGAATGGACTTTGTTGGTGTGGTGGTTTGGCTGTTACACTGATAGTATTGTTGTACTCAGACTGACGGTATGCTGATCTTTTAAGATGTTGACGGACAGTGGCTGAATTTGTATGCTTGGATCGCGACTAAGAATCCAGGAACCAGATCAATATTTTCTAGCAATCGTAGTACTTTCTCTTCCAACATTCATGACACGTACAAGATGTCGATGGTAAGAACTTAGAAGCACCTGGGCCTGGTGTAGGCAAAGATCAACTCCAAACACGACGGAACTTCAAGTTTGACAAGGTGCTTAGTTCGGATGCTAGCTAGTAGTCATGAGTTGCGCATGAAAAAGATGAAACAGAGGAAGTTTGAATCCTCTGACGCGAGACGTATTGCTTCATATACAGTCAAAGGTGTCACTCACGAGCTAATCTTGCGCTCTCCAAAGGAAATATCACAATGCTGGTCACCGTGACGAGACGGCTACCGAAAAATGCACCGTGTACGTGTACACATCTCGGCGTGAAGGTAACCATAGCCTGGCTATTCACAGCCGGGAATTGCTGCGACAGAATTCCAGGAAAGTCTGTTCCACGAAAGATATTGCCGATTTAGTCCGTCTGTCGTACAGTAGTACTCAAGCATTGGAATTTTGCGTTTGCCTCGCGGTATTGGTCTGCATGTTTCAAGTTACAGGTCGAGTGAAATAGCACAACGACAATCTCTGTTCGAAAACCTCAGCATGGTGCCCACTCACACGGGAGCAAAATGATGTTGTTCAAATCGCACATAGGAGTGATATAGCATATGAACAACACCTGTCAGGATGTGAAGGCACAGAGAATGTATGAGTTTTGTGACCACTCTTAACCTCGCGCATATCTCGTAGTGGTGCGCCAACATTGCTGTACTCTATGATTCCGGTACCTGTCACCAGTCCGGTAAGCGTAAGCATACCACGTTTCTACCGAAGGAAGATTGTGGGATGCTGGAGGATTGCTTCAAAGGAGATCGAGAAAACAAGCGATCACATACCCTTGGCTTTCTGCTTCTTTTTCTTCTCGTGTTGAGCTCCTCAGGGGCTGGTGGGACATCATCGAGCAGGTTCGGCATGGTCGCGTAATTGAATGCCTCGTCCTCATCTCCAGTTTGGGGTTTGCCCCAAACTGTGGACTTGATCCGTTTGCGCTTCTTCTGCCTGGCCTGACCCATGACTACAATTGTATCATCTGAAACAGGGTTGTCGCTGATCGGGAGGAATGAACGGGATTTCTACTTGTCCAAGGATAGTGGTTCCGTCAGGCACTTCTGCCGAAGCCACGGTAGAGACAGGCGTCGCTAGTTGTGTTGAGACAAAGCCCAAGGAGACGCTGGATTGGAAGATTGTCTGAGAACCGATTTTCATAATCATAATAATGTGATGGAGATAAGAAATGTGCGAATGCAAGGACTGGCTTACCTGTGGTTGGTTGGTGCAATGACGAGGGTTCGATGTATCCGTGTCACAAGGTCATGAAATTTCTTCCTATTGGCCGATATAGTTGGCGCTGAACTCTGAAAAGGATGATCGCATCATAAAGTATGCAGGATCTGTCCTGTGATTTGGAGGGGAAAGGAAAGAAGAGAAGGCAAAGATGATTTCGACATACCGAATACACCAATCGGCAATCTGATACTGCTTATCAGGTACTGAAAGTCTTGCGCCTTTGAGGCATGTTATGTGTTTAACAGTCCAGCGACAATAAACATTGAAGTCTCGTTGAAGCTACAGAATATCACACTCTGCGCCATGGAAGACCGGAGTGGCAAATGCATTCTTGGGCGCTTCAACTGCACAGCCTATGCTATATATATAAGCTGTGAAGCGAACACGAGGATACAGCATGTCAAATGTACCAAGAAGTGGTGAACTCAACTCTGACTTGACCGAAACGCCCATTATCCCCTACTAACCACCCGTCGCTGTTGTCCTCGGTGAGTAATGAATGTTTAAATTTGATGGGTGGAAGCTGAGACGGCGCTGCACTTGACAGTCGAAATTCTAGAATATGTCTTCACCCACCACTAAGAAGAAAGAGACATCAGCAATAACACCTCGCCAGAAATTTGAAGGACACACCGGTTGGGTCTACGGAGCCATACACCTACTTGACGGACAGCGGATCATTACTTGTTCATATGACGGCTCGCTGTGGGTATGGAACTTGGAGAGCGGGAAACAGATAGGAGAAGACTGGCGGGACGGAGACAGTGGAGTGAACAGTATAGCGTTGTCTCCGGATGGGAAGAAAGTGGTTAGCGGGAGTAGTGACGGTGGAGTGAGGTTGTGGAGCATCGAGACAGGCAAGGTCATCGCAAAATGGATGGGGCACACACAGCGAGTGTGGTCTGTCTGTTGGAGTCGAGATGGTCAGCGAGTAGTGAGCGGGTGTGAAGATGGGACTGTGAGGCAGTGGGATGTGGAGAGCGGAGAGACAATCCTGGAACCCGGGCCAATCAACACAGGGCATCTACATGCATATATGTTCGCAGCCATCTATTCGCCAGACACCACCAGGATTGCAACTGGTGGATTTGATAAGCCTGATGATAACGAGTCCTTGATTAAAATCTGGGATGCCAAGACAGGCGAGCTTGTCGCAACTCTCAAAGGACACACAGGTCGGGTGTTGTGCCTGGCTTGGACTGTGAATGGAAAAACGCTCATCTCCGGGTCTTCCGATTCCTCGATTCGGACATGGAATACAAAAACTTGGAAGCAGATCGCACTTCTCGATCACACTTCCTCTGTTAATGGCATTGCAATATCCCCAAATGGCCGCATCCTCGCAAGCGCATCGTTCGACTGGACAGCGCGATTGTGGAACCTTGACAACGGCCAGCCCATTAGTTCTCCACTCCAGCATGCACGTGGAATTATCTGCGTCTCGTTTTCCGCGGATGGAAAGCTACTAACAACTGGCTCCATGGATAATAACGCATACACATGGGATGTTGCTACCATTCTTAAAGAAGCTGGCCTCGACGAACTTCTATTGGATCCAAAGGTGAGTCGACAGGCATTCATTACATCCTCATCACTGAACGCGCTCTGTCAGGCCAACAAGTCGGCACTCCGTGTATGTGACATTTTCGTAAAAGATTTCGTTGCATTCAAATCTATACACTCTAGAACAATGCTACACGACATCACGCCCAACGACGTCAACCTGCCCAGCGGGTACCCCCGGGCTTTTTTGATGTCCCACCAGATCATTCTCATGTACGTTGTTACTGTCACTTCGAGTTTTATCCTGACCTCCGTGGTCTCAGTTCTCTCCACGAGGCCGCCTCCACTCCTCCTCAGCACCGCAAGGAAGCACACTTCTTGGCCGCTTATTCCACCGCAGCCCCTCTGATGCACATGATACCTCACCGTCTTCTCCTTTCGACTGGGCTCAAAACCTTTTGAAACGGCACGGACAGAGTGGTGAAGGTATAGAGTTGCACGGGCGCAACCCAGCAGTTGTCGAGGTCCCGTATGCAAAGGGAAAACGTGTAAGTGTTCTCTTCCTCCCAAATATTCCACTCGACCTGACATTGTGCAGAGGAATGCTTCAGCGAGAGAGAAACGGAAAACGGGCTCACGGCCTTTCAAGCCCAATGCCACGCAGCAATCCAATGGTGCGACTCAGACCCAGCCATCTCTGCAACCACAGGCACCTGTCTCCAATTCGTCTACCGCACCTGATGTCGGTGTCGGTTATACAACCACAGCTTCAACGTCAACAATCTTGCGCCCTCATGCAACGATAAGACACGCTGGACGCTGGACTCGCTTCCGGCTCTTCATTTGTTGTCTGTCTCCTGAATACACGGATGGCCGTCATTAATCTATCATTTCCTCGTCGTCTATGATGGTTTCTTGAGTGCTTCTACCAGATCATACGCTTTTCTGCTACATTTAAACCTAACTGTCCTTTTTCATACCACACGCCTCGTCATCTCCGTCTGCGATGTATAACACACTGAAGCCATGGGGTCTAACTTACATCTCTACAAAATGCATTGCAGTCGGTACGTCTCGGCTCTCGATTTGAATCTGGCTGATAGTACTTATGTGAAGGAATTTTTCTTTTGTATGTGTTCCATTTCAATACCGCTGCCTTTTCTCAAAGAAGTGCACGTGGGTGCTATTATTTTCTCTTGACTTATGCACAGAGCTCTGCTTCGTGTTGCACCAGAGAAGACCGTTTAACGTTTACCAACGAGCTCTCAACGCATGGGTTGATCATCCTCACCCGAGATCTGTCTCACGGATCATTGAATGTCATTCGCTAGATAATGCGATCTTGGGAAGAACTCCATGTCTCTGGGACACCCTGCTGCCAACGGACATTCACCAAGCCAGGGACAGTTCAAGCCGGCTTCGCGCATATACCGTTACTTCAATTTGCGGTGCTGGTAAGAAGTTATTTGTCCCAAAGTGCATCACCAGGATCACCTTCGAATATAACTGCATGTTCGCGGATAGCCACGACCAAAGCTCAGTCCCAGCCCAAGCGACAAGCCTCATGGCAAATTCTCTGTGAAACACGAGGATTGCAACGCGAAAGATGAGTCGATGATAGAGAAGGCGGAAGACAAGGGGCGATTATATTTGATAGGGTGTGTTGGATATGCATACATCAAAATACGGGAGATCGGCATTTACAAAGTTTCAAATGATTATGCCAATGTTTCGTTATTCTGATCCTCCGATGAGTACATAGCTGTCAGTTGATGGTATTAACCCAGATAGAAGGTGAACGCACACACTTTCCCCGAACTTGCTTTGTAAACTCAACCGCCATCCGTGGGTCTGCCTCACCAGCGGTGTCATTTTTGGCTTTTTCAAGAATCGTTACAGTAAGGTTCCGTACCAGGACCAACTTCAAGGACTTTATCTATGGGGAGAAGATTTGCCTAATGTCACGATTTGCATCCATGAGATTCACTCAGCGCATATTTGAACTGAGCCGAACCTTATCCACGATACTGATGTAAATTGAGCCTGAGTGATACTCTACGAGAAATGTGAGCGTACTTTTGAGCAATCTGTGAATTCTTCACAATCCCAGAGCATGGGAGGGAGGGCGTCTGCCATCTGATATATCGGGCTTGCGATCCACAAGTGGCAATTGAATGTCGGGCTGATTCTGATTCTTTCGTAGAAACGTTCATCAGAGATGAGATGTTGGATAGACATTCTAGTCCTGCTGCAATTGGGAAAAGGACGGCCGTGATATGTTGGACTTGATGGTATAGGGAAGCTGATCCTACGAGATCGAAGTATGTTCAGTTATCGCCATCGGAATCTGGAGAGATGGGACTGATCTGTGCGCGCATGATGTAGCGGTGGAAGTTGGTGATTTGTTTTCCTGGGTCTAACTTGCACAAATCGCGGGAGTCGTGTTCGTCGACGAGACGGTTTGCGGCTGATTGCATGAGGGATATGTCGAGTCCGTGAGAGGCGAAACAATATATGTAGTGGCTGTGTTTGCAGTTGAAGCAGGCGGAGACATTGGGAGATGGGGGATCAGGCTAGGACGCAGATTGTTGGGGTGACGACAGTTCAGGATGGATACGTAGCAGAGCTCAAGTTTGGGAGATGTGTTGTGAAGTGTCCCGCGGATGAGTCCTCCTCGGATGATGAACTTCAGGAAGGAGAATGAAAGGCGGCAGGTCACCAAATATTGTAGCGCAGATAAAGACTTGGCGCACGAAGGAAGCCTTGAAGGCACGTAGTAATTACTCAAGCCCATGCCACTACAACCCCCTCATTCAGCATGGAAGATACGTCAAGGAGTCTTCATCAGAGCGGTTGTAGTGATGCAGCCGATACATGTATAGGTAGTACAAGGTAAATCGGATCGACGAGCCCAGAAAGACGAAACACATGGCTTCAGTGCCTCGTATATCGCAGACGGAGATGAGGAGACGTGTGGAATGAAAAAGGACAGTTCTAAACATAGCAGAAAGGCGTGAAATCTGGTAGAAGCACGCGAGAAATTATCATACGGGACGAGGCGATAGATCAATGACGACCATCCGTGTATTCAGGAGACAGACAACCAAGGAAGAGCCAGAAACGAGTCCATAGTCCAGCGTGTCTTATCGTTGCATGAGGGCGCAAGGTTGTTGACGTTGAAGCTGCGGCGGTATCACCGACAGTATGTGTGGTAGACAAATTGGAGACAGGTGCCTGTGGTTGCGAAGATGGCTGGGTCTGAGTCGCACCATTGGATTGCTGCGGGGCATTGGGCTTGGGAGGCCGTGGGCTTCCCATAGTAATGCGTAATGGTTTCGTTTTCCGTTTCGCTCTTGCTGAAGCAATCCTCTGCATCATGTCAAATCGAGTCAAACATCTGGGAAGGAGAAAAAACATACACGTTGTCCCGGTGCATGTGGGACCTCAAGAACTGCTGGGCTGCGCCCGCGCAACTCTATGCCCTCGCCACTCTGTCCGCGCCGTTTGAAAAGGTTTTGAGCCCAATCGAGAGGAGAGGACGGTGATACTTCATGTGCATCGGAGGGGCTGCGGTGAAATAAGCGGCCAAGGAATGTGCTTTCTTGCGGTGCTGAGGAGGAGTGGAGTCGGCTTCGTACAGAGAACTGAGACTATGGAAGTCAGGATGAAACTCGAAGTGATGGTAACAACGTACACGAGAATGATCTGGTGGGACATCAAAAAAGCCCGGGGGTACCCGATGGGCAGGTTGACGTCGTTGGGCGTGATGTCGTGTAGCATTTTCCTAGAGTTTGTAGGTTTGAACGCAATGAAATCTGTTAGAGGGTGTCACGTACACGGAGTGCCGACTTGTTGGCCTGACAGAGCGCGTTCAGAGATGAGGATGTCATGAATGCCTGTCGACTCACCTTTGGATCCAATAGAAGTTCGTCAAGGCCAGCGTCTTTAAGAATGGTAGCCCCATCCCATGAGTACGTTTTCTTGTCATCGCAGCCAGTTGTTAGTATTTTTCCATTCGCAGAAAACGAGACGCAGAAAACCGCATTTGGATGCTGGAGTGGAGAACTGATGGGCTGGCCGTTGTCGAGGTCCCACAATTGCGTCGTCTCGTCGTTTGATGCGCTTGCGAGGATGCGGCCATTCGGGGATATTACAATGCCATTAACAGTGGAAGTGTGCGCATCGAGAACTGCGATCTGCTTCCAAGTTTTTGTATTCCATGTCCGAATCGAGTTATCGGCTGACCCGGAGATGAGCGTTTTTCCATTCCCGGTCCAAGCCAGGCACGACACCATGTTCGTGTGTCCTTTGAGAGTTGCGACAAGCTTAAGCTCGCCTGTCTTGGCATCCCAGATTTTAATCGAGGACTCGAGCTCGTAATCATCTCGGCTATCATCTCCACCAGTTGCAATCCTGGTGGTGCCTGGCGAATAGATGGCTGCGAACACTCGTGCATGTCCTGTCTTGATTGGCCCGAGTTCCAGGATTGTCTCTCCGCTCTCCACATCCCACGGCCTCACAGTCCCATCATCAGATCCACTGAGTACTCGCTGACCATCTCGACTCCAACAGACAGACCACACTGCCTGTGTGTGCCCCGTCCATTTCGCGATGACCTTGCCTGTCTCGATGCTCCACAACCTCACTCCACCGTCGTCACTCCCGCTAACCACTTTCTTCCCATCCGGAGACAACGTTATACTAAACACTCCACTCTTTCCGTCCCGCCAGTCTTCTCCTATCTGTTTCCCGCTCTCCAAGTTCCATACCCGCAATGAGCCATCATTTGAACAAGTAATGATCCGCTTTCCGTCAAGTAGGTGTATGGCACCGTTGACGAAATCGGCGTGTCCTTCGAATTTTTGGCGAGGCGTTATTGCTGATATCTCTTTCTTTTTAGTGGTAGGCGAAGACATTCCAGAATTTCAACTATCGAGTGCAGCGCTGTCTCAGCTTTCGCCCACCAAATTCAAAATCCATCACTTACCGAGGACAACAGCGACGGGCGGATAGTAGGGGATAATGGGCGTTTCGGTCAAGTCAGAGTTGAGTTCACCGCTTCCTGGTACGTTTGACATGCATTATTCTCGTGTTCACAGCTTATATACAGCATGGGCTGTGCAGCTAAAGCGCCCAAGCCTCATTTGTCAGTGTCCACCAGGTTCAATACCCACGAAGTCTCGCTCCATGACTAGCTAGTTCTCAACAACTACATAAGACCTGGGCTGTTCGCTGTGAAGTGTTCTCGTGCATCCTCGATGGCTGCTGCTGTTCCATAGGAAGATGGGCTAGCATTCCGGTGAGTTGCGTGGCCTATGTGCTAGTGCCCGTTATCTAATTGGCTCTGGCACATTCCCTCATAGTTCACTGCTTTTTTGCTTCCTCGTCAGACATTTATGTTGGAACTATTCACAATCGGATCCCTCTGAGTCGTCTTCTGCTTACAGAACCATTTCACGAAAAAGGCGAAGGAACATTCCCAGCTACGCGCTTCGTTCTTCTCCTCCACTTCTGTCGGATGCTGCCCGTATGCGCCACTGGAACTTGTGATTCTGAATTGATAAGTTCTGTTTCGAACGTCGAGGAGTTGGTTCAAATATGATAGTACCTAACCACCCCACAGATGCCTCAGTCTTTTCCATTTCATCTCGCATCTTCAGCTCCACAGGTTTCACGTCTCCGCAGCTCTGGTTCTAGTACGTGTCTTGTTAGATGGGTTGACGTGCATGCTGACGTTAGGGTTCCTAACTCGGCTTCAGGCTTGATCAATCCAACCACCGACTCCTTATCTGAGGAAGGCCCCACCGGGTAGGAGTGGAACTTGAGGCGCAGTGAGTAGATATTGCTCACCAATCTTAATATGCTGCTCACACCTCGACTTGATTTCAGTCCTTGATTGATTTGCTCGTGCCCTATGGCACTTATATTCAGTCACGTCGATATCGATCCGCATGTGCAGCTCCGCAGGATGAATGATCACGGAACCTAATTCACGACGTTTACCTTGGCAAGGTAAATTTCATGGTTTAAATCGACTTAATAGTGGGAGGATCCTGAGTACGGCTCCCACGCTATCCTTTGCCTTCTTGAGTCCGAAAAATTCAACGCTCAGCTCTTCTACGTGCCATGATGTTCAATGCTGGAATTAGTTGTCTTAAGAAGGCATCAGGAGAAGTTGAATTGACAACAGACAAAGATAAAGTGGCCTCAGTCATGGTGGCACGCGCGGTGTCTTCCTTCTTCCAATAAACATCATTAGTACCAAGTCGTGGCGACAGTGGCATCGGGAAGGACCTTCGAGGCTCTCCTACATGAGACTATATTCGTGAAGCTATTAATGACGTGCAGCCCAATATTAACTCGCTCCTGTCGGTTATGTTGACTTGCCTGCCTGCCTGAAGCGTGGCCTTCAATAGTGAAGTTGCATCTGTATGTTTTGGCATCGTACAAATCCTTGTTAATTTCTGTGATTCGCAATATAAGCATTTAGTATCTCCACCATCGCCTCGGTCTCTGGCCTGAGACTAGCCCAAAGACTGTTGACGGTATGCACCGAGTTCCACCCAATCAATTTGGCTCGTTCCGCACGTGCACGGGAGTTCGATCCGAGATAGGCGCCCTATGAATGATCGTTTCATCAGTAGTCCACGGACAACGAACACGATCAAAGACCTGCCCCGAAATACTTCATCAACTATTCCTCCGTGAAAACTGTAGGCCAGACTTCTGCCCAGCTTCATCTCACACAACAAGCCTACGATAATGTCCTAGATCCTGCCTATATGATGTTCTCCATTTGCGCCGAAACAGAAGCCCTTGCAACCATGGTCTGTTTCACCTGACCCTTTCATGGCAGCGTTGAAAACGATGATTTATTAAGTCGCTACGTCATTGATGTGGATGTTGGGTCATAGATTCAGCCCTTTACCGACGACACCGCCCAGTTCTGTCGATGCCAGCTTTGATGAGACCAAGGATTTGTTGAGAGTAGGAATTCTGGACGCCGAGTCTGACCAATGATGTGTTCGCGATGCCATATATCGTCGAAGTCGAAGGCAAAATGACAGATGTCCGAACGTCACCTGTTATGTTACGAGACATTAACAACAGATGTGTTGGGTAAGACGCGACGTTACCTTTTCGACCAGCAGCAACGACTTCGATGTAGACTTCACGATCAGGTTGCGTGTTGGGTAGCGACTCTGGCATGTTCTGTCAGCTTTTCGAAATCTTTGTTGGAGCCAACAGCTACAACTCCGACGCTGTTGAGCGATACAACCTTCGCGGGAGAGCAAATGAGAGCAGTTATAGGAAATGAATTGGACCCGCCAATGTGCCCTGCAATGGCCAGTCAGCATTGAGTCGGAATACGGTCAGCAAGAACTTACCAGTTCCACCTGTAACGAAAATGCGCGTCTTCTCGGATGTGGGTATGATCGTGGCATGGACGGACGGGCGAGAGCTTGTGTGATATGGGGATATTGATTGCTCCGAGTCTTGGATGTTCATAACCTACCTGTGGATGGCATCAGTATCAGGACCGTAGCAGACACTTGAGGATGACGGTCAACGCATGCGTCGAGAGCTCGTTGGTAAACGATAAACGTTCTTCTCTGGTTTTCTTCTCTGGTGCAACACGAAGCAGAGGTCCGCGCGTGAGTCAAGAGAGAATGATAGCACCCACACTTCCTTGAGAAAGGGCAGCGGTGTTAAAATATAGCAATGCATACAAAAGAAAGAATCCTTCAAATAAGTACTATCAGCCAGACTCGATTCGAGAGCCGAGACGTACTGACTGCGATACATATTGTGGAGATAAACGTTGGGCCCATAGCTTCAGTGTGTTATATATCGCAGACGGAGATCAGGAGGCGTGTGGTATGGAAAATGACGGTATGAAACGTAGCAGAAAGGCGTCTGATCTGGAAGAAGCACTGAAGAAATCATCATAAGGGACGAGGAAATCGTAGGATTAATGACGACCATCCGTGTATTCAGGAGACAGACAACAAATGAAGAGCCGGAAGCGAGTCCAGCGTCCAGCGTGTCTTATCGTCGCATGAGGGCGCAAGGTTGTTGATGTTGAAGCTGTAGTTGTATTACCGACAGCATGTGTGGTAGACGAGTCGGAAACAGCTGGCTGTGCTTGCGAAGATGACTGCGTCTGAGTCGCACCATTGGATTGCTGCGTGGCATTGGGCTTGAGAGGCCGTGAGCCCGTTTTCCGTCTCTCTCTAGCAGAAGCATTCCTCTGCACAATGTCAGGTCGAGTGGAACATCTGGGAAGGAAAGAAAACATACGCGTTTTCCCTTTGCATACGGGACCTCAACAACTGCTGGGCTGCGCCCGTGCAACTCTATACCTTCACCACTCTGTCCGCGCCGTTTCAAAATGTTTTGAGCCCAATCGAGAGGAGAGAAAGGTGATGTTTCATGGGGATCGGAGGGGCTGCGGTGGAATAAGCGGCCAAGAAATGTGTTTCCTTGCGGTGCTAAGGAGTGGAGGCGGCTTCGTGCAGAGAACTGAGACTGCCACAGAAGTCAGGATAAAACTCGAAGGATACTAACAACGTACATGAGAATGATCTGGTGGGACATCAAAAAAGCCCGGGGGTATCCGATGGGCAGGTTGGTGTCGTTGGGCAGGATGTCGTGTAGCATTTTCCTAGAGTTTATAGGTTTGAACGTAATGAAATCTATTTTAGACGGTGTCACGTACACGGAGTGCTGACTTGCTAGCCTGGTAGAGCGCGTTCAATGATGAGGATGTAATGAATGCCTGTGACTCACCTTTGGATCCAACAGAAGTTCGTCGAGGCCAGCTTCTTTAAGAATGGTAGTAACATCCCATGTGTACACGTTTTCCCAGGAGCCAGTCGTTAGTAGTTTTCCATCCGCGGAAAACAATACGCAGTAAACTATATCTGCATGCTGGAGTGGAGGACTGATGGGCTGGCCGTTGTCGAGGTCCCACAATCGCGCTGTCCGGTCGTATAATGCGCTTGCGAGGATGCGGCCATTTGGGGATATTGCAATGCCATAGACATGGGAAGTGTGATCGAGAACTGCGATCTGCTTCCAAGTTTTTGTATTCCATGTCCGAATTGAGTTATTGTTTGACCCGGAGATGAGTGTTTTTCCATCTGCGGTCCAAGCCAGGCACCACACCAAAGCTGTGTGTCCTTTGAGAGTTGCGACAAGCTCGCCTGTCTTGGCATCCCAGATTTTAATCAAAGACTCGTCATAGTCTGGCTTATCATATCCAACAGTTGCAATCCTGGTGGTGCCTGGCGAATAGATGGCTGCGTTCACATATTGATGCCCTGTGTTGATTGGCCCGGGTTCCAGGATTGTCTCTCCGCTCCCCACATCCCACTGCCTCGCTGTCCCATCCCAAGATCCACTCAGTACTCGCTGACCATCTCGACTCCAACAAACAGACCACACTGGCTGTGTGTGCCCCGTCCATTTTGCGATGACCTTGCCTGTCTCGATGCTCCACAACCTCACTCCACCGTCACTACTCCCGCTAACCACTTTCTTCCCATCCGGAGACAACGCTATATTGTACACTGGACTGTCTCCGTCCCGCCAGTCTTCTCCTATCTGTTTCCCGCTCTCCAAGTTCCATACACGCAGCGAGCCATCGTCTGAACAAGTAATGATCTGCTGTCCGTCAAGTAGGTGTATGGCTCTGCGGACCCAATCGGTGTGTCCTTCAAATTTCTGGCGAGGCGTTATTGCTGATATCTCTTTCTTTTTAGTGGTTGGTGAAGACATTCCAGAATTTCAACTACCGAGTGCAGCGCCGTCTCAGCTTTCACCCACAAAATTCCAAATTCATCACATACCGAGGACAACAGCGACGGGCGGATAGTAGGGGATAATGGGCGTTTCGGTCAAGTCAGAGTTGAGTTCATCGCTTATTGGTACGTTTGTCATGCTGTATCCTCGTGTTCGCCTTATATGCAGCATAGGCTGTGCAGTTGAAGCGCCCAAAAATGCATCTGCCACTCCGTAATCCCTATTGCTGTTGGATGGAACACAAGTCAGCATTGCAGTTGTACCTGCGCGTGTTCACGCAGAGTCCCAAAGATGCAAGGTGAATGGCTTGGCGTCAAGCTGTGTCCAATTCATCTCAAGAAATCTCGCAGCCTCCTACCTAGGCATCGTACACCATCGGCTACTTGGGCTCAATCGTATTCTACACATCGTCAATCCGTTGGAAGACGGCTGCTACTCGTCTCCGTCAGATCCAGTGAACTCCTCCTTAGTCACGGTGTTGCCTCGAGGCGCGCTGCCAGTAGTAGCGACTGATGCCAATACATATCAGCGCTGTTCGATTTATATCTATTGTATCTACCCTATTCGATTTATATCCACCTCTACGTTTGCTCGTTTTCACTGGGAAGCTTCAGTCCTCACCGTTGTCACTCCATTAAGACAACTCCGTCGCTATATGACTTGTGCAGGTAAAATAAAATGCAACAACTCGACAATAATTTGCAGGACAAGGGGACTCTGATAAAAGGGGGAGTTGCCACCTGTGAATAGTGATAGAGATCAATCAACGCACTGTTTCCCCAACACGCCGTCACGCTTCAATGAGAAGAATGCCTCCGTGCCGGTCTCCAGTACATGCCCGTATGTACGGGTTATTTCAAAGCAAAGCCTTCCGGTTTGGCGTCAGCTAGGCATACGGACTCGGCAGGACAGAGGCCTCACCAGATGGCGTGGAGCTGATCTTTCAGAGCAGGCTGTGAGCTATGGGAATAGGTGTTAGCAACTCTGCGTGTTTTGGTGTCGTGCTGGGCAGCCCATTCCGAATGCGTGACGTATCAACGAAGATTTCCCGACGCTGGTCTGTAGGATGCACGTTGTCAATGCAAGTATGAGGCCAAAGAAAAGTTGATACCTTTATCACCAGGATTCTGAACCTTGTCAACCTGAAGAATGGCGCTTCACGGTTATTCCGAATCGCCGAGGACAAATCCGAATGGTTCGTCAGTGGTGGTGGGCTGAAGCTCCGGGTTTTCACCAAAACAGACAGATTGCGCAGCTCACCATCTACGGCTGAGACGAGTTTTAATGCAAGAGGTAGATCATTTCTTCAATTGACATGTTGCCGGAAATCTCGACGATGATCTGTTCATGTCACATCGAGTCTGTCATCAATCAAGGCAGGAGTGTGACATTCACGCTCGAGCTTGAGCTTATGTCTCGGGTTCTCCACCTGCACCAGACAGGCGGAAGATCTCTTTGGTATCGAACTGGATGTCTTCAACAGTGTTCATTCTGAATCGCGTATTGTGCCGTACATGTAAGGGGGAAAAAACCCAGAGAAAGCTTTCTATGATAAAGACACAATAGCAATTTAGACGAGCACATTCGTTTGAGTCGAGTGCTTACATGGGCGGAGAAAACATCTGTCGCAAATTCTTGCCTGATGCGCATTCAACCGGCGTGTGCAACTTGCCGATCCATACTTTACATTGTTTTCTGACTTGCTGAAATCGACAGATAAACCTATTTGAAAATGCGGTGAAATTGACCATTAAGCTGATGCCGAGAGTTCAGTACCAGAGATGTGCATCAGCAAAACCCAAATGGGGTATGTGG